CAAAGGGTATAAGCCTTCCGTTATAAAATGGATAAGCTCTGGGGAGTATAATAATCCTGTATTATATACTTGAAATTTGCTAAGAGAGTAGATTTTAAGCATTCTTACAACTACTGTTACAAAAAAGGGAACGGTGAAAGGTGATGAATGTGTTCATTAACCTGATTAATCATTTTACAAAATATGTAAACTGAATTAGCACATTATACACTTTAAATATATACAGTGTTGTCAATTAAAGTTCAGTAAAGCTGGGGGAGAAGTAATCTTTCTTGCTAATAGGTAATTTTTAATAATTGCAGTAGATTTTAAAAATCTGGTTAAAAAGATAGATTGGGGGATCCCTGGTGGCGCAGCGGTTTAGCGCCTGCCTTTGGCCCAGGGCGCGATCCTGGAGACCCGGGATCGAATCCCACGTCAGGCTCCTGGTGCATGGAGCCTGCTTCTCCCTCTGCCTGTGTCTCTGCCTCTCTCTCTCTCTCTGTGACTATCATAAATAAATAAAAATTAAAAAAAAAATAAAAAATAAAAAGATAGATTGGGGCAGCCCGGGTGGCTCAGTGATTTACCTCTGCCTTCAGCCCAGGGCGTGATCCTGGAGACCCGGGATCGAGTCCCACGTCAGGCTTTCCCTGCATGGAGCCTGCTTCTCCCTCTGCCTCTCTCTCTCTGTGTGTTCTCATGAATAAGTAAATAAAATCTTAAAAACAAAAATAAATAAAAAATAAAAAGATAGATTGTGGGGAACCAGGCTGGCTCAGGAGGCTAGGCATCCAACTCTTGATTTGGGCTCAGATCATGATCTCAGGGTCATGAGAATGAGCCCTGAACCCAGTATGGAATCTGCTTGAGATTCTGTCCTTCTCTCTCTGCTTCTTCCCCTGCATGGATGGGTACCTTCTCTCTCAAATAAATATATATAAATAAATAAATCTTTACAAAAAAAAGATACATTGGATGTCTCTCTAAAATAAATTTTATCAATGTAATACAGAATGTCCACAAAGCAGGAGACATGGGATAAACCTATCTTTTTAAATTTTATTTATGATAGTCACACACACACAGAGAGAGAGAGAGAGAGGCAGAGACACAGGCAGAGGGAGAAGCAGGCTCCATGCACCGGGAGCCCGACGTCGGATTCGATCCCGGGTCTCCAGGATCGCGCCCTGGGCCAAAGGCAGGCACTAAACCGCTGCGCCACCCAGGGATCCAGGGATCCCGGATAAACCTATTTTTTTTTTTTTTATTTATGATAGTCACAGAGAGAGAGAGAGAGAGGCAGAGACACAGGCAGAGGGAGAAGCAGGCTCCATGCACCGGGAGCCCGACGTGGGATTCGATCCCGGGTCTCCAGGATCGCGCCCTGGGCCAAAGGCAGGCGCCAAACCGCTGCGCCACCCAGGGATCCCTCGGATAAACCTATTTTTAAGAAATATGTTAACATTTTCATATCATTAGTTCCATGTATTTATCTGCATCTCCAGATAGATTTCTAGATAAAGTCCCTCTAAATTTATTTTTTCATTTGTTGCTGTTGTTTCTTGTTTTTCTTGAAGTTCGATTTGCCAACGTATACCATAACACCCAGTGCTCATCCCATCAAGTGCCCTCCTCAGTGCCTGTCCATGCAGTTACCCCAACCCCCTGCCCACCTCCCCTTCTGTAACCTTTGACCTCTAAATTTAAATTAAAGAGTTGTTATTTTGAAAAAAGGACAGGAAATATATGGATTTTTTTGTGTGTGTTTTGGACACTCTTAGGTATATGTTCTGTTGCACTTTTGTGCAGATTGTCATTTGGACCCCTTGTTTTAAGTTGGAGTTATGCTTCACATGAAGTTATGCTTCAATTGAAACCATATCAAGCATGTCACAGAAAAACGTAACTAACATACTATTTTTTAAAACTTAAAAGTATGTATATGTATATGTTTGTATGTATATATATATATACACATATATATACACATACACACACACACATAGTTTAGAAAGTAAATAATAGCAAAAACTTACCCCAGTGGATTCTCTTTCTAGTTATCCCATTGTCCCAGTTGAGAATCCCCAACCATAGAGGCAACTATTTTCAAATTTCTGTTTTCAAATTTCTGTTTATTCTGGCATTTAGTCATGTCTATACTTAGAGATAATAGGTAAACTGCTATCCTTCAAGTTACCAAGTTTTAGTTATTACTTATTGGCTTCCCATCCTGATAAATGAGGGTTTAGTGCTCTTATGTGACTTTCTTCTCTGCTTCTGCTCCCTTATCCTTCCAAGTTATATTATAATTTTTTGATATATTACTGTTTGATATCTACATTAGTATATCTGACCAGTTATCTGCAGCAAAGCATACTAGTGTACTATGACTCTTTCTGATGGACTTTTTGTTTTTCCTGAAGTTAGTATTCAATTTGTTTTTACATTTGATGTCTTTCTTTCTTTCTTTCTTTTTTTTTTTTTTAAGATTCTATTTATTTATTCATGATAGAGGCAGAGAATTGGCAGAGGGAGAAGCAGGCTTCCTGCAGGGAGCCTGATGTGGGACTTGATCCCGGACCCCGTGATCACACCCTGAGCTGAAGGCAGACAGTTGACCACTGAGCCACCCAAGCATCCCCATTTGCTTTATTTTCTTTGTGGCTATTGCAGTGCTGTGTTCATACCCACCCCACCTGCCCCCCCGCCCCCCGCCAGAAGCCCTGATTTTAATTGTTTGCAGTTGTTTGTATTGTATTTGATTTTTTATTTCAAATTACTCATGTGAGATTGCTGGGAAAAGATGCACACAGTTGTTTCCGCTGTACCACCGAGCTATTGCTTTCTCATACTTGCTAATGGCCCACATTGGGATTTGATTTCGTTTTTAAGATTTATTTATTTGAGACAGAGAGAGAGAGAACACAAGTGGGAAGGAGGGTCAGAGGGAGAGGGAGAAGCAGGCTCCTCACTGAGCAAGGAGACCAATGCGAGGCTCAATTCTAGGACCCAGGATCATGACCTGAACTGAAGGCAGACACTTAACCCATTGAGCCACCCAGGGGCTCCCACACTGGGATTTTATTTGTTTCTTATTATTTTTTTAAAGATTTATTTATTTATTTGTTTATGATAGAGAGAGAGAGGCAGAGACACAGGAGGAGGGAGAAGCAGGCTCCATGCTGGGAGCCCGACATGGGACTCGATCCCGGGACTCCAGAATCGTGCCCCGGGCCAAAGGCAGATGCTAAACCGCTGAGCCACCCAGGGATCCCTACACTGGGTTTTTTAAATTAGGTTTTCCTCTTCTTCTGTCATAGTTTAAAAATATTCCTATTTCATAAAGGGACTTAATTTGCTCTGAATCTCTTATTTAGAACTTTGAACATTTTAATTGGCCTTGGGGACTTTGTCAGTGTATACTTACACTTCTAGAAGGAAGAGATTTCAGAGTTCTGTGTGAGGTATACAGGGCCCTCGCCAGAGAAGATGAGGCAGAAGTTGCACAATGTGGTGGTAGTGTTTCGCTAGAGGAGGGACAAGGCTCTTGGTAAGTAGGGGTCACGGTGCAGCTGTGGTGGTCTCATGCCAGGTATGTCCCCGTGAGGCTGACAGTCAGAGTTCCTTTTGGGGCCGATTGCTTGAGCTCCTAGGCAGCTGAGGCCCTGCTCCACTTCCCTAACTGGCGTGACTACTTCTGTTTGGCGTGTCAGCAATGCCTGGCACCATGTATGCTGAGCAAGGGCTGAGATGGCATCCTTTGGCCTGCTGCTTGCGGAACTTGTTCATAGAGTTGAAAGTTGGCCTTCTCTGAAAGCTGGGCCTCTGAAAGTCATCTCCAGGCTCTGCTCCTGTGGCCCTGGGAGGTATTTGAGTTAGGTCAGAGCTCTGGTTTCCTGTAGAAACTGGTGTGTAAGCCATTGCCATCAGCATCTCAGTTAACCAGGGTGCTGCAGTGACGACTGGTATTGGAACCCTTTGTGGTGGTGCCTGCTTTCACCTGACATGCCATCGTCCAAGTGTGGGCTGGGGGTGTGCACCACCAACCTCGTGCAACTGGTTGGTATCGCTCTGTACTCTTTTCCCCACCTCCTGGAATGTTCAGGGCTGAAACAGACTTGTTCTTTTCCTTTTAAAAGTTTCCTTGTTCATCTCAGTGGGAGTTGGGTAGGGATGATAATTGAGTTGGTCTCAATCACTATTTATTTATTTATTTATTTATTTATTTATTTTATTTATTTACTTTTTTTTTTTAAGATTTTATTTATTCATGAGACACAGAGAGGGGACAGGGACATAGATGGAGAAGCAGGGGAGCCTGCTGCAGGACTCAATCCCAGGACCGCGGGATCACGACCTGAGCCAAAGGTAGATGCTCAACTGCTGAGCCACTTAGGTGGCCTGGCCTTAATCACTATTTAACCAGAAGTCTCAACCTGCCATCTGGATTGCAGTCATTCTGGGTTTATGTACAGCAACGACGCCGTCCTTTTGGACTACAGAGGAAAGTCGTCTTAAGAATGTACTGTGATCTGGCGAGAGGCTCCAGCAGCTCCATATGCTCCCCTGCTAACTGTTGGGCACTAGGTCGTCTTTCTGGAAAGGTCTAGTTAATGATAAGGTTAATGATAGTTAGAAGGCATAGGTGGAGGAAAGCCGTGAAAATACTTTGTTTCTTTTTAAAGTAAAGATGACACATCTGAAAGAGGGAATGCTCAGTTGTTGTTACTATCTGCAGTGTGTATTGGAGAATAGTTCCTGGATTTGTAACACACTTGTTTCAATACAGCAGTATTGGTCTCCATCCTTTTTTCTTGTTCGGGGTTGCTCTTCTCTGCAAACCTTGGTTTTTTATTTTGGTTTTGCTTAGGCAGCCCTCTGATGTAAAAATTGGTGGAATTGTCCCCTACATTATCATTCATTTCTGCCCAGGATGAGCATTAGTAAATTTCATGGATTGCTTCGCATTTCTGGATTTCTAACTCTGAACTTCTGATTCCCCCCCTTCCCCCCCACAGAGCCGAGAAAACAGAAGTCCTCAGTGAAGATCTGTTACAGGTAACGAAATAAAAATCTTTTTAAAGTGCTTTGTGTAAAGAGGATAAGAAACCAGACTTCCTTCGGGAGAACTGAAGTGGGTTTCTGTATGTCTGTGTAGGATCTGAAAGAGCAGGAAATTGATCAGCGTGGTGGTTCCGAGCAGGAGAGCAAAGCAGTTGGGTTGCCCGGTGATAAAAAGGGGATCTGAAACCTTGGTGTCATGTTATGAAGTTCCGACGGGGCTCGTCCTGCTTTCAAGCGCCAGGTGTTGGGGTGGGGTGGGGTGGGGGAGGGGTCTGGCCGGCCTGGCCAGCCTGGCCATGCCCTGGCGCTGGGGCCAGGTCCCGGGTCCCGGGCAGGCCAAGGGACAGTCGCTCGCCGCTGGGATGGTGTCCTTGATGGGACAGGCCCTGCCAGCTGCGGCAGAGGGCCCCACTGGCTCCGACCTAGAGTTTCGACTTCTCCTTCCATGTCACGCTTTTGTTCTGTCCAGTTCTGGGCTGAGTTGGGTCCCCAGGGACTTAGAGTCTTCGTGACGGTGACCAGACCTTGCAGAACCACTCCGAGGCCCTGAGGTGGCCTGTCATCAGCCTGGACTTGTCTTCCTCTCTGTGGGGATGGCTGTTTCCTGTGGGACCTGAGCCAGGGCCACTGCACTCCGTCGATCAACAGGCTTCTCTAACTTGCGTGCCGGAAGCTTGTTCCAGAAGGCCGGGGACCCTTTCTCTACATCTCTTCACTCAGCCTCAACCCCCTTGATCCCCACCCACCCCAGCGCACGCTGGGAAGGACAGAAGCCCTTCTGTAGGAGGTTTCTCTTTAGCCTCCTCGCTTGTGTCCTTGCCGCTCGTGTCCATGACCCACAGCAGGTGTGTGCACTTAGCCCCAGAAGACCAAAGATCTGCTCCCAGGTGCCTCTGTGTCTCTCCCTACAGAGACAAGGAGCTGACGTGGTTTAGAAGAATGTTGCTGGGACCACCCCGTGTCAGAACATCTCTCAATTATGACAGCCATCCGCAGGCACAATATCGTAGGAGTGCTTTTTTTTTTTCTTTTTTTGGACCAGAGGTTTTTATTAAGGATTAGAAGGGTTTGGGTTGTTTTTTAAGCCTATTTATTTATTTTGATGTGTTTATTTATTTATTCATGAGAGACACACAGAGAGGGGCAGAGACACAGGCAGAGGGCAAAGCAGGCTCCATGCAGGGAGCCCGATGCAGGACTTGATCCCGGGACTCCAGGATCACGCCCTGAGCTGAAAGCAGACACTCAACCACTGAGCCACCCAGGTGTCCCTTAAGATTTATTCGACAGTGATATTGTTAAAAATATTTCCACATTGACTTTTACCATGTATCTCAACTTCATTTTCAGACTTCCAAAGGTAACAGTTGGTCTAGTTGACCTTTAACTGGACTGGGTTTTCATGTCTGTGTTCTCCCTCCTACCCCCCACACCAGGGATATCCAGGATCTCATTGAACCCTTGAAGCCCCAGGATGAGGCCAGAGGGCCTTGCAGGCGGTTCAAGGATGGCAGGGTTCCCATGGAAGGCAGGCCGGCGACTGTCTGCGCTTGTCCCTCTGCCCAAACATCCACTGGGGCCCCAGGAGTTTGCCAGTTTCTAGGAACGCCTTTTTTCGTGACCCAGACACCTACTCCGTGTCTGCCATCACTGCCACAGATGGAATTTTTCCCCCTTTGACTATGACGAAAGACAGCAATGGGTAAAGGTGTGCAGTCTGATGCCTCCCTACCCCGCTCTGCCCTTGACTTGCTCTGTGGCCTCAGGGATTTCCTGAACCTCCCTGAGCCTCAGTTTCCACTTCTCTAAAATGGGAATATGGTTGGATCTACCCCATAGGGTTATTGGCAGGAATTAATGGGTTAAACAGGAGAGTACTGGGGAGGGATCCCAAACCACAGAGATTTTTTGTTTGTTTGTTTGCTTCTGGTATGAAACTTTCCTTAATTTGTACAGTGTTTTCCTGCCTCTTGGATCTCTGTGAGAGCATTTCAAGAGGCTTCTATTTTGCCTCTTGTTTTTCACTCATGAGTTCCTTTTGCTTCTGTGGAGTTTCCCTGGGAGGCTGTGAATCCCAGGAGGGCGAGAACCATAACCTATTTACTGTTGTTTTTCTAACACCTTGCACAGGGACTTGACACCTACCTGCCTTTTCTTTTCTTTTCTTTTCTTTCTTTTCTTTTCTTTTCTTTCTTTTCTTTTCTTTTCTTTTCTTTTCTTTTCTTTCTTTCTTTCTTTCTTTCTTTCTTTCTTTCTTTCTTTCTTTCTTTCTCTTTCTTTTCTTTCTTCTTTTCTTCCCAAAGATTTTATTGATTTATTCATGCGAGACACAGAGAAAGAGAGAGAGAGAGGCAGAGACACAGGCAGAGGGAGAAGCAGGCTCCCTACAGGGAGCCCGATGTTGGATTCGATCCTGGACTCCAGGATCATGCCCTGGGCCGAAGGCAGGTGCTCAACCACTGAGCCACCCAGGCTTGTGGGTGGCTTGTCCTTCAACAGATATTAAATGAACACTTTCCATTGGGATAAATCAGTGAACAAAACAGATCAAGACCCCTTTCCCTGTGGACTTTACAGTTTTCTAGTAGAAATCAGAATCAGAGTGAAATGGAGTTTGGGGGTTTTTGTTTTTTGTCTGTTTCGGGTTTGGGTTTAGCCTGTTTTCATGGCAAATAGAGTGTATTTTAGTTTTCCAGTGTTTTAAAAATCTGGTCGTTTTAGAAGACTAGGGGGAGGTGATGTGGCATTTGCTCCTTCTATGTACGAACACGGCTGTCAGGTCAGGGTCCCGGTGGTCGGGCCTAGGCTCCGAAGAGAAGCTGTTGGGACAGTCAGGGCTCTCAAGAAAGGAGCACAGAACCATGGCATCGGGTACAACGCTGCAGGGATAAAAATGCATTCTGCTTTGAATTTGTTGATTTTTCTTTAAAATAGAAAGCATCCCTAAGGGCCTGCACTCAATCTTAATGAGTCATCAGAATACACATTTTTGGCATTCCTTCCCTTGCAAAGCAGTTCTCTTTGCCATAAACAGCCATATCCCAGCAATAATATTTTGAGAAGCTAAATCGCGATGCATGGGTCCCCTAAGTCAGTGTTCCTTGCTGCTGGCTGTCCGTTCAGCCTTGGAGGTTTCTTTAAAACAACACAAAAAACAAAGCTGCAAGCCCACCCTAAACCCACTAAGGCATGATTTTGAAGACACTGACCCTGAGTGGAAATCGTGGGACATAGATTTTGATGTTCCGATGGGCTGATGTCCTGTGTGAGGAAGGCTGTGTTGCTGTCTGCAGGAGGTAGCTTCTGAGTGTCCCGGTGGCTTTTTCCCCCTTGGCGATGGGATTGGGCCTAAGGTGTTCCTTTGCACTTCTGCAGGCTCGGCCGCCACCACTCTCTCTGATAGCAGGTTTAGCCCGGACTCCGCGGCCTCCCTGCTCATGGACTTAGCCCTTGAGAGATCTAAATCTCTTGGTGTAAGGGAGGTCAGCGGCTCTCAGCCAGGGGCTATTTCGCCCTCTGGGGGGATGTTCAATAACGCGTGGTGACAGCATCGGTTGTCACAGCTCAGGGAATGGGGTGGGGAGAGGCCAGAGATGAAGCTGAACATACCATCATGCACAGCAGAGCCCCCCACCCCCAGAATTACCGGGTCCCAAGTGTCAATAATGAGAAACCCTGGTATAAGTGAATGGGACCATTCCCATGTATACCCCCGAGCTAAAAAAAAAAAAAAAATTAGAGCACAGGATGCTGTTTCTGCCTTTGTGGCAGCACCATGTAGAAAGAGGGGTGTGTGTTCTTCAGCCCTGTGAATGGCTCGTCTGTCTCTGTTTTCTCAGATCGAGCGGCGCCTGGACACGGTTCGGTCAGTGTGCCACCTTTCCCACAAGCGTCTGACGGCATGCTTCCAGGGCCAGCATGGCAGCGATGCCGAGAGGAGATACGTGAGTATCAGATGTGACTCGGGGCCGGGACACTTGTGTCCCTGTGAGGCTTTGCACCCTTCAACCCTTTGGTTTTTCTCAAGCAGCATCAGCAGAGTTGCCTGCAGATTTGTACCTAATATTGCCATTTACTTTCGTGACACCCGCCTGACCAGAACATTCTTTTGTGCTTAAGACCTTGCTGATCCGAAAGCCCTGCTCACACTGAACTTATTCCAGGTGCTTTCAAAGACTCAGTGAGCCATTTGTCATTGATAAGACAATGGAGACATCTGTTTGGAATGCTTTGGTGGCAAAAAGCTGAAAGAATATCTTTAATTGACTTAGCAAAAGGACATAATTTATTGGCTTACCAACCGGAAGGTTCCAGAAGCTGAGATGGATGTGAGGTGAGGCTTGGGCTCGCATTGTGGTGGTGTAACCAGAGCCCCGCTTTCTTCCCTTTTGCCCCTCCTGCCTTCTTCGGGGTCTGCTTTATCCCCAAAAGGGCACCTGTCATGGTCGTGGGTTGGCTACCAATGGCTTCCATGGGCTACTTGCTTCCTTGTGCATGTCCGGCAGGAGTAGAAAGTCTACCTTCCAGTAGTTTTCTTAACAGAGTGGGAAATCTTCGTTTTCCAAGTCCTTGGAAGGTAGACTTTGCCTTCTCTTTTGTTGATCTGTGTTGAGCCACAGTCCCCATTCCAGAACATTCCCATTCCACCTTGGTTATTGTGGGCAGGGGTGAGGTTGGTGAGGAGATGGGATGTGCATTGGCTTGAGCTAATCAGGACCTGTCCCTAGAGAGTGGGCTGAAGAGCTACCTCCAGCTCACAGGCTTTTATTGAGACCAGGGTGGATCCTTAGGAGAAATCAGGATGCCGTTGTAGAGAGGAAGAGGGACGGACTCCAGGAGAACCATTGAATGTGTACGTTTGTTCAAAGCATCCGGGTCCTCGTGTACCACCCGTAGAGCCAGCAGCCACGCTCATTTGGCAGTTCTGTCCTTGCGTTTTCAAGTTCCTAGCGTAGGAGCATATGCTAACCCTTGGAAGCCCATATACCATTAAGGTGAGAGTTTCAGGGTCATACCGGAAAGCTATGATTTGCCACCGGATATCTCAAAAGGAAGAGCTGGGATGCAGCTGATCAGTGTCACCGTCTTTTACATTTCCTACAGACATTTATGGGCTGTCTCTTGCCAGCAGGGTTATTCCTCCCTTGTGCAATACTGAGCTTGCTGCAGTAGGTATGCACTGAAGAGTGGGACTTTGCACGCACCCATGATTCCAGGAATGCTCGTGGCAAGTCCTGTTTGGCAGAACCAGACCCAATCCACTGGTTCTGTCCCCATGGCCCCTCTCATGCTCTTATCATGGCTTCTGCTCTACTTACCCTTCTAACATGGTGTCTTAAGGCTCTGTCCTCCTCCTTATTCCCCCAGTCACATACCTTGGGCCACCTCCTCTGTTCTCATGGCTTCTGGCTGATGTGTTTATGCCAAGGACTTCTACGGCATTTCAACCAAGCAACAAAACTTCCTTCCCTTACTGTCTATTTTAGCACGCACAACCAGTTCTTCCTTCTGTGCTGACTCTTGAGTCCCACCCACCGTGTTATGCAAGCTAGAAACTAGGGTTACCTGACATTCCATTTTATCCTCACCCTCCCATAGCTTCTTGATTAGCAAGCCCTGTGATTGTGAATATTTTTTGAATTCCTCACCTCTGCGCCATCTCTGCCACTTTTGCGTTAAACAAGACCTGATTACCTCGGGGATCCCTGGGTGGTTCAGCAGTTTGGCACCTGCCTTCGGCCCAGGGTGTGATCCTTGTCGGGCTCTTTGTGTGGAGCCTGCTTCTCCCTATGCCTGTGTCCCTGCCCCCCTGCCCTCTTTCTCTCTCTGTCACTCTTGAATAAATGAATAAATCTTTAAAAAACAAAACAAAACCTGATTACTTCTCACCCGCATGGTGTGGTCACCTCCTGAGCTTTGCTTCCTGCCTCTAGTTGCCTTCTTTTCCAGCCTGTCTCCACCCAGATCATCAGAATGGTTTTTTCTAAAATACAAATTGATGCTGTCATCCTCCTGCCTGGAAAAAAAAAAGAAAGAAAGAAACTTAGCTTATTGGTTCTCAGCAGGGACCAGAAGCGCACTCCTGGGGATATCTGGAAATACGTAGAGACATTTTGGGTTACTATAGGGACTGGGGACACTAACTGGCACTCGGAGGGTGGGGACTGAGATGCCCAATGTCCTGTGGTGCCTGAATGACAGTCCTACTTTGCAAGTGGCCAGTGGTGCCTCCTTCGAGGGGTGCTGGCCATTTTCCATGTGGAGATCCGAGTCCAGGCTCTGCAGCATGCCCAGCCCTTCACGATCTGATCCTGTCTTCCCCAGTGTTCCCAGTGTCTCCTGCTTCCTCTCACTCATGCCACGTGCCCTTACCCTTCACATCATGTCTCGTCATTCCCCCTCAGTGCTTTAAGACACCATTTGGGTGTCCCATATACTCATAAAAAAACAAAGGAACAAGTACTTACCAAACACCTACTGTGTGCAGGTGCTGGAGATATAAAATGAAGAAGCTGTAGTCTCCACCTCAAAGCTGCTCACAGCCTGGTGGGGAGAGACACACAAATGGACCATCAGAAAACACAGCATGCACAGGGTGTTAGGGGAGGAATGAGAATGGGCATCACCGGAGGAAAGAGGTAGTCAGGTGAGGCTTTCCAGAGGAGGTGGTGGCCCAGCTATTAAAGGCGGGCAGTAAAAAAAAAAAGGGCGGGCAGTGAGTGGCAGGTGATGGGCATATTTTCGGCAGCAAGGACAAAGGTGCCTGGCCTTATTTCGAAAACCTAGTGCCTAGGCTTCCTTTTCCAACCTCAAACAGAAGTGCCAAGGCAGGGCTCCGAAGCTGTCTCCCCTGTGCACGTGGGAGAAGCAGTCACCACGGAAACGAGAAAAGATAACCACGGGGGTCCTACAGTGCAGAGAAATGGCAGCAGTCTCCAGGGCTCTAGAACACACAGGAAGAGCCCTGCAAAGGCCCCACGAGAGGCCCCTCTGCATGCGGAGAGGCACGAAGCGCAGGGGGTGGTCTTCTCAGTCCAATAGGGGACCAAGGTGGAGCTGATGCTGTGAGTCATATGAGATGTGGAGTAGCTGCTTTTTGTGCAGTTGGCATGCATTTTATAAATTATGACTTCAGAACTTTTTAAATAAATCTCTGATGATAAAAAAGAAAAAAAAGCTGTCCATGCTTAGGAAGTGCTCAGCTGTGTTTGTGGAGGAGTATGGCAGTGGTAGGTACCATCTTCATCCAGGAGCACAGGGTTAAATAAGCAGAATGTCCCGATTTATGTACGACAGGAAACAGGATTGTGGTGGCTTTGGGTTCAGGACCTGGAAACCACAAGGCTGTTTACAGCTGGGAGCTTGAATGACACTTGTCAAAGTAGACTCCTCTTTTTATGATTTTTTTTTTCTGTCCAGAGCTCCAGAGTTGCACAAAGTATATTTCTCCTGATGATTGCATTTATCCCAGACTTAAATTCCCTTAGGACGGCGGCATTATTGGAGCTCCTGGGCAGCACAGTTGGTTGTGTCTGACTCTTGGCTTTTGCTCAGGTCATGGTCTCAAGGTCATGCGATCAGGTCCCAGGATGGGCTCCGTGCTCAGCACAGTCTGCTTGGGACTCTCTCTCCCTCTCCCGCTGCCCCTCCACACCCCTGGTCACACACTCACTCTTTCTCTAAAGTAAAATAAACCTTAAAAAAAAAAAAAAAGACAGCATTCCTAAAATGTATGAATTACCCTCACTGTGATCTAGGCCCCCTGCCCATCCTCTCCTGTCTTCCTGGTGTGGAAGTGCAGAAGCTGGAAATGTCTCCTTGTGGGGCAGGTAATGCTTGCTATTGACTTAGTTGAAAACAACTTGAGAAAATGAGAGATGGGTAAATAGAGTTGTTATTTATCTTTACGTTTCAATATACTGTTTTTTGGATCGGCTGCATATTTACATGGTCAAAACCCAGAATACACAGAAGAACATAAAGCAAGGTCTTTCCCGGTCCTGTTCCCCAGGCACCGTGCTGTCCTCTCCAGAAGGAGCAGCACTAGTCGTTTCCTGTATACCCTTCCAGAGATATTCTCTACAAGGCAAGCAAATGTGCGTGTGTCGCATGGAGCCCATTGATAGTAGGAAAGGCAGGTGGCCCGTAAAGGTCAAGGTTCGACAGTGGCACGGCAAGACGGACCCTGTGTTCTTGCCGTGAGGGCCCTTTCTAGTGAGGAAGCAGAATCACATGGATCTGTTAGCAGATCCTGTGGTATCCCCAACCCACTTTCCAGGGACTTCCCAGGCCCCTTATAGCCATATTCTGAGATGAGCCCTCAACCAGTGGTGGAGAGGAGCTGAACTGGGGCGCAGGCCATGGGCGTGGAGGTCTGGCTCTGTTGCCCCTCACCGGGGTCCCCGGCCAATCCACCTGACCTCCCCCAGGCTTCACGTTCCTTGACTGGACAATTAGAGCATTAATCAGATGACCCTTATGGTCATTTCCAGCTGAGAAACAGATGTGTGAGAGGAAATTGCATGGCTTTGTGCTTAAATCCTGGAAGAAAACTTTTTCCGATATTTAGCCAGATACTTTTAGATACTTCAGCTGTATAGTTATGATTCCAGCCAAATTAAGAGCCAGTTTATGAATAAGTATTCTACGGGCTGTGGGGTGCCTGGGTGGCAAAGTCGTTAAGGGACCAACACTTGGTTTTTTTTTTCCTTTTTTTTTTAATCAGATTTTATTGTATTATGGGGCACCTGGGTGGCCCAATCAGTGAAGTGCCTTTGGCTCAGCGGGGAACCTGTTTCTCTCTCTCCCTCCGCTCCCCTGCTTGTGCTTTCTCTCTCTCTCAGATAAATGACTAAAACCTAAAAGAGTGTGAGGAGAGGGACGAGAGAGAATCTGAAGCAGATTTCCACGCTGAGCAGAGACGGACATGGCGCTTGATCCCACAGCGGTGAGATCATGACCTGAGCCGAAAGCAAGAGTTGGACGCTTAACCGACTGAGCCGCCCATGCAGCCCCCACTCTTGGTTTTGGTTCAGGTCATGGTCTCAGTGTCATGGTCTCTGGGGTCATGAGATCAAGCCCCAGGTTGGACTCGGGTGGAGTCTGCTTCTCCCTCCCCCCCCCATTTGTGTTCTATCACTTTCTCTCTTCCTCAAATAAATAAAATCTTTAAAAACGGTAACAGCAACCACAACAATAATACTAGCAGCTGGCATTTACTGAATTATTTTACCACGTGCTTGGCACTTGGTGTTGAATATCTCCATAGACAGACGGCCGTAGGACACTCGCACTGTTATCATGTCTCTGGATCATCTATGCTTGAGGACATGGGCACAGAGGTAAAGTCCCATAACTTCTACCTTTGAGACCAGAACCTGAACCGAGACAGGCTGTCTCTTATCTGTACGGTTTGCCTGGAGGAGAAATCACTGAAGGGTGACCTGAAGCAGGTCATTGAGAATGGGTGTCAATAATAGTGAAACCAACACAATGTCTTTTTCTGCTTTCCAGAAAAAACTCCCTCTGACCGCTCTCGCTCAGATCATGCAAGAAGCATCGACTCAACTGGAAGACTCTCTGCTGGGGTAAGTGTTGGCTGCTTTCAGGCAGAGAGCGCAGTGCCCTGTGAGTCAGTGGGAATGTGTAGGTGGGTGGTGTGTGTGACAGCCACCTGTGTGACAGAGGGACCGTGAGCATGATGGCGTGGAGCATCCACCAGGAGAATGACACAGTCTCTGTGGGGAAAAAGTGGGACACGGCCACTGGGATGGTAGAGAATCTTCCATTGAATAGGAACAAAGCTGGGGTTGGTTGAAAGGGCTGCTAGTAGTACGCCTGGGTGGCTCAGTGGTTGAGCATCTGCCTTTGGCTCAGGGTGTGGTCCCAGGTCCCGGGATCGAGTCTCACATCGGGCTCTCCACAGGGAGCCTGTTTTTCCCTCTGCCTGTGTCTCTGCCTCTCTGTGTGTTCATGTATTCATGATATAAATAAATAAAATAAATAAAATATATTTATTTTAAATAAATAAAATCCTTTAAAAAAAAGGGAGGGGTGCTGCTAGCAAAAGTAATTGGTAGGGTCCATATTTATACCTCTGAATTTGGGTATAAAGAATAATAAGTCCTTTCCGTGTTCCAGCTGTTGACTCAGGTTTACAAACTCTGACTGACCCCTTCTGGTCCTTAAGAGTCACTTCCTAGGGCGCCTGGGTGGCTCAGTCGTTCAGGCATCTGCCTTCGGCTCAGGTCATGATCCCGGGGTCCTGGCATTGAGCCCTGCATCAGGATCCCTGCTCAGCAGGGAGTCTGCTTCTCCCTCTGCTCCTCCCCTGCTTGTGCTCTCGCTCTCTGTCTCTCTCTCAAATAAATAATAATCTTAATAATAAAAGAGTCACTTCCTTTAAGGGTGGTCACCATTATATCAATCGTGGTTATCTCAAAATGGTGTTATATGTGAATTATTTGGATTTTTTTATTTTTGCAGGAAGCATGTGTTATTTAATAATTTTTCAAAATCTAATAATGAAACTGTTTTCACTATAAGAGGGAAGGTTGACTGCCCTTCTACTTGCATCTGTGTGAAGCTGGTGTCCTTTTATCCCCTCTGCTCTCTCCAGCTGTACGGTGGGCTTTGCTTTCCGGCTGCCATGCATGGACTTTGACTTCACATTTCCTGGGGCCTGTCCTGCTCCATGGCTTACAATTCTTCCTTTGTTCTTTGAAGGATGATGGTTTCCCCTCACTCTTTATGCTTTCTCCATCCTGTCTATGCTCTCATATTGCGGACAATGGCCCTGGGTGGGGGGCGGGGGCGTGGCACACGTGTCCATGCTGGCGCCCCTGTTCCCTCCAGGTAGGTTGTGTCCCAGTTTTTCTCCTTCCTACTGTTGTCGTCAGCACAGCTGCTTCAAGAGTGCTTGCTCTGCACTAGCACTGTTCCACGTGCTTTCCAAGTAGTCACTCACTGAGTCCTCCAGACAACCTAGGAGGGAGCCTGTATTGCCACTGCCATTCTACCACTGAGGAAATTGACAGACAGAGACAGTAAGTCCACTGCCCCAGACCACACAGCTGGTGAACGGCAAAGCCTGGTTCCCAACTCGGGCAGCTTGGCACCAGAGATCATGTTCTTAATGACAGCACCAAGGCCATCTCATGCCTGTGCCACACACATTACTCTTTCAGTAGAACGCCATGGAGATCTTGAAGGGGAGAGCAAGGAGGGAGGTAAGATGAGAGAGGGAGTGTCAGGATGAGAGCAGTCGCCTCACTGGCACCCGTCCTCCGTGTGACATCAGCTATATGCTTACAGGGAAGCAAAAGGAAACATGATGGTTGTTAGCCCATGGTCTCTTCTACCCAGTAGAAAACCAGCACTCGCAGTAACTCTGGAGAAAACACTGCCTAGGCTGGCCTCGCTAACAGACACAAAACAGCAGAGAATGAACTTTCGGTAGGATTCTAAAGAATTTCAACAGGCTTTGCAGGACACGCGCGTTGAGAACCTAATCCTAGAGTTATCACCTCACGTTCACATACCTGCCTTACACATAACACACAAAGTATACCCACGATAGTCCTTTTCATTTTATTTATTCATTTTTTAAAGATTTAATAAATTTAATGTTTTATAGCAACAGATGAAACATTAACCTAGCAATATAGTTATCAGTTTAACAGATGCATAAGACACACTTGATAATGCCCATGAACGGTCGTTTTGATTTTAAAGCACAGATCTGGGTACGCCTGGGTGGCCCAGTGGTTGAGCATCTGCCTTTGGCTCATGGAGTGAGACTGGGGTCCTGGGATTGAGTCCTCCCCATGGGGAGCCCGCTTCTCCCTGTGCCTGTGTCTCCGCCTCTCTCTCTGTGTCGCTCATGAATAAATAAATAAAATCTTTTAAAAAGTAAAAATAAAGCACAGATCTGTGGACTCACATTTTGGGTGACACCCCAAACTTCTAATGTTTTTAAGGTTCTACTGTGTGGCACCCTAATGTGTTCCCATCCTGTAGTGAGCAGCACTGGCCCGATATGGTACTGACCTACCTGACTTACTGAGCATACGCTTGTTGTGGGGGTGTCTTGTGTTTTTAAAGGAAGATGCTGGAGACATGTGGGGATGCTGAGAATCAGCTGGCTCTCGAACTTACTCAGCATGAATCCTTTGTTGAGAAAGAGATTGTGGATCCTCTGTGCAACATAGCAGAGGTGAGTTCTTTCACCGGGCCACACAGAAGAGCCAGGATTGGTGGGGGACGCATGATGAATGGTTTGCTTGTGTCTACAGTTTTAACAGTAATCCGCGGCTTTGACGTATGCTTCTTTTTGGAAAGAAGGGGAATAAATGGTGGGTACAAAATCTTATGCCAAGAGGGAAAAAAAAGTAAATTAATTATGCCCTTTCAAATGTTAAGTTTAAAACCCAAAGCTCATCCTATTTCATGTGTGGTTTGTGCTTTCTAGCTGGAGATTCCCAACATCCAAAAACAGAGGAAACAGCTTGCTAAATTGGTGTTAGACTGGGATTCAGTCAGAGCCAGGTAAGGTAGAGCTATGAAAATAACTTCTCCCAGCAACCATCCTCATCCCCCCACACAGGTGAGGGAAAGGTCACTCGGTGGACAAAATGCAGGTGTCCAGATTCACGCACTTGACCCACAGACCAAGTCACACCCACTTACACCTGCTTTTAGGGTTCATTCTCCCAAGTGTGGCAATGGAGATGATGTTAGAACATCCTGTTCTTAGTGAATCAGCAGTCAAAGGAGGCAGAAAAAAAGGAAAAGACAGAAACATAAGTAAGTGTCTTAAGGGGCGAGGAGTCAGTGGCTAACCGTTCTAAGAGCATTTGTTGCTAGGGTAGCAGAGGGTAGGAATAAGTAGATCTCTGATCTTAGCAGTTCTGAGGGACCTGCTGTGTCCAAACCCCATGTGGTTGTGGTCCTTTCACAATCCAATGCTGCATTCAGGAGGGAGCAACGCCCGTAAAACTCAGTAACCATCTCTGAGAGCTGCTGACCTGTGGGTTGGTGCTGGATGGCTGTCTGCCGTGCTTCCTGGCAGGACTGCAGCCTGGCTGTGTCCCCGAGGGCATCTGCATCCGTGACTTATGTGGCTTTTTCCTCGGGTGACAGTGGGGAATATGGAGACAGTGCCCCGGCCCCATCCTTCCTCAGACTTTATCACAAGGACTGCTAAACTTTCTGTAAAAGGAAAAAAACCAAAACAAAACAACAACCTTTCTGTAAAAGGACAAGTAGTGAATATTTTCAGCGTTGCACCCCGGGTGGTCCCCGTTACAGCTATTCAACTGCACTGTGTAGCATAAAAGCAGTGCTGGACCATAAGGAAATGAAAGCGTGGCTGTGTTCCAATAAAACTTCATTATTATTTTTTTTAAAGGTGGCTCTGTTAGCTCTCTGGTTTGTTTATTTTTTTAATTATTAAAGAATAATTGGCATACAATATTGTATATTTTTACGTGCACAACTTTGATGCGACAATTCTATGCATTGCTCTGTGCTCATCACAATAAGTGTCATGACCATCTGTCCCCATAGAAAGTTATTACAATATTATTGTGTTGCCTATGCTGTGGCTCTTCATCTCTGTGACTTATTTTGTAGCTTAATTCTCATTGCGGTCCTGTGAGGTAGATGTGATTATTTCTCTTTGGCAAATATATGGGGATACAGCCCTCATTTCCTGAGCTTCTACCCATCACAGGTCTTTTTATTGCAGATTTAGAACATCTGTAGCAATTCTACAATATAGCATTTCCTTGTTTCTAAGCATTTCTCCTTGTTTCTAAGATGCCACTGAGTATCCTGCACCACTGATTTAATATTTACTTTTTGGGTGGAGGGTGGCAGGGAGAAACACCACTCGATTTAATGTACAAGTCACTTTTAAGACATGTCCTGATTTAAGAAACGTCGAGATCATAAAAGGTATACATCTAGGCATTAGCACATGGTAAAAGTAATTGCCAGCACTTACTGGCCACTGGCCACATGCCAGGTATTGAGCTTGTTTGATCCTTCCACCGGTTGCTATTTATTGGCTCATTGATGTTTTCACCAGCTCTCAGTGGGGTGCTTACTGTGTCAGACTCTCGGCTAGGTATTACATGCAGAGACCCCTCAATGAGGATTGGAGAGGGAGCAGGATTTCGTGGGTTAGGTAACACCCCTTACTCTTGAGAAGAGACCTCTTTTACAGATACCGGTGGAACCTCCCCGAATATCCGCATGACTTGCTTCATGCCTTAGAGATGATAAATGTCAGAGCGAGGGTCCTGTCTGCAAACGCTCGCAGATGGTCCTGTCTGCAAACCCTCGCAAATGTTCCGTGTACACCTGTGATTAAATCCTCGGGCCTGGACCAGGCGTGGAGGCCACTGTGAGGTAGAGTTTGGGCTCAAGATAAAGAAGAATGTTCTAATGGTTAATTAAATGAGGCCATGAATGCTCTTTACTGGAGTTGGTTGAGTGACATCATAGATGCTTATCTGCCACAAAGTTTACGTCTATAATACATGTATTTATCCCGGAGGGGATTTCAACACTGATTCTTGATCTGCCTTCGTGGTCTTGTTCGCTTAACCAATCAAAGCAGGTATTAGAGAAACAAACAGTTGAATATTTCTTCTTTACTTATTCCCGTGGCTTTTCCCTGGAGGGAAATGATAATCACTAATGACTAATTACTCCTCATTTTCTAAGTAGGAATCCATTATACGGCAGATATTATCGGTACACACACACACATATGCATAAATATTTGTCCTCTCCCTGACTCCTTATGATGGTTCTGCAAGGCATCTTGTTTTACAAATGAGGTTAGTGAGGCACAGAGAGGTTAAGTCATTTCCTGAGGTCACACAGCTAGTGACAGGGAGAGCCAGTTTTCAAACCTGAGCATGTCACACTCCGAGGTCCATGCTCTGTCTACTACATGACATCGCCAGCTGGGCAAGTGTGCCAAAGGCCTGCTTGGAAGAGTGCCTCACCTCGGGAACTGGAAAGAAGGCAAAGCAGCATGCTATCTGGGGGGCGGTGCAGCAGCTGGGAAGCTTGAGGAGTTGCTAGCATGGGTTTTCATCTCCATAATATCCATGTTTACATTTCAGTTGTTGAAACTTTCCAGAATACTCCAACAGAAGGTCAAAGCGTACTTGAAAACCACACAGAAAGTGTTATAGATTATTATCCCCATGCACTCCCCTATTCTTGCTATGATAGAATTCTTCCTTTGTTCAGTCCTCTTGACCTACTGAAAAGGGAATGTAAATATTCCACATTATGCTTCAGATTTGCTTTAAATTTTGTCTTTAGAATATTAATTCTAAGAAATGTTTTTAATTCTACAAGTACTTTCCTTGCTGTGGATTGCTAGCTGCATGACTGAAGTTCTGGATTTTACTTGCTGGAAGTGATCACAGATGAGGATGGTAGCGGGAAGAGTCATAGGAGTCCAAGAGCAGGATTGACTCCCAGTGACTCAGGAACATTCCAGGTCAAAGGAGGAAAGCACATGGGCTGTTTGATGGCAAGGATGGAACGATTAGACACTCTAGGAAAGGGGTTTCACGGCATGATTTCCAGCAGTGGGGCGTGTGAGACAAGGTGGGGTAGATTATTCTCAGAGCGGACAGCTGTGCAAGAGTCCTGTCATGCTGAGGAGCTCCTGGTTCTTTTTGCTTGCTTCCATTCCTGGAAGATAAACTCAAGAGAAGCCGACATCCTAGGTATGCTGCCCAAACCAGGGAGAATCAGTTTGGGGAAAGAATCTGTCTCCCCGAGGGCCTTGACTCTCTACAAGGTTGAATATGTGCAGCTGGTTCTCAGGTGCTGGTTGCCCCATGTTTTGCAGGTGGAACCAGGCTCACAAATCTTCAGGAACCAACTTCCAGGGGCTTCCATCAAAAATCGATACCCTAAAGGAAGAGATGGATGAAGCTGGAAATAAAGTAGAGCTGTGCAAGGTACAAGACTTTCCTGAATACTTTGTTCTTGGGGATCCCTGGGTGGCGCAGCAGTTTGGTGCCTGCCTTTGGCCCAGGGCGCGATCCTGGAGACCCGGGATCAAGTTCCGCATCGAGCTCCCGGTGCATGGAGCCTGCTTCTCCCTCTGCCCGTGTCTCTGCCTCTCTCTCTCTCTCTCTCTCTCTCTCTCTCTATCTCTATCTCTCTCTCTCTGTGACTATCATAAATTAAAAAAATAAAAAAAATTAAAAATAAAAAAAAAAACACTTTGTTCTTGCATCAACCTGGTGCTTGCAAATGACAGAGGAAAGGTCAAATATTGCAGATTATTGAGTGTGCCACACAAGTCCTATCAGAATACTCTGAATGACAGGAAAGGGGGGTTTTAGTTTGTTCTTCCTTCTTTATTTTCTAAGACCCTGCATGACTTTGTTCAGAATAAAACATTCTTTGAAAAAAATTCAATTCATTTTTTTAAATGACAAAAATGTCTGAGCTCATTTAAGATAAAGAATAGATGAAAAACGGGCAAAAAAAAAAAAAAAACCGTAGCAAAACATACAAGGTTACAGCAATTAAAACAGTGCACAATAGGGGTGCCTGGCTGGCTCAGCCAGTGGAGCAGGTGACTCCTAATCTCAGGGTTGTACGTTTGAACCTCACATTGGGTATAGAGTTTTGGGGTTTTTTTTTTTTAGATTTTATTTACTTATTAGAGAGAGAACATGAGAGCACGAGCTGAAGGGAGGGCAGAGGGAGAAGCAGACTCCTCCCTGAGTAGGGAGCCTGATGCAGGACTCCATTTCAGGACTCTGGGATCATGACCCAAGCCAAAGACAGACTCTCAACTGACTAAGCCAGCCAGGTGCCATACATTTTATTTTATTTTAAATTTTTATTTATTTCTTTGTTTAGAGAGAGCATGAGCTGGGGGAGGGACAGAGGAAGAGGGAGAGAATCTCAAGCAGACTCCGCAGTGAGCAAGGAGCCCTACACAGGGCTTGATCTCTTGACCCTAAGATCATGACCTGAGCCAAAATCAAGAGTCAGACACTCAACCATTAAGCCACCCAGGAGCCCCCCAAAAGAAAATCTTTTTTTTTTTTAAAAAAAAGCACAATAGGCACAAAAATCATTCTGCAGAATAGCTAGGCTTTCTACAATTAATGCTATTATTCTAAATAATTGAATATAGGGATCCCTGGGTGGCGCAGCGGTTTGGCGCCTGCCTTTGGCCGGGGCGCGATCCTGGAGACCTGGGATTGAATCCCACATTGGGCTCCCGGTGCATGGAGCCTGCTTCTCCCTCTGCCTGTGTCTCTGCCTCTCTCTCTCTGTGACTATCATAAGTAAATTAAAAAAAAAAAAACTAAATCTTTAAAAAAAAAAGTAAATAAATAAATAAATAATTGAATATATACTAAAGGGATCATCATATATCTATAGAGAAGGAAAGGATTACTTTTTAACTGTTGCTAGAATTGGTTTATATTTGGAAAAAACAGAACTTTTAAAAACGTTTTTAATTTTTATTTATTTATTTGTTCATGAGAGACACAGGGACATTGACAGAGCGAGAAGCAGGCTCCATGCACTGGGAGCCCGACGTGGGATTCGATCCCGGGTCTCCAGGATCGCGCCCTGGGCCAAAGGCAGGCGCCAAACCGCTGGGCCACCCAGGGATCCCCCCAATTAAGTGCTTCTGATAAAATAGTCTCATCGTGGTTTATTGTTCAGAAGAGTTGTAGCTTTGCTAGTGGCATTACAGAGCATTCCTCAGATCCAGTCTAAGCTGGATCTTGGCTACTGGCTGCTTAGACATAAATGTGGGAGAGATCTTAGGAGTCTGAACTGGTATGTTATGGGCTGAAGTATCTTCTCTCAACTTCCATGTCATAGTTTCTCATTTCAAATGGTGAAAACCTGTGACGATAGTTTCTGTCTCCCTTTTTACTGACTTCTATGATTTCCTGAGATCTAAATACATTTTCACTGTTTTTTTCTTTAACTAGGTCTCATCTACTGTATAATTTACATCGAGTTTTGAATTTCATTTACTGCATTTTTCAGTTCTAATTCTTCAAAGTCAGTGTTTTTTGATAGTGTGTTATTGTTTTCTAGTGCTTCTTTCTTTTCTCACGTTTAATCATTTTATATGTACTTATCATAACAGTCTTTGAGAATTCTGTTTCCTCTGTAAGAATTTGCTTCATGGTGGATTGTTTCCTCCTGTGTTTTGCAGTTTTGTACTGCGAGCTCATTTTAAGAGAGACTTTGTCTCTGGGACTCCTAGGGATTGGGAGTGATTCTCCCCAGAGAGCATGACCAGTGCCAGGCCCTTTTTAACTAACCTTTCACGGTTTGAGGATCCCCCACACAACACGTATAGTAAACTCAAACTCCAGACCTTTGCGAAAGCAGATGTAAAATGTTTGTCAAATCCAGGGAAATGTTTTTACTTTCCCAGACTCAGAGCCCAACACAAAATGCATATACTGTAGTCTTGCCATACACTGCTGAGCAGATGTTTCCTAATCTACCCTGTCATCAGAGGAACAGTTCCTTGGGAATGTTTGTGTGGGATGTACATGTGCTTGTCTGTTACAGTTCCTCACTTCACCAGGCCCAAGGCTTCATTTTCTTTTTTTTTTTTTAAGATTTTATTTTATTTATTTATTTTTAAATATTTTATTTATGAGAGACACATAGAGAGAGACAGAGACATAGGTAGAGGGAGAAGCATGCTCCCTGCGGGGAGCATGCTGGGGGACTCGACCCCAGGACCCTGGGATCATGACCTGAGCAAAAGGCAGATGCTCACCCATTGAGCCACCCAGGCATCCCTAAGATTTTATTTCTCTATTTGAGAGAGAGTGTGTGCATGGAGGTGGGGGAGAGTCAGAAGGAAAAAGAATCTCAAGCAGACTCTCCACTAGCAGGGAGCTGGAGGCGAGCCTCCATCCCAGGACCATCAGATCACGACCTGAGCTGAAAGCAGACGCTTAACCGACTGAGCCACCCAGGCACTCTCAAGGCTTCATTTTCCGTCTTCTGACCCCATGTGACCACTAGACTCAATTGTCTTGGCCATCAAGGTGGCACAAACTCACTGAGGTCACCCCCAGCTTCCACTAGTGCCAGGCCTTTTCTCCTCCCTTTTTTTAAAATTTATTTCTCAAATTTCATTTAAATTCTATTTAGTTAACATATAGTGTAAGAGTAGTTTCAGGAGTAGAATTTAGTGGTTCATCACTTACATACAACACACCCTGCTTAGCACAAGTGCCCTCCCCCTGTCCCTCTCCCCATTTAGCCTGCCCCCCCCCCACACACACACACCTCCCCATCAGCAACCGTTTAGAGTCTCTTTGGGGCTCCTGGCTGGCTCAATCAATAGAGCATACAACTCTTGATCTTCGTTGGGGTTTGAGAGTTCAAGCCCCATATTGACCTTGGAACCTACTCAAAAAAAGAAGAGGGTCTTTCTTATGGTTTCCTTCCCTCTTTTTCCCCCCTGTGTTTATATGTTTTGTTTTGTTAAATTCCACATGTGAGTGAAAAGGCTTTTCTGTTTCTTTTCCCTTCTTTTCTTTCTTCTCTGCCCTGCCCTCATTCTCTTTTCTTTCTCTCCCTCTCTTTTTTGAGGGTGTAGAGGTGGGGCTCCATGAATTACTCTGTTGCTTTCCTGGTTATTCTTTTTTTTTTCCTGGTTATTCTAAAAGAATTTTTGTTGCTCCAAACTAGCATTTCCAGATATTTTTCATAAAGGAGGCCTTCGTGTTAATTTGTGCACTGAAAACAGAAGACAGTACATTTTATAAATACATACGTAATTCAAATATAATCTAGGATGTCTATAATTTGAATATATCAGATTAATTAGAATGTAATTCTAAAATAATAAGGAAAAGTAGGATATATTTCTGTCCAATTGGCTAATCTATCATTCTTTTTTTAAAGATTTTATTTATTTATTCGTGAAAGATACAGAGAGGGAGAGAGAGGCAGAGGGAGAAGCAGGCTCCGTGCAGGGAGCCCGACGTGAGACTCGATCCCAGGTCTCCAGGATCAGGCCCTGGGCTGAAGGTGGTGCTAAACCACTGAGCCACCCAGGCTACCCTAATCTATCACTTTTTAAATAAATTATTTAATTTTGTATAAGCAATTCATCTACATTAGTTCAAATATCAAAAGTATAAAACAGGCACCTGGGTGGCTCAGGTGGTCTGCCTTCTGCTCAGGTCATGATCTCAGGGTCTCGGGACTGAGTCCTGCATCGGGCTGTCTGCTCAGTGCAGAGTCGGCTTAAGATTCTCTTTCTCGGGGATCCCTGGGTGGCTCAGCGGTTTGGCACCTGACTTTGGCCCAGGGCATGATCCTGGTGTCCCAGGATCGAATCCCACGTCAGGCTCCCGGCATGGAACCTGCTTCTCCCTCCTCCTGTGTCTCTGCCTCTCTTTCTATGTCTATCATAAATAATAAATAAATCTTTTTTTTTCTTTTTTTTATAAATTAACTTTTATTGGTGTTCAATTTACCAACATACAGAATAACACCCAGTGCTCATCCCGTCAAGTGTCCCCCTCCGTGCCCGTCACCCATTCACCCCCACCCCCCTAAATAAATCTTAAAAAAAAAAAAGATTCTCTTTCTCTCCCTCTGACCACTCCCCTATACACATGTGTGCTCTCTGTCTCTAAAATAAATAAATCTTTGGAAAAAGTAAAAAACCATACAGAGTGAAGTCTTTTCTTCCATCCTTGTCCTGCTTCTACTGAACTCCCACTGCTCACCAAAGGTAACCCCCTGTTGTCAATTTCGTGTTTTTTTCTTCCAGAGATATTTTTAATCAAATGTAGCAGCAAAAATATAACATTTCTTTCTTTCCTATTTTTACACAGATGGTAACACAGCATAAGTAATGCTCTATACTTCACTTCTTAATAAGGAATATGAGCCGTGTATCTTGGAGATCTTGCCATATCATTCCCCTAATAAGCTTCCTTCTTTATTTATTTATTTATTTATTTATTTATTTATTTATTCATTCATTCATTCATTCATTCATTCATTGTCATCCTAGTTATGGACATGTTTTTGTTTTTTGTTTTTTATTTATGATAGTCACACACACAGAGAGAGAGAGAGAGAGGCAGAGACACAGGCAGAGGGAGAAGCAGGCTCCATGCACCGGGAGCCCGACTTGGGATTCGATCCTGGGTCTCCAGGATTGCACCCTGGGCCAAGGGCAGGCACCAAACCGCTGCGCCACCCAGGGATCCCCTGTTTTTGTTTTTGTTTTTTTAAGATTTCATTTATTTATTTGAGACAGAGAGAGAGGGGGGCACGAGTAGTGAGGAGGAACAGAGGGAGAGAGAGAAGCAGACTCCCTGCTGAGCAGGGAGCTCGATGCAGGGCTTGATCCCAGGACCCTGGAATCATGACCTGGGCTGAAGGCAGATGCTCAACCAACTGAGCCCCCCCAGGCACCCTCCCAGATGATGGGCATTTAATCCGTGGCTCTTTCCATGACATTTTGCTCTGAGAGCCCATGGATCTTAATTCTCAGATACCATTTTCTTCAGTGACTTGTCTTCTCTTCCACTCACCAGGATCAACTAGCAGCAGATATGTACAGCTTTATGTCCAAAGAAGGGGAGTATGGCAAATTCTTTGTTACGGTAAGCACCTTCCCTTGACAAAATACGAACGCATTGTAAAAATTGAGTCATTTTAGCTTTCTTTTGCAAAAGATTTCATTTTTGGTTTTGCTCACCATTGTGTGTGTGTCCATCTGATGCTAACGTTACTTTTGTTTTTGAATGTGGGTCTGTTCTCAGTTATTAGAAGCCCAAGCAGATTACCATAGAAAAGCATTAGCAGTCTTAGAAAAGGCCCTTCCCGAAATGCGAGCCCATCAAGGTAATGTAACCTGCGTGCTGGCTGATGCCCCTTTCCTAAGCCTCTGCCACTTCCGCCTCTGTTCTTCTTCCCCTGACTCCTTTGCATGCATCTCCTCTGGCTAACGCCTCTCTGCCTCGGAGAGTACTGTCTCCCAGCATAATTTCATCTTTCCTCGCCGCATTCTCTAATTTCTTCCAACCCAAATTAACATACTAATGGGACATTCACAGCTCCCCTGACATCTTCAGTTGAAGAGGGAGCTGGACCCTTTGGGCTGTGCCTGTGTGTGTTTTCCCATCTTATCCTTTCCCAAGTCAGTTATTCATTCCGTTGGGTTTAATTCTGACCCTGTGATTCCAAGAGCGTATGTTCTAGGGAAAAGAGTGTGGACCTTCTAAAAGGAACTTGAGAAGTCAGTACTCGATACTCCCTCGTCAACGTGACTAAATCGTAAGGCCACGGCCACCTCCTTGCCCCTCTTCCTTGCGGTCCCACAAGGCTCTGGATCTTAGTGCTAACGTTCTGCTCACCGTAGACTTCACCCACATGCCACGAATGGACTGAGCTTTCTCCTGATGTTTAGTTTAACCCGAGCACTAAAGCTCTTGACTCTCTCTGACTTGCCGTCAGAACACATACCAGCAGAGATCAGTGAGCCCAGTTGAGGCAGAAGTTGCTCTGCCTTCTTCGGACCTATCATACCATTTTGCTTGTGTAGAGCCCATACGTGGAGCTTAGGGTCCCCCTGCAGAACCTCTGGTCTGAGCTGACGAGGAGCAGCCAGGCGCTGAGTGTGGTGACTCTGTGATCTGGACAGCAAGTCAGCAGGTGTGCGGGCGGGATATATGTGGGGGGGGGTGTGCATAACCCACTGGCACCCTCAAGGATGCCACTTCTCCCCTAAATTTGAGGAGGTCCCAGCACCTTCTGACTTTGTGCCTGAAAGGCTTGGGAGTAGAGAATTAGAAAATTCTGTATCTCCACCAACTTGCAAAATCTGATCTTCATCCATCCTGAGTCCGTGTGTCTGATCGACCCTTCCTACGATGAGTTGTCCTTGCTTTGCTAAGTGATCCCATTTCTTGTTCGTGGATGATGAGGTTGAGTCACAGTGCACAGAGCGAAGCTGCTGGCAAACACTCAGCCTTGCAAGGGGCAGGCGCTTGCCGGGCAAGGTCCAGATGCCAAGCGCGCTGTATTTGTGGGATGCCTACTGTGCGCCCGGCCCTGTGTAGGAAAAAGCAGGAACCATCATCATCTTAGCCTTGAATTAATTAAAGTCTAGTTTGAAGATGACTAATAAGCACAAAGAAAGAGAAGATTGGGTTTGGGGAGCATGACTCTTTTTTTTTCTTTTTTTAACTGTTCCCCCCCCCCCAAGGTTCTTGTCCCTAGAGAAGTATGTCAGCAGGTGACAGGGAACAGGAAGAGGGCAGGAAGGAGGCTGAGGATGGAGCAGGGGGCTGGCGTGCGGGGTGGAAACCCAGCGAAGGAGACGAGATCCGTCTTTCTTTGTGGGGTTGCCACACCTTGGGCTTCAGCTGCTGCCGCCTCCGCCTGTCCTCCTGTCTCCCTGACGTCCTAGTTCCTGTCTTCCTCTTCCTTTTTCTTCTTCTATTTCCAGAAAGACTCAGAGCATTCTTACTGTAGGGGAAAAACCACCTTGACCCCCCACCCCCAGTCGTCGTGTCCCCGGGCGCTGCCATCTCACCCACGTGGTCAGCTGATGGGACTTGGTACCCACCTGTCCGTAGCCCGGGGCCCTGTTGCGTGCGTCTCATCCTCCTGTTCTTCTGGTAGGCTGTCTGAATGACTCGTTTCCTCTGGCCACCCCGTCACACGGTGCAGTTTTGCATCTGCTCCCAGTCACCCTTCAGTTGAGATTGCTGGGGCACCTGGGTAGCTCACTCGGTTAGGCATCTGGCTTCGGCTCAGGTCATGATCCCAGGTTCCTGGAATCAAGCCCCACATTGGCTCCCTGCTCAGCTGGGAGCCTTCTCCCTTTCCTTCCAACCTGTGTTCTCTCTCTCTCAAATAAATAAAATCGTTAAAAAAAAAAAAAAAAAAAGTAAAAATACTGCAGCTCCCAGTTGAACCAGGGCTCTTAATTGTCGGATCCTGGCATCTGATGTGGCTTGGACTGTCTCCTTTGATGGCATGTGTGCCCCGTTGCACCTGATCTTTCATTCTTAGGGGTGTGCTCATCCCCCTCCTGTCTGTCCCTCTTGTCCCCAGAGTCCCCTCCCAGTGCCAGCCCCCATGTCACTGGTGTCTTCACCCTCACAGCCTCCCCAGTGCTGGTTCCCTCTGAGGGCTGGCTGTCCCCTGAAACTCCACACATTCCAGAAAGCAAGCTGATCTTCCCCCTGCCCCCTAACTGTCTTTTTCTTCTCCAGTGTCTTCTGGATGCCATCTCCAAACCATCCAGGCTTGACCTCGGAGCCCGGGTCTGTCCTTTCTACCCTCTGTGGGGCCTTCCCCTTTGCCCACACCATCGCCCCCCTGCTCCTGGCCCTTGTTTCTTTGGGCAAGAGCTATAAAATCAAATGTAAATTTTGGGACTCAAGGTCCCTGGTCTTTTCTCAGCTCATCTTCCTGGTCTGTTTCCTTCAGAGCCCCCCAGTTCCCCTCCTTGAAACAAGCAGCAAACACTTTGTCTCCCAAGTCACTCTAACTAACGTCTCTGATCTGTGCCAGAAGTCACAAACAGCCATAATCTCATTTTTCAAAAAATTTTGCCATCATTTAAACACCAGATGCCTTCACATAACAATGCGATTTCAGGCTTCTCTTGAACGTTTCAGTGTCTGGCGACACTGGATCTGCTTTCCCACATGGTGACATGGGTCAGGAGCCAAGGAGGAGGGTCCCTCTGCCCCCAGCCTGACTCAGCACCTTGGGTGTCTCCCCAGCCCCTGTGGACACCCGCACCTGTGACCCTTGTCCTGTCATTTTCCAGCCACGACTTGGCAAGCATGTCTTGTTTTGTTAATGACTGTTGTGTGTTTACATGTACATCTTGTATTTTCTTCCCAGTTAGAAGGGTGGGGAGTCTCCATGAACTTAGGGTGCTGCTGTGGTGCCCTGCACTTAGCAGGCCTGTTGTTGGAGATGCCAGCACCTTTTGGGCAGTCTGGCTCGGGAGTTGTCCAGACCACTGGTTCTCACATCCACCCTCTGCCAACGTGACACCAGTGTGAGGGGTGAGGCACCCTGCGGAGCGTTTCCTAGAAAGTTCTAGCGGGGGTTCAGAGAATGCCCAGCTCTTGTCACCATGGGGTCAGGCATAATGTGGCAGTGACGGCAGGTGCCATTCACAGAACTCCCCTGAGGAGTCTGATGTACCCTCTTCAGCGAAGGGATCACATGGTCATTTTCTGCCTATGTTGAGAATCATTGTTAGATGATAGGGACAAAGTTTGCAGGAGAAGGTCTGGCCTCTGAGAGCACTGTCACAGAGTTCAGTGTTCTGAGAAGGGCCAGGCCCCCAGACACTCTTGCTACTAGGAATTATACTGGCTGTGGTTGGGGCTGGGGTCAGGGAGCATGGGCCAGAGATGAGGAGGCGCCTGCCTCCTTGCCCTAACCCCCCCTTCGGCCTGGATCCCCTTGCACTTTCCATCGATTTTAACCTTGTATGAGCTCGCAGGCCCGTGCACCCGGGAGTCTTCTTCCTTCCCGTGTGTGCAGATCACGGGATGGGACCTGTCCCTGCTCTTATGGTAGCAAGAGGGTAAGAGGGCACAGCAGAGGAATACCACCTGCTTTGAACCCAAGGTTCAAACAGCACAAAATAGCTGAAGGACAATTGTCCATTAATGGTGCTGAGAAGGATGTGAACCTCCTGTCACTGGAAAGGACTAAGTGTTCCTCAGTCGAGTATTTTTCACGGAGTGGTTTCCCCTTTCTGCGTCAGTGTGCTTCCCCGGCAGCACCACATCTGTACAGCACCCACCCAAACAAGTACTTCTCCTTCTAACAGAATACGTCCATTCGCTAAATTCTTGTTTCTGTTTTACTGCTCTGTTGTATGTATTCCTCCTGCTAAGCTGCCTCACATCTCTTGTGGAATGAAGCAGAGTATGTGACCCCAAAATAATATAAACAATTGCTTTACTGCTGGCCCGGCTTCAGCCTCAGCTGCTTTGGGGCTGCAGATACTGCGCAGTTTCCTACTCAGAATGTTCTGGACCTGGCTGGGGCTACAGCATTCGGAAGCACTGCATGTCGCGGAGACGTTGCATTTAATATGAGTTCACATTGGCCATCTTCCAGTGTTGTGTGATGATGCTTGGCCTGTGTTTAAAATCTTAGGAAATTATTTCCTCCTTCACATTGAAGGAGTCTATTTCTTGTCCTCGAGTTAGAAGGCCAGTGCTGCTTTGCATGGCTAAGAGTAAATGTCCTTCCAGTGAAATCAGTACGCTCAGACGAATCCTTGGGTTAGCGCCAGGCAGTCCAGCCCATGTGTCCCATGCAGGAGACCCATAGTGACTTCTGCTGGGCAGCTCCCACTGGGTGCCTTTGGGGTGTTGAGGGCTATGTTCCACAAGTAACCTCCCAGCTGGGACCTATTCTTGCTCTAGTAGATGGTAAATAACCAAAGCCAACAGAACAGAAGTTTCCCCTTTTCCCAAAGCCTCAACTACCAGTCTCCTTAAAAAAAAAAAAAAAAAAATCCCCTTTGGTAGTTTGGGTAGGAAAAACCTCCCCAATGATGCCATGAAATCGTTGGGTGTCTTACTGGATGGTTTGCTGCTTTAGATAAGTGGGCGGAAAAGCCAGCCTTTGGGACACCTTTGGAAGAACACCTAAAGCGGAGCGGCCGTGAGATCGCATTGCCCATTGAAGCCTGCGTCATGCTGCTCCTGGAGACAGGCATGAAGGAGGAGGTGAGGGGCACAGGCCAGTGTCAGTACTGTATACACCGATGGCTTTGCAACTTTTGTCACTGTGACCCACATTTTAAATTGGAGCCCTGCACAGTATACCTGGAATTCATACTATGAATGAAACCAGTTTCACTGAACAACGTTTCCCTTTCCTGTACACTCTGACTTTCTTTTGCCCCACTTGATTGTTTCATTTTAGACTCTGGTGGTGATTTGGGACATTGAATTCATGATGCACTAAAAGGACCAGAACTTCTGGGAGCTTTTTAGTCTGCTCATCAGAATCTTACATTTGTGTAGTACTATGCAGCATTGGTGTGGGGTTTTTCATACTTATGTTGTAGAATCCTTACCCCCAAGTCCCCACAAACCAAGCAGGGCAGGTCTTATTACTCCTTGTGTCAATAAGTGAGTGAGTTCATGGTGGGGTGGAATCAAAATCAAATGCCAAGTCTTTTTTTTTTTTCCTTTTAAAAACCTTATTGAAGTATAATGTCCATCGTAAAAGTATGTATCATAAGCAAATAGCTCGTTAAGTTTCCACAAACTGAACCCACCCACATGATGAGCACCCAGATCAAGGAACACCCCAGGAGCTCTCCTTTTGTCTGCTTCCAGTCACTGCCATAATCCCCCATTGATGTGATCCCAACTTCTTGTAGCCAAGATCAGAGCTGCTCAGCCAGGGCCAATTTTGTCCCCCTCAGGAGCTATTCCAAGATCTCAAGGCATTTTTGATTGTCACAATTTTGGAGGCAGTTTTGCTACCAGCATCTGGTGGGTAGAGCCCAGGGCGGCTGCTAAACATCCCACCAGGTGCAGGACTGCCCCTACAATGCAGCATTATCTAGCCTGAGATTGAGAAACCTGGCCTAGATGAATTTCACTTAAAACCTGAGTCTTATAATTCCTGAACCAGTGTCATCATAGTCTAACCTTTCTTGGTTGACTTCATGTGTTTTCTCTAAGGAACCCTTAGGGCAGTGGAAGTGACTACCAGTCTAGTCTATCAGTTTTTTACAAGATGTCAATTAAAAAAAAAAATCCTACATTTAGAAAACTCTATGGCAATCAACCTTGGGGAGTATAAAATACTGCATTTAAATAGATTTCTGATAGGCACAGATATTTTAGCATAGGGGCAGGCAAGAGCTCCCACCGATCAGGAATGAAGTGCTCACTGCCTGCTCATCTGCCCTCTGCCTTTGCTGGGTCCCATCATCCTTCCTGGTCACCCTGCAAGGCGGGCAACGATCCAGTCTCAGAGATGAAGTGTGTGGGAGTTGGGTCGGGGCCTAAGGCTCTTCCATCAGATGTGTGCCGATGCACTCCATGTAAAGCTCACAACTTGAACTTGACACTGAAGGCCTCTTGTTGTCTTTAGGGCCTTTTCCGAATTGGGGCTGGGGCCTCAAAGTTAAAGAAACTGAAAGCTGCTTTAGACTGTTCTACTTCTCACCTGGATGAGTTCTACTCCGACCCCCATGCTGTGGCAGGTAAGCTGCAAGGGGTTGCCCTTGGGGTGGCAGGCAGGTCCCATCTCAGACAGATCACCTGCTAAAAACCCAATTTTCATTTTCAGTAACAGATAAAATCGAAATGGCCTATATAGGTTCAATTGGAAAAACTGAAATGACACACATAACTGAATCAGTACACACATACACACGCACACACCCCTTTTCCTGTTTTGGGGGATTTCTTTGTTTTCCTGATTATTAAGTAAAGGTGAAGGTAGCTTATCATCTAAATAGTTGGAGACTTGATTGTATTTTCTTCCCTTCTTTCTCCTTCAAAGTCTAGATCTACCTGAGGATGGTAGAATGTCCATTAGAAGGTGACTTTAAAGTTAATTTCACTTTCTATTGACCCTCAATATATTTTGCAAAGGGCTGGAATTTGTTTTAGGAACACTTCATGCTCTAACCACTCCCACTGATTCATAGCTTGTTCTAGATATTCTTAGCAGGTTGTAATTGTGATCGTTTCAATTTGCAAAATAATATGTCCCGAGATTCCCAGGCTTACCCCTTGACTTACTCAAAGTGAGTGTTAATAATTTCAGGTGCTTTAAAGTCCTATTTACGGGAACTGCCTGAACCTTTGATGACTTTTAATCTGTATGAAGAATGGACACAAGTTGCAAGGTAAGTTTAAAGGACACTGAGTTTTAAAAGTAAAGGAAATGATGGGATATTATGTCCCCTTTGTGAATCATCTTACTCTCAGGGATCATAAAATAACATTAAATAGCACATGTGTTAAATAATATGTGCCTGAGTTCTTAAGTTTAGGGTGAAAATATTGAGTATTGTTATGTGTGGGAAGGTCACCACTTATGCATTGGCTTCAATTTGTGTGAAGTTATATGGATAAAGACATATAGTGGGACCCACATTAATTGATTGGCTAATCACAAACCCCTTTTTGATTGAAGAAAGCCCTGCAGTGGGGACAAGTGTCATACTGGCCAGTGGCAATGTACCTGGCGAGCCATGTGGAAACTCATCTGAGCAGTAATACAGTGTTGACGGTACTAGCAATGAGAGTGCCCACTGTGTGCTGAGGACATACTGATCTCGATACCCGTTACCTCCTGTGATCCATGATTAATGACATAAAAGATGGATGTGGTTATCTTCATTTTACAGATGTGGGAACTGAGGCTAGGGGATGGATGGGACCAAAGTAACAGCAAGTAATTGGCAGAGCAAGAATTCAGACCCAGACCTGTGTGACCCAGAGACTGTGTCCCTATCCTGTGTTTCCCCCGCTGCCCCCACCCCCATCTTCTGTGCATCCAGGAGCAGTCAGCAGCCTCTTCTAAGAAGTCCCAGAAGCTTCTCTCTGGCTGGCCAGGCTGCCTCCTTGTTAGCTTGTGCCTCATGGTTCTGACTGCCTTCCTCATCCCTCAGGGAGGAGGAACAGATCACCCTGACCTGCCTACCCCCCCCTCCCCTATCTCTAGCTACTGTCACCTGTTCCCAGTAGGTGAACTGCTGGGTCCGATCAACTAGGCTTCAGCAGCAGTGACTCTACCATCGGTAAGGTTTTTAAAGTCAGAGTAAGTTCATAGTCATGGTCATATCCTTGGAACCTGTGTGTAGCCTAGCCTGTTGGCTGAATAAATGGAACCCAATAGCAGTGTTGAGTAGGGGAGCATTCTGGGGTCTCTTTTGTTGGGTAGCCTGCCCCACTTCTCCTGCACCTTGATTCTTTTCTCAGCTCTGGGACTCCCCAAAGCATTCCCATGAGAAAATACACGTTTCAAAGCAGGTGTCTGTTTATTGGTGTATCAATTCTCCATACTTGAGAAATGTCAACATCCCGGTGACATATTGACTGGCCTCTGAAGTGGAATTATGTTCACCTCCTGCTTTGTAACTCCAGATCAGTTCAGTCGTGGGGAATGTTTAGGTCCAAAGGTACATTGTGTGGGCAACTTGCTAACACTGTCTCCTGCTCTTGAGCAGGGTGACTGATCTTATCTATTCCTCTTTTGTGTCTATGGAAGTTTGTATGTCAAAACTGTAGAGCAGAAGAGCTCCTGTGATTGCTTCATGACTGGGTAGGGCTTCTGTGTCTGGAGCCTTTGAGCAGAGTTAAAGGCAGGGAAAGGACAGGGGGAGGGTGGGCTGGCTGCCCTGTGGCTGGGCCAGCCAGAGTCTAGGCTCCAGGGAAGCCTCTCGGGGAGATACGCACTTCTTAGACAGAATTTTCAGTGGTGCCTTGTCTCCTGAGTGCCAGGCCCTGGCACAGGTGGTTTCACAGGGTTATGCCTCTGGAACATCTTCATCACTTGGCAAATCAACATTCTTATCCCCAGGCGGGCACATCGGAGACTGAGTCTTGGAGAGGCTAACTAACTGCTCAGAGTTAAATATTTAGTTGGTATTTGACTCTGAATTTATTTGTTTCCAAATCCATCCTGTTTTCCAGCTGTGCTTCCTCTGTCAACAAGGGCATAGTTGTTACCTGTTAACAACATGGGTTCTGAATGGTGGATTTTTTAATGGAAAGTTATGAATACAGTTTTTTTTTCCCCCTCAGTGTGCAGGATCAAGACAAAAAACTTCAGGATTTATGGAGAACATGTCAAAAGTTGCCACCACAAAATTTTGTGAACTTTAGGTATGTATGCCTGGTGTCCTGCAAATTAAGCCACCAAACCACAGTGACTCTGGCATAAAGAAAGGTGCCACCTGCAGGGAGACCATTCAGTCCAAGCACGCTAATAAACAAGTGCTTTGGAGAGGAAGGGGGGTTGCTGGGAATGAGACTCCATGTATATTATTGTGATGCATATCACAGTGTAAAGCTTCTGCATCGGCCTGCATTAACAGGATTAACAGCTAAGTCTCCTGGTCGGTTTCCCACGGCAGCTACTAGGAAAAAGTTCTCTTGGAAAGTTGGTTTGGCTGCATGTTGGATTCGAAGTTTAAATTGTCCATTATAGGGGTTCAGTTGATAGAGCATACAACTCTTTATCTCAGGATCGTGAGTTCAATCCCCACATTGGGCATAAAGCTTACTTAAATAAATTTTTAAGGGATCCCCGGGTGGCGCAGCGGTTTGGCGCCTGCCTTTGGCCCGGGGCGCGATCCTGGAGACCCGGGATCGAATCCCACGTCGGGCTCCCGGTGCATGGAGCCTGCTTCTCCCTCTGCCTGTGTCTCTGCCTCTCTCTCTCTCTCTGTGACTATCATAAATAAATAAAAAAATTAAAAGAAAAGAAAAATTAAAAAAAAAAAAAAATTGCCCAGCCTGCAAAAGGCAAAAATTAATCAACAATTCTATCTTCTGGGGACACCTTGGTGGCTCAGTTGTTGAGCATCTGCCTTCTGCTCAGGTTGTCATCTTGGAGTCCAGGGATCAAGTCCCACATCGGGCTCCCTGCATGGATCCTGCTTCTCTCTCTGCCTCTCTCTTGTGTCACTCATGAATAAATAAATAAACATGAAATTTTTTTTAAATTCTATTTTCTGGGATCCCTGGGTGGCGCAGCGGTTTGGCGCCTGCCTTTGGCCCAGGGCGCGATCTTGGAGACCCGGGATCGAATCCCACGTCGGGCTCCCGGTGCATGGAGCCTGCTTCTCCCTCTGCCTGTGTCTCTGCCTCTCTCTCTCTCTCTCTCTCTATCATAAATAAATAAAATTTAAAAAAAAAAAATAAATAAATTCTATTTTCTGTAAAAGCTTTTCTATATGCTATGTAATTTATTTTTAATAGAGCATAAATCATCCTATTAAATGAAATGTTTAGAACTGGAGGTTATGTGTTGCTTTGTTTCTAAGAAAATTTACCATAGAATACATTTCTAGAATTTAACCTCCATTTTCCTTTTGACCTAAAATGTGACTTTGAAGAAGCATAGAGAGAAGAAGGATAAGAGGTAGCTCTAAGTCATTGAAAAACCAAAGAAAATTTTGTAAAAGGGCTTGGTCCAAAATGACACATATTTTACTGGTGAAATTTCTGGTATCTTACCTGACCTTTATTTCAGCCCCAGGTTCTACCACTAACATTTTGTAAGCACAGCACTACAAAAGCAAGAAATTACCTACAGTATAGGAGAGACTGTAACTATATGATAAATTGGAGATTTTCATAATTACCACATAAAGTATTTTCAAATACAGTTTCCTTTAAGCAATATCTCTATCCTTGTATTTTTTTGTGTTTGTATTAGAACATATTGAGCCCATTGTTAATCAGATTGTAATTTACTGAGAGGTAGTTAGGGCATAAAGGAGAAATGGTTTGGAAATACACAGCAAATAGGGACTGAATCATGGAATTGAGCTGTCTTCCTCTTCTCTGAAACAAAGAGCACAGGACTTTGCAAAATATGGCACCTGAGCCAGATTCTGATTCATTACCATTCTGCGCTTAGCACCGGGGCAGCAAGATGCTGTTCCTACAAATATTTCAGCATATATGCTCTCCTCCTTCCTGTCTTCTCCCCCAGGTATTTAATCAAGTTCCTGGCAAAGCTTGCTCAGACCAGTGACATCAATAAAATGACTCCCAGCAACATTGCAATTGTGTTAGGCCCTAACTTATTATGGGCCAAAACTGAAGGGTAAGTGATGTTTCCCCATAGCATGGTATTTTTATCTCTCCTTGCTGTGGTTGCCTCAGTGGTTGAGCATCTGCCTTTGGTTCAGGTCATGATCCCAGGGTCCTAAGATCAAGTCCCTCATCAGGCTCCCTACAGGGAGCCTGCTTCTCTCCCTCTGCCTGTGTCTCTGCCTCTCTCTCTCTCTCTGTGTGTGTGTGTGTGTGTGTGTGTGTATGTCTCATGAATAAATAAAATATTTAAATAAATAAATAGTGATTTGAAAAAATAAAATAAATAAAAATAAAAAATAAAAAAGTAATTTGGGGGCACCTGGGTGGCTCAGTCAGTTAAGCTTCTGCCTTTGGCTCAGGTCATGATCTCAGGGTCCTGGGATCAAGTCCCGCATCGGGCTCCCTGCTCAGGGGGGAGCCTGCTTCCCCTTCTGCCTCTGTTGGTGCTTGCTCACTCTCTCTCTCTCAAATAAATAAATAAAATCTTAAAAAGAATAAAAGATATTTGGCTAGCACTGAGAAATGCAAACTGAATAGGAGAAAGGGGTCTGGGAAGTCACTAATGTTGACATTGGTGACATTATAATTACCTCACTTAATCCTCACAAATAGCCTTTGTGAAGTAGGTGTGTGGGTCCTCCTTTTGACAGATGAGAACAAGGACCTTGTCTAAGGTTACACAGCAGGGAGGTGGGGGGGATCACAATCCTATCCTGAACCTTCTCCCACCGTCCCACGACTGCCATCATTATTCTTCACATTGGAAAATCATTGGCGGTTCAGGTTTCCATTAAAAAATGTAGTGACTTTCGGGATCCCTGGGTGGCGCAGCGGTTTGGCGCCTGCCTTTGGCCCAGGGCGTGATCCTGGAGACCCGGGATCGAATCCCACGTCGGGCTCCCGGTGCATGGAGCCTGCTTCTCCATCTGCCTGTGTCTCTGCCTCTCTCTCCTTCTCTCTCTGTGACTGTCATAAATAAAAAATAAATAAAAAAAATAAAAAATAAAAAAAAAATGTAGTGACTTTCTGAAATAAAATCTTTCTATTTTTTCATTCATTTATTAAGTGTATGCCCAACCTTGTTTAAGGAAGTATTTATAGGATTATTTACAACGATCCAATGTCGTAAAGCAAAATTAACAATGCATTGATATATACAGTTAAATACTTACGTCATATCTTACTGCAAATAAATTCCAGGTAGACCAAAGAGTTAATTATATAAGAAGTGATGTCATAAACATGGCAGGTGAGTTACCTTTTGGAGTAGAGAAGTATTTTCTAAACATCAAATCAGTATAAAAAACACATTTGAAAATGGATAGATTTGGCTCTGTCAACAGCTCCAAACTTCTAAATATCGTAAAGTGCCTTAAACAAATTATAATTCACAAAATGAGGAAGACATTCCTCCAGAAGTGTCTGGAATATATTAAAAGGCCTTGCAAAAAAAAAAAAAAGGCCTTGCAAATCAATAGGCGAGTAGTATCTCCTGAAAAAGAAAAAAACTGGCCAAGAACATGAATAAATAGTCCCTCCCCAACCCAGCAGGGTCCTAATGCGTGAGGGTGATAGATATGGTATGGTAGGAAGTACAGAAAGGTGGGGAACAAAATTTGTAGGCAGAGCTTGCAGTTTAAGCTGGAATTTGAAAGGAGCTAGAACTTTCTCTTGGTTGGAAATTGGGGTGAAAATCTTCTTCCCACTGGGAAGAAAGGTCAGGTAGAGAAGGAGGAGGTAGGTTTGGGGCAGTCAGACAAGGGATCCAGCCTCTTGGAAATTTAGTTTCCTCGTGAATGAAACAGGCCTCATAACAGACCCTGTGTTATAAAAATCGAATTAAATGAGGTGAAGACCCTGATGCCCTGAAGCATGATAAGTGCTCCATGAATGTCAGGCCTTTGCAGCTTTTACTTCTGTGGTATTCTGACTCTGAACTGGAATATGAGCGCCTTGACATGAGGGATCACAATTCTTATTTATTTTCTTCCTTTGGAACCCTGGCATTCACACTCTCAACTTCGGAACATGCATCTCGGGACCAGTTCACAGATATGACAGAATAGTCTGTGTAAATATAGGGCACAGGTTTTCTAGTGCAAGGGGCACACCGAAACAGTGCACACTCTTGGTTATATTCTGGGCAAAATTGTTGGTGGTCACCTAAGATGACTCTCACGGCCAGTACTGCTCCATCAGGAAAATGCCTGGTTGAAACTCTGTTCCAGACCAGCTTGAAATCAGCATGTGGCCATACCATTGTTCACCAGCTCACTTGCTGTTAATGCAGTGTGTGCATACTAAGGAGTGCCAGCCAAGTCGGGGTGATTTTTCCTCCTGGGGCGTCACCACTACACATACACACCACCACCACACACATCACCAGGGCCCCATGGATCTAATTTTTCCATTTGTGTTTAAGTATTTTCTTGTTTTAAAGTAATTAAATTGGGGGCTCCTGGGTGGGACAGTCAGGCATCAGACTCTTGGTTTCAGCTCAGGCCATGATCTCAGGGTCCTGGGATAGAGCCCCGAGATGGGCTCCACATTTCCCACAGAGTCTGCTTGAGATTCTCTCCGTCCTCCCTCTGCTCCCCCCGCTGCCCATTATTCCCCCTTCAAATACGTAAACCTTTAAAAAATAAAAAATAAAGTGATTAAAATGCTCTGACACAACCTGCAGAAATTAGAGACTGCCTGGGGTAAGCAGTCTAACTCTGTGAATGTCCTTTGCAGATCGCTGGCTGAAATGGCAGCGGCTACCTCTGTCCACGTGGTTGCGGTCATTGAGCCCATCATTCAGCACGCCGACTGGTTCTTCCCTGAAGGTAAATTACCTGTCTTTCCAATTTCACGGACCACCCAAGCAACACAATAACAATATGAAAAATTCTTTAAAGAAGAAAATGCATCAGTAATCCCTTTGCGATTACATGATTGGCTTCATTTTTTTCACGTTTGTCTTTAGACCCCTTGCGTTCACCTTTGACATATTGGCATCCACATTATTTTGTATTTCGCTTTGCTTAACTTCACGTTGGAGTTGTTACTCAGCCAGTGTGAACTAAATACCCTAGGCACCATAGGTTTGCTGGTGAGATATGCTGTCTTCCCTGGAGGAAGCTGGCCCTTGGAGACGAAGGCCACCTAAACAAATATTATAACACGTGGTGAGGGAGAAGGAGGGGCCGATGGTTTGATGAACTCAGATGTTGGGCACAAAGAACTGGGACTGCTTTATGGAAGAGGCGACACTGAATGTGCAGTTTTCCATTGGAAAGACGGCTTTGTGTTTCTCTAGGCAGAGAGCTGGTTTTGTATAAAAGTGCAAGATGAAACAGGATAGGTTGATTGGAGCCACTTTGTGAAGGTGGGAGTTGGCCGTGTCAGAGAAAGAGGATTTCCACCTACCGGTGATCAATTTTCAAACTAAGTTTGTTGTAGTCCTGGGAACCACAGAAGTTCCATGACCCCCTTCAGGGGCACCGGTATGGCAAGTTTTGTGAGTCCAGACCTCTTGCCACATCCTTTCTCCTGGAGTGTGAGCTCCTTGACAGTAGGGCGTGCTTGTTTCTCCTTTACCATGGTCTTCACACCATTGAGAATCACGCCTCACTCACGTAGGTTGCTCAACAAATACGTGATGTAGGATTGAATACTGGCATTTTGCCCATGACTTCTTTGGGAAAACAAGTCTCAGAAAAACCGCTGTAGGCAGTATGGAGTTGGTGTTGCCTTTTATTTGTATTTTATATCAAACCATAAATACCTGTCATTTTTTTAAAGTAATCTATGCTTATTTTTCTCCTCCATATTCCATGATTATTCTTTTTACAAAGAAGAAAGCAGAGGAATTGTGTGACTTAAATTCTGAATTGCACCCCCTCCTTATCTCTAGTTTCCTCCTTTTACCTCCCCCTGGCTTGGCAAGCCATTCTTGAGGAGATGAGGGGGTAGGGGTTCCGCTTGGGAAACAAGGAGGGCTGGTGGGAGTTTTAAAGCCTTGCACACTCATATGCTCTACACCTCACATATAGGCAGACCTCATTTCATGGCACTTTACTTATCGTGCTTCCTAGATCCTAGGAAGGTTTTTTCAAAATTGAAGGTTTGTGGCAACCCTGCATGGAGCATGTCTGTTGGTGCCATGTTTCCGATAGCATTTTGCTTATTTTGTGTCTCTGTCATGTTTTGGTAATTCTCGCCATACTTCAAACTTTTTCGTTCTTAGTATATTTGTTATAGTGATCTGTGATCAGTGATTGCAACTTGCTGAAAGCTCAGATGATGGCTAGCATTTCTTAGCAATAATGTATTTTGTAAGTAAGGTATGTACGTTGAGTTTGTAGACGTAAGGCTATTAGACACTTAATAGACGACAGCATAGTATAGACTTAACTGTTATGTGTGCCGGGGAACCAAGACAGCCGTTTGACTTGCTTTATCGTGGTATTCATTTTATTGGGATGTTCACTTTATTGCAATACTCGCCTTATTGCTATGGTCTGCAAACCAAACCTGCAGTATCTCTGAGGTATGCCTGCACACTTGTTTCTTTTTCTTCTCACAGAAGTGGAATTCAACGTATCAGAAGCATTCGTGCCTCTCGTCACCCCAAATTCCAATCACTCATCTCACACTGGAAATGACTCTGACTCAGGGACCCTTGAAAGGAAGCGGCCTGCCAGCATGGCAGTCATGGAAGGGGACTTGGTGAAGAAGGAAAGGTGTGTTTAGAGCCGTTCACTTCTTCCAGCAACAGATGTGACGTAGAAGAGTTATTGATCCTCACTATCCGGTCCTGCCTCCATGGACTCGTAGTATGAGAGTGACCTTGTGTAGCCATGTCTGTTAGGTCCAGATATTTCGGGAATTCTTCTCTCGTTCATTCCAGACATTAATGTGACCATAAGGCAGATATGTGGCTTGTCAATTAACATTTGTGCCGTAAGCATCCAGGCTTTACTTGGTCGGTGATAAGCCCCACAGTGGTATGGCATCATACACACATTACAAAGCCACCTAAATGTTCTTAATGTGGGAAAAAGAGACAAAAGGAGAGGGGGGCTAAATACTGTAGACTGATGGGAGAATAACCCACCTCTCACAGTAAGTTGTCAGATTCAGTGTTTAAAGAGACCTCTTTTTGGTATAACTTGGCCCCTCAATGGAAGCCAGCCACTGAATCTGATGTTCAGCTGGAGAAAACCTCAATATTTGCTGATTCGATTCTGGAAGAAAAAAGATGGCTCCAATGGACTTAGAGACATGTGTCTCGATACTGTGCTTCCCGGGCGATTTTAGTGGGATTTTCAAAGGTTAAAGCTGTTTGTGATTTGTGCCTTCAGAGGCCAGTCTGTTCTGTCTGTATATGAAATGCCACTGTATTCACTCCTAAGGCCAAGTTAGAGAAGCCTGCAGAGTAACATGCTTTTCACACGCACACATAATAACATCACCAGGCATAGTTTACATGACAACTAAACAACAAGCTCTTATTTTAATTGCCCGATCTTATATTGAGCTTTGTTTTTTTGTTTCATTTTGCTTTATTGTTGTTGTTGTTTTCATTTTTTAACCAATAGCTTAGTTCCCTAGCCTGTCCCTCTGAAACCCGTTTATCATGTGGGAAGTCTTACTTCTCTGAAGTCCTCATCACACATTTGGTCCTGCTTCCTGATGACAAGCTGACCACTGCAACATTAGCCTTTGTGCCTTTGAAGTTACAAAACACAGTGTTACAGCTCTCATTGGCACACAAGAAACAATTCTCAGTTACCTCCCAGGGTGGATTGTCCCCACCAACTGACCCGGTACACACAAGCTCAGGGAGCCATGTGTCTTTATCTTTCAAACTGAAAAGCTCGAAAGTTCTTACATCAAGTCAGCTTACATGAAGGGGAATCCTCCTCCTCTCCATCCTCCAACCACCTTCTCCTGCCCAAAAGCAATGATTTTTTTTCCAGTGTTACATATCCTTTCAGCTAATTCTTTGCATACACCTGTACCAGTGCTTCTCCACCTCAGCTTAAGAGGCAGGGTGTGATGACAACCTTACACTGCCGGTGGTAGGACTTCTGCACTCAGCTTCCACCTTGTCCCCCACACATACGGATTCTAGGTGGCCACTGGGTAGTAGGTAAATAGGCACACTGACATGATGTCACCTACTCAAGACGAGGCCTGCCTGTTTGCTTTAGCTGTTCACACCCAAATTAAGAAAAGACATTGATCAGTACCAGGTCTTTTGGCTTGCTCAGGTTTAAAGCCAAGTTGAGCTGCTTGCCTTGGTAATAGGAATGACCATTAATCTGGTCCTTGCCGCTTCACTGCATGCTGGGCAACTTGGGTGGCTCTCCCCATGTGTGGGTTTTAACACGTGTGAGACCGATGGACTTCTGTCTCAGTAGTCGGCTTGCATGGTGTGTTGACTGTTTCTTCTTTCTGTGTAGCTTTGGTGTGAAGCTTATGGACTTCCAGGCCCACCGGCGGGGTGGCACTCTAAATAGAAAGCACATATCCCCAGCTTTCCAGCCACCACTCCCGCCCACAGATGGCAGCACCTTGGCTCCTGCGGGCCCAGAGCCCCCTCCCCAGAGCTCTAGGGCTGAAAGCAGCACAGGGGGTGGGACTGTCCCCTCCTCTGCGGGCATACTGGAGCAAGGGCCAAGCCCGGGCGACAGGTAAGAAGGCCGGCTTCTGCTGGCAGTAGGTGCTCAGAGCCCCAGCCTTCTTGCAGGGGCTGGCCTGTGGGCATGATCTCCATGCCCACAGAATCACTCAGCATAGAGTGATCTGCCATAACCAGATCTGCCTTCACTCTTCTGGTTGGCAGAGGATGGAAAAAAAAAAACCCTGCAAATTGCTTGGTTCCTTTCCTGTTTTCCAAAAGAAGCAACATATGTTTGCATTCTTTATCATACTGCTTTGGTGCTGGAAGCCAATAGGTGGCTAGTGGTATTATAAACTTCTTTTCCCTGTTTGATGTGCACTCAATGTTCATTTACCATTTGCTTTTGTCATCTTGTACGCTAACTAGTTAACACCTGAATGTAGCAAGTTACTTAGTTTAGAGTATTCCTTGTATTCATTCACTCATCCATCCATCCATCTACCCACCCATCCATCTGTCCACCTATCCATCCATCATCTATCCATCCATCTACCCATGCATCCATCCACCTACCCATCCACCCACCCATCCATCCATGCATCCATCCATCCACCTCTCTGTCCACCCATCCATCTATCCATCCATCCATCCACCCACCCACCTATCCACCTACCCATCCACCCATCCATCCATTCAATCAGATTTACTGAATAAGAGTATTGGGTGCTGTACTAGGCACAGTAGTGCCTCCTCCACCCCTAGCTTTCAGTCATGCAGTCAAATTGATATGTAAGTACAGGGTAGAAAATATGATGGTAGATTTTCCTAAAAGGCTCTTTTGTTGCTTAACCTTTTGATTAGCCTCCCAGAGTGGGTTACAATTATACAGCAACTTTAAGAAGGAGTACCCTTGAACTTGAGATTTTCATCTAATCCTCATGAATTCATTTCTCTACACTGACTCGGGCAGATGACCCACCAGAGGCCACTTCAGGTGATATGTTAGCTGGTTCAGGACTGGGAGCTGCTGTAAAAGATGAGCCCCTCTACAGAGTATGTGCTAAGATTTTTCTTGGCCTTTTCTCTAGCAGGGCCATTGATAAAGCACTGAATAATCACATATAAAGTAAAATAAATGCATAGAACAAGAATGACCTGTTTAAGCCCACATTATACATGGAGACAAATTTGCCTCTGGAGGACTCCCTCCCCTCAGCTTCTCCAGATGAGTAGGGGGTGCCTAGTGAGATGTGAAGCTAGCTGTTTCTGAGATAGGAATCTTGATCAGGCCTCACAGCTGAATTCGGACTACTCTATGAATTCCTGAATTCCTTTTCATTCACATAATTTGTAGAAGTCCTCATTTTGGTGAAAAATAACAAAGGCTTCAAACTTCCTAGAGCTTCACATGCACATCGTAAGCTCCATGTTGTCTTGTCAAAGCTGCTATTCTCCATACATACCTTTGTTTCGGCGTGAATTTTTTTGTTTGAGGAAAAAAAAAAGGCATTTGCCAACTCACACATTATCCTTCACCTGTAGTCTTCAGTTTGCTTAATCAGGGCTACATAATGCTAAGACAATAATTAGAATGCACTGCAGAAGAACAAATAGAATGTCAGTCTCCGATTTGCTTTTGTTTTTTGTGCTCCGTGGATATTTTTGCATAGACTTCATGAATGACGTGCCAGTCTCTAGTGACCCCAACAAAATGCAGCTATAAAGTTCAGTGTATGAAGTTCTGAGCCGGGAACTGGCCCAGGTTCTGATCTGTATCCACCCTGCAAACAGCCAGCTAGCTCCGGGCTGTGAGCCATCACTAAGTCTCTCAGGGCTCCTCTTTCCTCAAGTCCAAACGATTGATAATAACTATTTCTAATTTATAACATTAGTATTTGGCTGTAGCTTTTGCTTTGTTTTGTGCACTATGTGTGTCAAACCTTGTTATTTTGAAGTCCAAAAGCCCTTTCATGTTTTTTAATATTGCCCAATTGAAGTATAAGAAAGCTTGGAATTCCTTTTTGGTTGCTGTGAAATGGTGTCTAGCATGATATTCAAGTTGCAGGATAGCTGGAAGACGATCTGACGCAGCGAATCTCATCAAATATTTAGCCCTGCATGGCCCCAGATAAATAGCTTTGTAGACCCAGTGGGAACTATTTAAAATTCCCGATCACATCCTTGCCTACTGAGGTGAGAACTCTGGGTGGAATCTGATATTCCATAGCATGCTTGTTAGCTTTCTTGCAGGGGCTGCCAGACGTCTAACTTGACTTCTGTTCTCCCCAGTCCGCCAAAACCCAAGGACCCCGCACCTGCACCTGCACCTGCCCCAGGGAGAAATAGCAGTCAGATGGCCGCGGGCCAGAACCAGGCCCAGACCGCGGCCGGCTCCCATCAGCTGTCCATCGGCCCAGGGCACAACTCCGCTGGCCCTAGCCCGCATACTGTGCGCCGAGGTGAGTAGCCACCTCTACTCCTTCCCCTTAGGGAGGGATGGATGTGCAGACCTCCTTGGGTTAACACAGGGATTCGCGTTGCCAGGCTTCCTGACAGATTATCCGTCTGTTATAAAATGGCAAGCAGAGGAGCCACCTGGCTGGCTTAGTCCGAAGAGCAAGCAACCCTTGATCTCAGAATCTTGAGTTCAAGCCCCACACTGGGTGTAGAGATTACTTAAAGAAAAAAAAAATCTTTAAAAAAAAATGGCAAGCAGAAAAATCAATCATTTAAGAGCAAAATCATGGGATCCCTAGGTGGCTCAGCAGCTGAGCGTCTGCCTTTGGCTCAGGGCATGTTTCCAGTCTCGGGATCGAGTCCTCCATTGGGCTCCCTGCAAGGAGCCTGCTTCTCCCTCTATGTCTCTGCCTATCTCTATGTCTCTCATGAATAAATAAATAATATCTTTTTTTTAAAAAAAGCAAAATCATTAAAGAGGTAAGAAGACCTGGAATGAGATCTACCCTCTAAATTTCTACAAGAACTAGGGCACCGTGTGGTGCAGCAGACCTCTAGAACTTACTCATCTTGCATAACTGAAACTTTATGTCTGTTGATTTGCAGCTCTCCTTTATCCCCTCTCTGGTGCTCTCTCTCTCTCTCCAGCCCTGGTAACCACCATTCCACTCTGATTCTGTGGGTCTAACTGCTTTCGATACTTCATCTAAGGGGAATCATGCAGTACTTTTCTTTCTGAGACTGGCTTATTTCACTTAGCATAATGTCCTGCAGCTTCATCCATGTTGTTATATGTGATGGAACATCCTTTTTTAAGGCTAAATTATATTCGATATGCCCACATGTTTAATCTAATCATCCGTTGATAGACTTTTAGTCTGTTTCTACAACTTGGCTCTTGAGAATAATGCTGCAGAGAACACAGGAGTGCAAATACCTTTTAGAGGTCCTGATTTCAGTTCGTTTGGCTAAATACCCGGAAGTGGATTTGCTAGATCATATGGTAGTTCTGTTTTTAGTTTTTTTTGGGGGGGGAACCTCCATACTGTTTTCCATAAAGACTGCACCAATCTACATTCCCACCAACAGGGTTCAAGGGTTCCATTTTCTCTACATCAACACTCATTGTCTTTGGGTTTTTTAAATAGTAGTTGTTCTGACAGGTGTGAGGTGGTATCTCACTGTGGTTTTGGTTTGCATCTCCTGAGGATGAGGGACGTCGAGCATGTTGGCCATCTGGATAACTTCTTTGGAGAAAGTCTATTCAAGTCTTTAGCTCATTTTAAAGTCAGATTATTAGTTCTTTTGCTATTGAGTTGTAGGTGTTCCTTACATGTTTGGAAATGAACCCCTTATCAGATAGATGGTTTGTGAGTGTTTTCTCCTGTTTTGTGAGTTGCCTCTTCATCTGCCACAACCTTTCGCTGTGCAGAGGCTTTATAGTTTGATGTGGTCCCACACCTCCATTCTTTGCCTGGGCTTTTCACATCATATCCACAAAACCATTGCCAATACTGATGTCATGAAGCCTTCTCCCTATATTTTCTTCAAGGAGTTTGACATTATCAGATCTTATGTTAAATCTTTTTTTTTTTATTTTTAATCTTATGTATTTATCTGAGAGGGAGCAAGCAAGACAGAGCACGGGCAGTAGGGAGGGCCAGAGAGAGAAGCAGATTCCCCACTGAGCAGGGAGCCTGATGCAGGTCTTGTTCCCAGGACCCCAAGATCACGACTTGAACCTAAGGCAGGCGCTCATCCGCTGAGCCACCCAGGCATCCCTGTTTAAGTCTTTAATCCATTTTGAATTGACTTTTATTCATGGTGTAAGATAAAGGTCCAGTTTTATTCTTTTGCCTATGGGTATCTTCTTTTCCCAAAACCATCTGTTGATGAAACCATCCTTTCCACTGCATATTTGCAGTGCCCTGTCAACAATCCGCTGGCCGTGTATGCATGGATTTATTTCTGGGTGGTCTATTCTGTTGCACGTGTGGTTCCTCCTTATCATTCAAGTCACAGCTCAGAGATTACCCACTCCATGAGCCCTGCTCATTTACCCACTCTGAACTGATGACCACCCCTATCCCCTCCACTCACCAAGTCTTCCTATGTCATATCACTCTCTTTCAGGGCATTTTTTTTCTTGATCTGAAATTTTTTAATTTTGTTTTTTACCTTTTTGCTAGTCTCCCCTCGTAGCTCTTAGAGAGCTGGGATCTTTCCTACCTCACGCACGCACTCCCGTATTCCTAGCCTGTGTCATTGCCTGTCACAGAGTGAGCAGTCAATAAATATTTGTGGTCTGGGGGTTCTGAGCGCCACTTACATCTAGAGCAACTAGGTGATGGTCCTGCCTTCCCTGTCTCTTGGAGATCTGGTGATGTCTGGAGACATTTTTGGTTGGCATAGTTAGGGAGGGGAATGTTACTGGCATCTGGTAAGTAGAAGCCAGGGATGCTGGTAAACATCACACAGTGCACCAGCAGCCCCCCACAACAAAGAATTATCTAGCCCCAAATGTCATTAGTGCTGAGATCAAGCAACTCAGAAAGGGACATGAAAGGGACTAGAAAGGGACATGATTCACTGAAGATGTTTCGAAAACCAATTAAATTCCATGTGAACCAGGCTGCCCTTTGTCTTAACTCCCAACCCCATCTATTGGACTATGGATGATCCTCACTATAAAATGACTTGTGTTTTTGGTAGTTCAAGAAACAATGAATTTGGGGCGCCAGGGTGGCTTAGTTCAGCATCTGCCTTTGGCTCAGGTCATGATCCCAGCGTCCTGGGATCGAGTCCCGCATCAGGATCCTTGCTCAGCAGGGAGTCTGCTTCTCCCTCTCCTTCTGCCTGCCACCCATTCCTTTCCTGCTCATGTTCTCACACACTCTGCTCTCTTTCTCTCTCTCAAATAAATAAATAAATAATCTGAAAAAAAAAGAAAGTTTCTTTTTATTTTTATTTTTATTTATTTATGATAGTCACACACAGAGAGAGAGAGGTAGAGACACAGGCAGAGGGAGAAGCAGGCTCCATGCACCGGGAGCCCGACGTGGGATTCGATCCCGGGTCTCCAGGATCGCGCCCTGGGCCAAAGGCAGGCGCCAAACCGCTGCGCCACCCAGGGATCCCAAAAAGAAAGTTTCTATGAAGGGAGCTCAATAAACCCAGTTTTACTGAGCTAAGTTTTTCCCTTAATAGATTTCACTTCTTCACCTGTTGATTTCAGTTTAGGGGCAATGCTGTTTAAAAAAAAAACAACAACAAACAGAAAACAAAAATTGTGTGTGTGTGTGTGTGTGTCTGTGTTCAGTGAGAATCAAGAATGACCTCAGTGCAGGGATGCCCTCACCCAGAGCGTGGCCATGCCTCCCATGTTACCATGTGTGCCTGGGAACTGCCACATAGGGAATAGTAGGAGGCACTGGCCCATGTGCTCGCAAAGACCATTCCCAAGTCTAGTGAGAAACAAAGGTGGATGGGCCAGGTAGGGCAGAGCCGGGTGAGTGAGTAGTAGAACCACAAGCAGGGGGCAGCCGTGCTAGATGAGCTGTGTAGTGTACAAAGCCAGCCTTTCAGAAGGTTGTTTGGCCTTGATGCAAGCTGCACCGGCTGTTGCTCTGATGCCCCCAAAGTGACAAGGCCCCATCCAGGGGTTAGCAGAGGCCACAGGGACAGCCAACTTCAGGAGATTTGGATACTCTGGCGTGGTCTGGTCAATGCTGCTCATGGCGAGGGACAATTGTGATAAATGGCAAAAGGCCTCGAACTTCAAAGTTTGAGCTGTAGCTTTTGCCTAAAGTCACATCTAGCTGGTTGTATTAAAGGCTGGTAATTGAGCCTCTCCTAACTGAGTTCCTGTAAATATAAAGGAGAAATAAAAATGCATTCTTGAGGGGTGCATTGTGGGAATGCCCATGAAAGCACCATCTCTCTAAAGCACAACACAACATTAGGTGGAATTTTTATACATTACAGGCAGGGAAACGAAGTCAGGTACACTGCTTGGTTATGGACCCCATGTGGTCCTTCTTAAGGCAAGTGCTCTCCCCTGAGCCACCATCATCTTCTCTGTGCCCCCCACTGATCCTGGAGGGTAGTTAGGTCTTCTCTGCCTGGGTTCCTATGACACTGCTTCCAGGTTGAGGCTCTCCTTATGGCCACACTCGGAGTCTCTCCTCCTTCCCCAAACCCCAGATCTCCGGCGTCCTCCCAGGACAGTGTGGTCTTTCTACCCCTGCCTCAGCCTCCCCAGACTTTCGTAGGCAGTCTCAGACAAGGCCCACCATTCTCCCATGGCCCCGGCACCCAACTCTCCTACCTCCTCTTCTGATTCCCTCAGCACCCTTTAATGTCAGGAATGGTTCTTTTCTTCGCTGTGAATTTACAATTAACATTCCTCAGAACAGAAAACTAGACATTCTTCTTTTTAAGTTGCTCGTGGTAACCAGAGTATGGCTGCTATTCCACAGATTCCGTCTTTTGTCGGCTGGCTGGTTGTTTCTGTGGGAAAAGGTCTTCCAGGGTCCAGGGTCGAAAGTTCTAGGCCAGCAGGGCAGAGCAAACTTTATACCCTTTTCATTCCTGAACTCTGAGCCCTGTGAGCAGGGAACCAGGCAATGTTGGAAGGAGAAAGGAGATGAAAGAATCCAAAAAGTCCACAGAACATAGTTGTGAGTCTCTGTCTACCAGTTTCTAGTCGTGTGATCTTTTGCAAGCACCTCTCTGAGCCTCAGTTTTCTCCACCGTGGATATAACACTGCCTGTCTTGCAGGGAGCTAATGGGACTTAAATGGGACTTGAATTTATGCAAGGGCCCTAACTTGGTGCTGGTGACCTGGGGTAAATGATACTCTTTAGTTTCCTTATCCCTTTTTAGGAAGATTAGTAGGATCTCAGTACAATTTGAAAAATGCTAACGTCTCTCCTTTCCACCCACCTCTCCCAGCCCCAAACCAGGTCTCCAGACCTGTTGTTTTCCACTTGGCCCTCCTCGGTACCAAATTCTGCCCCCACGCCCCCTTGGTGATGCCGATCTCAGCTGATACAGGGAGGGTGGTGATGTGCTTCAGCTCTCCTTACGGAAATCGAGCTATTGCAGCTCTTCCAGACTTATTGATACTTCTATCCAGAGCCTGTCTGTTCATTCAAATGACTCTGGAATTGGTAGAATTTTGGTTATTTAAAAAAAAAAAAATCAAGCCTCCTAGGAGAAGCCCCTTAGGAGAAACCAGCTTGGGATGCCTGGTGGCTCAGATATTGAGCGTCTGCCTTCGGCTCAGGGCATGATCCCGGGGTCCTGGGATCGAGTCCCGCATCAGGCTCCCTGCAGGGAGCCTGCTTCTCCCCCTGCCTGTGTCTCTGCCTCTCTGTCTGTGTCTCTCATGGATAAATAAATAAAATCTTTTTAAAAAATTTTTTTAAAAAAGAACAAGCCGGCTTAGGGTAAGGAGCCATGGTAGGTAGAGGCAGATCAGTCATGTTTGGGGGTCACCCCCTCAGCTGTTCTTGCTTCTCCCCATTTTCTCTAGGCTCTCAGGTCTTGCAGGGAAGCTCACTGAGCTTAGGGCAGAGATTCCGTGTAGGGAGGCAGCCCCTGTTCACTGAGTTCTTTCCATATTGAACTTTTAAAACAACAGATCTCAGGGCACCTGGCTGCCTCAGTGGGGAGAGCATCCAACTCTTGAATTTGGGGTCATGAGTTCAAGCCCCCAATTAGGGTGATTAGTTAACCCTAATCGGGTATAGAGATTATTAAATCTTTAAAAATCAAACAACAGATCTTAAAAGGTGTATATATATATATATATATAGTACTTTTTGTTTTTTAAACTGTAAACCTCTTATTTGGGAATAATATTAGATTTCCAGAGAAGTTCCGGAGGCAGTGCTAGTTATTCCCATATTCTCCTCACCCACTTCTCCTACCATTAACATCCCAGGTCCCCGTTGTCTCATCTTCCTGAGTCTCCTCTGGGCTGGGACAGTTTCTGTGAAAACCCTCTGTGTGTTTTCATGGCCTTGACAGCTTGAGGGAGGGCTATTCTGGCCTTTTGAAGGAAGGATGTCCTCAGTTCAGGTTCATAACTGCCATTCTCTTGGTCAGACTGGGCCTGGGCTTGTAGGAGGGAGGGAGACCACAGAGGTGAAGAGCCCTCCTGGTGGCATCCTTCCATGGGATGCATGGCAGCGACATGGCTTCCTGCCACCAAAGCTCACCTGATCAAGGTGGTGTTGGCTCTCACTGCACTGTGCTTACTGAAAGTTGTTTTCCCCTCTGTGCAGCTGTTAAAAAACCTGCTCCTGCACCCCCGAAGCCAGGAAACCCACCTCCTGGCCATCCCGGGGGCCAGAGTTCTCCAGGAGCATCTCAGCACCCACCCAGTCTGTCACCAAAGCCAGCCACCCGAAGCCCTTCCCCTCCCGCCCAGCACACAGGCCAGGCTCCAGCCCAGCCGTGCGCCACCTCACAGCCCTCTGCACCCCGGAGGTACTCCAGCAGCCTGTCCCCGATTCAAGCTCCCAGCCACCCACCGCCACAGCCCCCGACGCAGGCCGCGCTGCCCGGGCACATCAAACCGAGTGGCCAGGGCCCACCCACCCCCGGGGCCCTGCCCGGTGAGCCTGGACTGGAGCAGCCACCTCACACCCCGCCCCAGACTCCAACGCCTCCCAGTACCCCACCTCTAGGGAAACAGAACCCCAGCCTACCAGCTTCTCAGACCCAGCCGGTGAGTAACCTTGAGACTGCACAGCCACATGCCGGGACCTTACCAAGACCGAGACCAGTCCCAAAGCCGAGGAACCGGCCCAGCGTGCCTCCACCCCCCCATCCTCCTGGTGCCCACTCAGCTGGGGACAGCGCCCTCGCCAACGCAGCTCCCACCGCTTCCAAAATAGTGACAGGTAAGTAAGAAATCAGCTCAGACCTTTCCCCCATCCGTGCTGCAGTGCTTCTGTACTCTCACCTTTCGTGTGGATCTTGGTTTATAGCAGGGGGAGCAGCAAACTACAGCCACTGGCCCAAACTGGCCCATAGCCCATTTTTGTAAATAAAGTTTTAATGGGATGCAGCCACTCTGATTTGTTTACATATGGTCTTTGGCTGCTTTAGTGCTCAGGTAGCAGTTGTATAGTCCTTTCGAGAGTATTTGGAGTACTTAGAGCCCAAAAATATTTAATACCTGACCTGGCCCTTGAAGTTAGCTGGCCTCTGATTTATAGTTTTATTATGTGTTTAAGACCTGTCTACATTTACAGTTTTCAAAGTATAATGGCCTAATTCAGGTGGAAGGTATTGTACCACATGAGCATGAAATTCATTTCTTAGCGAATTCCTCATTGTTTACCTTCAAAGGTAAAAATGTTCGTAGTAAGTGAAGGATTTCAGCTATAACTTTAAAAAACATGATTTGTACCCATTTGGATGCTCTAGGAAGGGAGGTCTTATGGCGTGATCACATCAGAGTGCCAGCCTCCCACAATTCCCATGGAAACGTGTTTCGGGTAGTGGTGATTGTGCAGATTTCAGTGGACTACCCAATGGAGTGGTTTTTTCCGGCAGTCCACAACATGATCGTTTTATTTAATTACGATACCTTTTAAAAATTCCACCCCAACAGCTCTAACACACTATTTGATTTAAGGATGCGGTGGCTGGGGTTTTTTAATGTGTTTTTAAAATGGCAATTAGGAGCTTTGAATCACAACAGCTTAGTTTTAAATTTTCTATGGGAAGCTAGTTTTAGAGAAGAAGCTGAAATATACTTCTGGGCTGTCCAGCTGTATGGCACGACTTCTCTGCTGAAACGAACCAACAGTATACTCCAAACTGGTACCCCAAATGATGAGGGTTATCCAATTAGTCTATCTTTTGATAACCCTTTCTTTTGTTTTTTTCAGGAATATACTGCATAAATGCACATATTATAAATGGTTGATGATTTCTGATGACATTCCAACTTTTATTTGTAAAAAACAAAGCCATATTGGTGTGTTTGTTTGTTTGTCTCCCAATAGATGCCCTCACAGGTGGGGAAGGTCCCCAGGACTAAGGTGTGTAACCCCCCAAGCAGCTCGCACCACAGCTCCAAATGCTCCTGCTTAGCCGTGTTTTGCATATGTGCTTTTGACCGTGTGCTCAGGAGCAGCTACTTGACCCCTGTGCCATCCGTTCTGTAGCATTAGACATTACTTTTGTTCTCATCAAAAGCATTTCAAGCGACAGGGCTCCATATTCAAGAGGTAGATGTCAGTAGATTGAGAACCCGATTTCAAGCTACTCTTACAAGAATGCTAGAAGTGTCTTCTTTCTTGTTGGTAAGCCTTTCATAAAGGGTCCTGCTCTTCTTGGTGATTTACCTGTCATTGATTGACACATCACATCCAACCAAAGAGGACTTGGGTACTGTCAGCACAGGAAATTGTGTCCCCTTTCCCTGTGTCTTGAGCTTTAATTTTTTAATTGTGTATCTTAAGTGCAAGTTAACTGCATGGAGCTTCTTAATTTGACGTTTGAAATTGTCAGGACCAAAAAAAAAAAAATCTTCCTCCGAAGATCCTACACTAAATTCCTTTGCATTCCAGCCTGCTTACATTTTGCTTTCTTAAACCATATGAGCTTTTCAAAGGGCACCATGATGCTCGTCTGCGTCCTGCCTTCGGGACCACATTTGGACACCAGAAGGCTCTCATGACTTGTAGCATTGCTCTAATCGGCTGAGCTGAGCCTCAAACCTTTGGTGGCCTACTTCACCAGAGTATTTGCAGCTTTGGTCTGAGTAGGACTTTTTGAAGAAACCAGAAAGGGAAACTAGAGTGCAACCTTTAAGACTCAGAGGAGGGCACAGGCATGAGTTCCCCCTCCCAACTCCTTATAACCCAGAAGCCCAGGGTTGCCCGCATGCAGAAGCCCTCACTGAGCCTTTTAACACTTCAATACTTATGGCACATCAAAATTCCAGGCCTCTCCTCCCACACTCGATCTTTCCTTCTTTTTAGACTGAAAACTATGATCCAGAATCATGTCTGTTCTTTAATACCATTCTCACCTCAGGTGTATTTATTCTAGAAAGCTATCCTATTGACCCTTATAACACCATGATGCTCTGTACTTTATAATTATCAGAGCAGGGAAATTGTATATGAAAACTACTTTTCCTTAAGATATTAGCCAAGTTTTTAAAAACCAATCTATGTTATGAAGTCTCCTAAACTCAAGAAATCCCAGGTCGCGGCAATTACCTTTGTGTTGCAGAATTAACTTTTAATTGGCTTAAAATCACTCAGACTGCCAACTGGGAGCACACAAAAGGCCACCATTTAGGATTCAGAGTATTGAGCAAGCCCCAATTATTAACCATTCTTGGATACAGCCATGGAGTATTTCAAGAAGAAAAAAAACAAAAAAAAACAGAAAACGTAACTTCCTTGGAAAGCTGTTCTTTCTTATGACATCATGTTTTCACATGGAAAACTGCAGGCAGATTTCTAGAAATAGGTTATTTGTTTAGAGCATTTAATCCCAAAAAGTTGAAGTGAGGCCTGGGGATTCAGATAAACTCTTGGGGAAGAATGTTGTTGCCAGGTGGCTTAGGCAGCCAACCTGTGGCAGCTCAACACCAGCCCGGGAGAAACCAAGGGATCCTGGTGTCGCTTGACTCTCTTCCTTAGCGTTACCATAGAAAACGCGACAAGGCTTTTAGCTTTGAAAGTAAAAGAATTTATTTCTTGCTGTTTTTAAAGTAATAGATTTTAGCCAAGAGTGTTCTAATTGCAACATTTTATTAAATAATTTAGATGTATGACCTGCCATATTCAGTAAGAACTGAAATTGGAATATTTGATGGTAAGGAAAAGGCACCTGATTGGCCAAAGCATTTGTGCTACTTTATGATCATGTTTGTGCACTAACGCCTGTTACTAACCGGGCACCCTAACCCTGCCTGCTTGCGCCCCTACTAATACCGCATGTACTAAAGGAGCCTGGCGTCCTTCATGCTTGCTGTCAATCACTCTGAATATGAAGTGTGTTCACAGACGTGTGACAGGCGGCCACACGGCTGGCCCCGTAACTTCTCTCACTTTTGTTCTTTTCTATACTGGGCAGGCTTGAGGTCTAGTAGCAAGAAGACATTGTAGACTGGACATGCCCGAATCAGGATGGCCACTCCCCCTGTAACATGAGACGCAGCACAAGCTGGCTGATCCATAGAAGGGTGACATTTGTCAGAATTTCTGCTGAAGGGATTAAAGCAGATAAAATAAGAAAACCTCTTACAGTTCTTAATACACGTGGGGTCCTGAGTAAATGGTAGCTATTTATGATGGTTCTTATCTTGGAAAAAAACAGATACTCAGAGTTACGTATTAGATTCATATGTCAGTGCTTTAAAGATGCATATGCGCAGACCCAGCCTTCTAGAACCCAGACACAGGAGGGCTGGGACCCCGGCATCCATATTTAGATTCTCATGTGCCACTTGGTTTTCCCAATATTGGTTCTTTCATGGCTTAAAGAGACAATGCTCAGGAGTAGAAGATATTTCTTAATATTTCATGGTATTTCCTAAGCCTGAGAATACCCACGAGCCATCCATCCTCTGTGCAGTGGTAACGCCATGTCACTCTCCAAGTCATCCTTGAACACTCGACACTCTGCTCTTATCACAGTGTTCTTTTTAAGAAACTAACCTCTTTTTGTATACTGAAAGAAACACATTTAAAAAAAATTAACTGGATATTAAAGGAGATTTGGAAACTAGAAATAATAAGAAGGCACTCTTCTAGAGTTGAATAAGTTCACTACTCATAATTCTGTTTTTTTCTCCATTTTTTTTCCTGAAAGTCCAGGGTGTGTGTGATCATAATTATTTTGCATATATAGATTTTGATCTTGCATTTTTTTCTATTACCTTTACATCATATGCCCCTTCCCATGTTATGATAGAGTTTTTATAACTGTCTTTTCCAATGACTGCATAAAGATAAGCAGGCGTATTTTTGCTTGTAGCTGGACATTTCAGTGGCTTCTGCTTCTACTTACAGCTTATTTTTCATAACTATTTATTAAACTAGTTTAATAACTAGTTTTTAATAACCAGATATCAAAATCATGTCAAGGTAAATATCCAATGAGACCTGAATAGAATCTCTCCTTTGACTAAAATAGTAAAAAAATGCTGAAAATTCTCTGGCAGACCAGAAGGGCTCCAACACCCTAGCGAGAAGCAGGAGTTAGTCATTCTTTCAGAGTCTAAGTTACAGATTGGTCAGGTGGGAATATCCATTTGCCCTGTGGCTGTGCTGGAAAAGTGTAGTTTCAAGGATGTGTTTGGGTCTGTTACCTATCAGAGTGGCCATCCAAATATCCTTGGACTGTTTGAAAGGCAGTCCTAGAGCACATATTTGAAGGACAGCCTAGAGCATATATTCAAAATTGTTGAAATGACAAATAAACCTTGTTAGGACCATACCCTAAATTACTGAGTGCCTGTTCTGGCTCCTGAGGGCCCACTTCCTTGATAACAGATACCCAAAAAAGGAAGGAACCTGGATAGATTTGTCCAAGCCCCTGATTAGGGATACCATTCTGCCCGGAGGGGACACAGCATGCTGGGTTTTTGTTTTTTTAATATAATCTCAGCCATGTGACCTTCGCTCCAAGCTATATGCTCAAAGACCAGCCCTTCTTAGAATGCATATAATGAAAAATGATGCCTTATGTAAGTTTGCAGCCAAAAGGTTTCCTACAACGAACCAGAGTGTTTAAGACTCAAGTATTATCCTCAGGTACTGTCTTCTCTATCCGGACCCTCACCCAAAGACGCACAAACTCCTGTGGGTTGGAGGGAAAGGGCTATCCCAATGAAAAACATGCAAACCAGTCTGGCTCTGATCCTCTGTGAGGAGCTGATTTTCTCAGAGTCCCCTCTCTTACCTCTGTGGTGACACTCTGCTGCCTTGGGGTCATTTCCTGGGGGCCAGTGAGCTGACATGATGATGTGTGTGGGGCTCTTAGTAACCACATTTGGTTTGCAGGAGCTGCTCAGTAGGTGCCAGCCATTGTAGTGAAGAGTAGTCTCCTTCTGAAAGCTGGCTCTGTACACATGCTGATTCTTACTGCTTTTTGTGTGTGAACGGATTTGCTGTCTTCTTTTTAAAAATGGTGCAGCCAGCCTGGCTGGCCCAGTCAGTGGAGCATGTGGCTCTTGATCTCGGGGTCATGAGTTGAAGCCCCATGTTGAGGGCTTTTAAATTAAAAAAATAATAATAATAATGAAATCATAAATAAAAATAAAATCAGCTACCTTTAAAAAATTAAAAATAAAAATAATTCATGTAAGGGGGTAGGCTGGGAAGTACCTGCCAACCTCAGGCAAACCAGGGCGAGTGGGTAGCAGGCAGAAGCAGGGAATGTCCCTAATGCTCCCACCACACATTTTTTTTTCCTAAGTGTAGAACTTCTGTGTGTTCATCATAAATAGAGAATATCAGGAAAGTACAAATCCAGAAATTACTTTTATGTGATGAAAGAAAGAAAGAAAGAAAGTTTGTCTTCTGGAAAGAATCTGTGGCTGATCGGTGTTGGTTTGCATGTAAATCCACATATTAACAAGTAGAAATCTAATCAGTACGTAGAGTGCTTTTGCGTCATGCATCCCCCACCAGGCATGGCAGCTCCATAGTCTCTGGTAAACTCTTTGGGCTAAAAAGGGATGCTGACTGATTGCACCATCTGTCTTATTGGGTTAGGGTTTCAATTGGCAATGGATTTCTTGTACTAGTCTTGTCTTGGAGACATGACTACTCTACCTGAGGCTATAGGAGAAGAGAATTGGGAAGATGGTTGGGCTGGATGGCTCTTCATCATCTATCCATCCAACTGGCCAGCCACAAAATATATTGAGAATCAGCCAGTAAGAAGCCACTGTTCTAGGCACTGGAGATGCACTGAACAAGACAGACACAGTCCCTGCTCCCATGACTTCCTTTCTGCTGAGGTCAAGTCTGAGACCTTTGGATCCCTATTCTGTGCACACAGACCACCCTTGACTGCACCACTGGACAGTGCCACAATGCAGCACAATTCAGTTGGTTTTACAATTATCGTAAGACCTGAATTGTCAAGTGCATTGCGCACTTGAACTCTCTGACACCTTGGCACCTCCACAAAATCTAGAAGTTTCTCTTGAGTTGTGATGCATAGGAAACTTTGAGGGCTGGGTCAGCCAACGCAGGAGCCATTGTGAGAAAAGGGAGTAAATAGATTTCACAGCTCAGAACTGTAGGGTTGTACAGGAGCAGGAACCAGCCTCAAAGCAGTGACACCCACCTCATCCCCGCGAAGTGCACCTGCATTTGCCACTGGCCAGTGTGGAGGAGCAGGTGAAAGAGAAGCACTGTCAAAAGTGGCTCCCAGTGAGGGCAGACGTGACAGCTGTTAAGCATAACAGGAAAGCTTCCTAGCACACCCACTCTAGCCCAGCAATGTGGAAGTGCAGCAGATCTGAACATCTCCCTTCTCTCCTGTGCCAGCCTTAAAGCCTCTAACTAGGCTCTCACAATTTGCTAGAACACAATCCTACTAGAGAAGCAAATGATTTTGTCTTTATTCGAGGCCATCTCCCCCATTGGACTGCCAGCTTCACTAAAGCTGTGTCTGGCTTGTTCACTCTTGTGCCCTCTCAGGTAGATGCTCAGTAAGTACTTGGTCATGAATGAATGCATCTGAGACTCCCTGGCCTCCCCAGGAGGCTGGCTGTGACAGGTGAAGATGTCTTTTGTGGGTTTAGGAGTGAGGGACTGACAGCTTGAGGATTAACACTTGCCCTCTCTCTAAGGGAATTCCAGCCAACATAATAAGACATGAAAAAGGAACTGGAGTATAAGAAGGAGAAGAGAAAATCAGTATTTGGGGGAGGTTGGTGATCTACCTCGGTGATTGTCAGCTAGGAGTTGACGTGGCACATTGGAGTGTCTGGAGACATCTTTGTCACACTGGGGGAGAGAGGGCTGTCTGCCACTGGCATCTCATGCATGAAGGCCAGGACGGCTCCCGCACATCCTGCACTGCACAGGACGGCCCCAGACGAGGTGGCTCTCTCCTGTGAGGCACACCTGTCCATGCAGCCCTGACCTGTGAGGAGGCTTTAGTTAGTGCATGAGAGGCTTGGTGAGAATGGGGTTTCCTCTCCTCGGTCAGAGCGAGCGCCCCCCACCCTCCCCGCAAGGGCTGCATCTCTGAGGGCTGCCCTGGGGTCTGAGCAGCTTGACTCCACTTCCAGGGCTTGAGTGTGCCTGTAGTGAGTGAAGGTGTGTGTGCATGGGCTGACTCGGACTCTCCAGCTTCTCTCCTCGAGTGCCGTCAGCCAGCCCCATGGGTGTTCCCACACGTTGACAGCATGTCTCCTATTTTTGTCCAGACGCCAGTTCTAGACTTTCAGAGCCACTTCGCAGCACCTTTCCTGACATGCATTCAGACTCAGCAAGCAAAGACCTGCCCGGACGCATTCTGTTGGACATAGACAATGATACAGAAAGCACCGCCCTGTGAAGAAAGCCACCTCACCCCCGCCCCGACCCCCTCCACCCTGGTGAGCGGAACCGGGGCAGGTGCACACTTCTCTCTGCAGACCAAACAGTGAAAAGCTTTCAGTGAAGGGAAAAGAAGGCCCGGCATGCAGGCCTTCGCCTCCCCACAGCCCGAGGAGAAGGTGGAGGCTGACACTTTAAGCTGAATGACCTGTGTCTTGAAGAAGTTGGCTTTCTTTACGTGGGAAAGAAATCATGCCAAAAAAAAAAAAAAAAAAAAATTAGAAAAAGAAAAAAGTACCTAGAATGGAAAGAGTATTATTGCTGAGACATGTGTAGGAAGCTTTGCCACTGCCATCAAGGTGGGTGACACAAAAGGCAATCTGGAATGAAGAAGCAGCAGCACGTGAACTGTCTATTTAATAAAATACATTCATTATGCAAATCTCCTACTTCCTGCTACTTGGACTCTCATTCTTATAGATTAGGAGGGAGGTTCCTCTCTTTCACAATTGCTGCAGAATTGTTTTGTATGAAGTATGGTCGTGCCTCCCCGACCCCCTCAAAACCATGAGCATCGATGGTGACTGCTGGATCCGTCACCTCAGCAAACTGGATGTGACTTGTGCCTTGTTGGATTGCCAGAATGTAGAAAGAAATGTACTGTTCTTTTTTTTTTTTTTTAAACAATGTAATTGCTACTTGATAAGGACCGAACATTATTTTAGTTTCATGTTTAATTTGAATTAAATATATTCTGTGGTTTATATGAAAACTTTATAATTCTCAGAAGCAAAACTGTAGCTTGTGTGTATGTGTGTGCATGCATGTTGTCACTTAACCAAGTGGAATTTGGGTGAGACATCTGGGGGTCTGATTGTGACTCTAGAAGTCTGAGGGCATGGAGAGCAAGGTCACAGTGGTGACACCAGCCACCAGGTGCCCCCAGAAACCTCCCGGACTGTCCCCAGTGAATGTGATGTAGTCGGGCTCTTCCTTTGCACCTACCAGTCCTGACACCGTTTCTTGTCCACCTAGAGACACCGAGAACAGTCAACCCCACAGGGATACAGAGACTGGGAGGCTCCTGCCTTCCCAGGTTTGAAATACTGGGAAGAGCGGATGGGGAGATGACACAGGGTGAGTCCCCACAATCTGGATGGCTGTTGTGAGGACAGCCCCTTACGGTGGCCCAGATTTGGTTGGTCTTCCGTTGGGAACAGAGAGAGGGACACAACGCTGCCAGTGTTGGCTGCCCTGAGCCATTCCATTGGTAGAGTTTTTTGCCAGACACATCAGTGACCTGTCCCTTGCTTAGAAGACATCGGCCCCTTGTGCTCACTTCAGCAGCACATACATTAAAATTGGAACAATACAGAAGACACTGGCGCTCCTTTGCTGTGAATGAACAAGTTTAACTTGAAAAGGGCAATCATTTTTTCTCCTTGTAGCTCAAAGATCCCTGTGCCCCCAAAGTGCTTCCAGCACGTACTAGTTACATTGAAAAATAGATACCCATAAGCCCATTTCCCCCAGTACCTTAAGTTTATATTTGCTTAAGGCTCACTCTCTCCTTCCACAGACCCCCTCCCCCTGTGCTGTAGAACAAACCCCCTGCAGAAAGCAAGGGTCTCCATGTCAGTCACCTGTCAGCACTGGGCCCCTCCTCCAGGGAGCCCGATGCCCGCAGTGAGGCATCTCCGCGGCACCTTGGACCTGCTTCTTCCGCAGAGACACTGCTTGCCGAGGAGATTGGTGGGCGCCGGGGGACCAGGAAGGTCCGGGCTGGATGCTCTCCCCAGAGTGGCACACGTGTTGTTGTTTTCTTGCTGCCTCCGACATTCAACACAGACCCTCTTTATTTTAAGAATGTTTGTGTTCACTTTCCTTCCTGTGTAAACATCTCCCAACCCCAACAGCTCCAATCCAAAGAAAAATGATAACCATTTGATTGTGTGGGAGTGTCACAGGTCAACAAACCAAGACTACGACCCATCTTCTTGAACGAGCGAGGCCTGGAGTGGGGCGTGGGGGCTCAGCGTGCTTTCGGAGCTGCCGCCACACTCCACGATGGAAGCATCTCCAGGGTCCCACAGAGACGTGATGACGCCCTGCTGGGACAGTCACCACCTTGCTGTCCCCTCCTCCTGGCACTAACACCATCAGAGAGAAGGCAAGATCTTATCATCTAAACTGACAGTAGCCATCCCTGCTCATCCAGGAACGTGCTGGTGTCTGGGAAGATGCTGCTGGTTATCTGCCCCTTCGGATGGTTTCCATTTCCTTCCCTCAGAATGCTTCCTCATAGAAAGTTCTAGCCCTCTGTGCTCAGGCCTTCTCTGCCAGCCCCCCTGCCCCCGATCCACCCACAGCAGCACCACAGTCAAGGCCCTCCCTGTTCCTCGCACCACACCTTGCGTTCAGGACCCATCCAGCCCATTCTCAATCCAGCACTCGGAGGCCACAGGGGTCATGATGGGCCCCTGACTGCCCAACCTCTCGGTCCTGCCCTGTGATTCCCCAGGAGCTCAGATGTGTTTGTACTGACTAAATCCCTGGGCTTTGGTGGCCCTGGCTCCCTGGGGACTCCATGGATGGACCCTTGTCCCCCTCTTGAGACTCCAGCTCCCAGGATCCCCGAGTCCAGTGAGCCCCACAGATGTTCGTATTTGAAGGTCTGAAGACAGACCCTCCCCTGCTTCTCTACCTGAGGTACGTTCCCACGGGCACCATGGCCACAGTGGTCTGTGACCATGTTCCAGAGCCTTCACCCTCTTCTCACAGACCCTGTTCTTCATCCCTTCATCCCAGGGCCCCAAGTGACATCTGGGACTCCGTGTAGAGTCTTGCATCACATGGGGTAGCAGCTCACCAATGGATGTTTCTAAACCAGTGGCCTCCACTTTCTAATATAGTGGTGGAGCTAAGGACAAGGAAAGGTCTAACACAGCAACACCGCTGGTTCTGATGCAATCAAAGGCAGAAAGTGGGGTGGTGTTGGGGCGCCTCCCTCTGGAAGCCACTTCTCGGGCGGTCTCTGTAGCTCCCCTTCCCCAATCTACAATGCATCCGTGTTCTGGAGGCCATTCTGCACTTCCTGCCCTGATACCCTCACAATAAATTCCTTCTGTTTCTCTGTAGAAGCTTTCTTGGGTTTGTTTCTATTACTTGCAACCCAATGGTCCCTATTTGTTGCATTCCCTAAAGGGGCTGTCCCCTTCTGCTAACTCAGGGACACAGCTGTACAGACCCCTGTGCCTCCACAGGCAAACCATCTTCTTCCCATACTCCCAGCCAACTCCACCTTGACATTAACACATGTGCTGACGAGCCATACATGGTGTGTCAGTTCTCTGTTGCTCCATGACAAATGGCCACAAAGTTGGAAACCTAAAACAACACACACTAGCTCGAGTTTCTGTGAGTCAGGAGTCCAGGCATAGCTCAGCTGGGGTCTCACAGGCTGCCGTCAAAGTGCTGGCCAGGGTTGAGGCCTCATCTGGAGGTTTGACTGACTGAGGAGGGATCCACACCTAAGCTCCCTCGAGTTGTGGTTGTAGGACCGTAAGGCCTGAGGGCCTGGCTTTGGCTGGCCATCAACACCTTCAGCTTCCAGAGGCTGCCTGCCGTTCCTTGGCATATGGGCTTCCCCAATGTGGCCACTAGTTCATCAGGCTGGCGAAGACAGTCTCCAGGACATGTCTACTGGTAACACAGTCTTACATGATGTGATATAACCACAGACTGATGACCCATCACCTCTGCCATGTTCTACTGGTTAGAAGATAGTTGGTCTGTCCACCATTGTGGGGAGGCAATTACACAGGGGCCTGAACCCCAGGAGGTGGGGGTCATGGAGGGTCACCTTAGGGTCTAAACAACACATCATAAAGCTTACCTATCACAAATGACACACGTGGGGCAATATTTGAACCAAATATTCTTTTGAAAGAAACAAAAAAAAATGTCAGCAGGGTTCTGTTTGTGCCCTCTCTACTTGGATCTGAACAGAGTATTTATGCACATCAATAAATTCTACCTGAATGACCAAAAACCCCACAAAATTCGCCTGTCATTTCATGGTAGAAACTCAACATTTGTGTTTTTACACAAGGACCCTTAGAATTGAAGTCGGGTCTTAGAAATAATTGCTATGTGTCCTCTAGGTGCCTGTTGAGGGCTTACTCTTCATGCGCTGGCCCAGACCCTGGGGAACCAACCTAGCCGCACAAGCATGGCCTTGGCTCTCAGGGCGGAACCGTGGACACAGAGCCAGGATGCAGCGAGGGAGGAGCTGTGGGGGCACCAGAGGCGGCCTGAGTGACGGGGAGGTGGAGATCAGCAGCTTGTGCAGTGAGATGAGAGCCTGCAGGAACCAGACCCAGAGGGGCCTGCAGCAGAAGACAAGGAGTGAGGCTAGGAGGTGAGGGGGAGCTAAAGCCTGAAGGGCCTCCTCTGGGGCAGAGGGGAGACAGTGAGGAAGCAGGAAGGTGACAGTCCCCATGGATTGTAACTTCGATCTGTGCGCCTAAGGGATGCCTGGGTGGCTCAGCAGTTGAGTGTCCTAGATCATGATCTAGGGTCCCGGGATCGAGTCCTACATCGGGCTCCCTGCATGGAGCCTGCTTCTTCCTCTGCCTGTGTCTCTGCCTCTCTCTGTGTGTCTCTCATGAATAAATAAATAAAATCTATTTTTTTAAAAAATCTGTCCGGCTGTGACAGCAGGAAATGAACTAGATTGGGGCAGAACTAGCAGCAGGAGACACCAAGAGAAGAGCTGATGCTGGCCGGGATTAGGGGGGAAGTGGCAGGAAGGGGGTCCAGTGGACAGATGAACACATCCTTAGGGAGGCAGGAGCAGCCTGATAGGCTGACTGACTGGGGGGGCCTCTCCCAAAGGCAAGTGCCAATCCTAAGGGCAGCCCTAGAGACCATTCACTGTCTGTGGTCAAGGGGGGCAAGCACTGAGGTTGCCCCGGTGACTGGATGAGCCATTTGGTCAACTGCATGAGCTCCAACCCCAGGGAACTGAATCCATGCAGGATTTTTTTTTAATCCATGCAGGATTAGTGGGTATTCCTTCATCCTGGCTCCTGGGCAGGGGTTGGGCAGCCAGGCCAGGGCAGGGGTGTGGCTGGGGGACATGAGCCACATGATCTCTGTGTTTGGGAGGTCGTGCATTCTTTCATTCACCAGGCACTGTGCTAGGTGTCAGTGTGAGGGACACATTCTGCCCTTATGGAATTGTCAGTCCAGTTGGAGAGATGGTTAATCATCAGTAATAAAGTGTGATACCTGTTGTGAAGGCAAAGTGTCTTAATGGGCCTGAGTGGGATGATCCCAGAAGGCTTCCTGGAGGAGGTGGTGTTTAAACAGAGACCAGAATAGGGCAGCCCTGGTGGCGCAGCGGTTTGGCGCCACCTGCAGCCTGGGGTGTGATCCTGGAGACCCGGGATTGAGTCCTGCATTGGACTCCCTGCATGGAGCCTGCTTCTCCCTCTGCCTGTGTCTCTGCCTCTCTCTGTGTGTCTATTAATAGATGAATAAAATCTTTAAAAAAAAAAAAAAAAAAACAGGGGATCCCTGGGTGGCGCAGTGGTTTGGCGCCGGTCTTTGGCCCAGAGCGCGATCCTGGAGACCCGGGATCGAATCCCACGTCGGGCTCCCGGTGCATGGAGCCTGCTTCTCCCTCTGCCTGTGTCTCTGCCTCTCTCTCTCTCTCTGTGACTGTCATAAATAAAAAAATAATAATAAAAAAATTAAAAAAAAAAAAAAAAACAGAGACCAGAATAGGAGTTGGCCCAAAGAGGAAGGAAGGATCCAGATGCCTGGGTGGCTTAGTGGTTGAGCATCTGCCTTTGGCTCAGGTCGTGATCCCAGAGTCCTGGGATCGAGTCCTGCATCAGGATCCCTGTGCAGAGCCTGCTTCTCCCTCTGCCTATGTCTCTGCCTCTCTCTGTGTGTGTCTCTCATGAATAAATAAATAAAACCTTAAAAAAAAAAAAAGAGGAAGAAGGAATCTTTAGGCAGAGGGAAGGCAGATACACTTGTAACCATACTTCTGGGGCACCCGGCTGGGCCCGGAGGCAGGAAAGCATGAAAGCCTTAACCTACAAGAGGAGAGTGATCGGAGTCCAAGCCAGAGGCCCGGCCATCAGGGGCAAGTCCCATCAGGGAATGTAGACTTCATCCCGGGAGCTTGGGGAAGTGGCTGAAGGATTCTAAGCAGAAGAGTGACCCGGTCGGGTTAGCTCTCTCTGCCTGTGGCTGGACGACAGCAGGACTGGAGGCAGGAAGGCCAGTCGGGAGGCTGCGGCGGGCCCTGGGGGAGAGACGGCCGTGGCCTGCACGTCCTGGAGACATGCACTTCTGACCCCCCAGCGGCGGCAGAGGTCCCCTAGGCTCGGGGCTCGGCCAAGGGTGGCACGGGGGAGGAGCCCAGACCCAGCAGAGCCTGCCGCCTCCCCTCCTGGCCCTCGGCCTTTGGAGCAAGACGCTGAGCCGGGGGCCAGTTACTGAGGGTCTGGGGAGTAGCCAAGTTAACAAACGGCTCCCCAGAGAGGCTGGGGTGCACCCTCACCCAGCCCATGGCTGTCCCTGGCTTCCAAGTGCAGAGCCGGGCCTCCGAGCAGGCTGGGCCCAGCTACTGAGGACATCGGTCGGAACTCCAAAGACGCGCTGAGTGACTGACCTAAGTGAAGCCAATGGCTGGGCAGCTCCAGGGGTCCGGGGGAGATCCTGGGTTCCATCTCTGCCACACCAGTCAGTGGTTCACCCGGGACCGGAATCCCTGCTCGCGGTGTGGCCCTGCAGGTGCTGGCCGGGCAGGTGCAGGCCCTGGCTCGCAGCCGGGCATGTGGCGAACGCAGCTGAGCCCAGAGCAAATCCGGGTGCTGCTACAGTGTGGAGAGTGGCTGCTCTGCAGGTCAAACCCCCACCGCCCCGTGCCCTTCCCTGGCCACTTGAGAGGACACGGCATTGTGTGGATTAAGCAGAAATGGTCTATGCCAGCACTTGGGAAATACACATAGTTCCTCGATTTTCTTTCTTTCATTCTTTTTTTTTTTTAAGATTTTATCTATTTACTCATGAGAGACACAGAGAGAGAGACAGAGACCCAAGCAGAGGGAGAAGCAGGCTCCTGTGGGGACCCTGATGTGGGATTCGATCCCAGGACCCCGGGATCACACCCTGAGCCAAAGGCAGGCACTCAACCACTGAGCCACCCAGGCGTCCCTATAGATTTTCCTAAAGCACGAGATTCTAGGGAGCCACCGCTAGTCTACTTTCCAGAGATAATACGAGGTGCAGGGGAAGGCGAGCGACAGGCTGCAGGTCCCTCCTCCCACCTTGTAGGGGAGCCCGGGAAAGTCCAAAGGCCAGCGCTCAGCTCTGGAGATGTGGCGCCCCCGCCCCGAGGTCTTGTGCATCTCCCTGCTTGTTTATCCCTCTGAATTCCACTCTCCACTCTTCACGCCGCAGGATAGACAGGAAGAGTAAATAGCCTTTTGAGAAAAGACAGCTTTGATGCTTCTTTTTTCCCTTGCCTTCTACCCTCCATTCCCTTTTAAGAAGAAAAGAGCTAAAATGTCATGTGGAAAATGGCCCATTAACTCCTCTGAAGCCTCATGGTAAACAAACAAAGCTTTATTATTGATTTTCTTTCATTACAAAAACAGGGCATGGACAAAAAAACTAGACCCCTGGGCTCCCTCCCTTCCCCCACGTTAGGCAAAGTAGCCCCAGAGAAAGATGCTGCAGCTAATGCAGATAATGAGGTTGATGTCCAGAAGGGTTTTCACGAGGGGGTTTTCTTCCAAGGAAACTATGATGGGTTCTGCCTTGCTTGGTGGCTCCTTGCCGGAGCTATCCATCCCACAGAGCCACAAGATGGCTCGCACCACTTTGGACCGCTTGGGGGTTGTGTCACCTAAAAGAACCCAAAATGAAGGTCATGAGGATGAGCCATGTCTCCCAGAGAGGGGCGCAGAGGGGCCAACCAGGTGTGTTCCGGGCACAGTGAGAAGTACTTTCCAGAAGTACTGTTTCTGCAAAGTATTCATGAATACCTTAATCGGGAAGACTAATCCTGGAAGAGTGGTACTTTCAGACTTTTCATCATTTTCAGATGAAGCAGCAGAGCCTCACTTGACTAACTTGAGTGAAGCCACGTAGCTGGTAAGCAGTGGCAGAGGTGGGTTTAGGAGCAGAGCTCTCCGCTTCCCTCCTCTGAATCACAGGAGGCCCAAGGGAGAAGGGCACTCTATTTTTTTTTTAAGATACATATTTTTTATTATTATTTATTCATTTGAGAGAGAGAAAGAGAGTACAAGTGGAAGCAGGAGCAGGGGGGAGGGTCAGAGGGAGAGGGAGAAGCAGGCTCCCCACTGAGCAGGAGCCCCATGCAGAGCTTGATCAGGACCCCAGGATTATGACCTGAGCCGAAGGCAGACTCTCAACCAACTGAGCCACCCTGGCACCCTGGGAGAAGGGCACTCTTTACTTTTTTAAAGACACTTAACGACTTAGCCACCCAGGTGCCCCGAGAAGGGCACTCTTGTGGGAAACTATTTCCCCATTCAGAACTGGGGCTGCAGGCTCCATTGCCTTTGGAGCTAGGCAGATGGTCAGGGGGAGCCACTTTGCGTATTATCTTGTCAAAATATGGACCAGGAAATATTCTCTCATTTTTCTTTTTCTTTTTTTTTAATTTTTTTTTTTTTTTTTAATGATAGTCACACACACAGAGAGAGAGAGAGAGAGAGGCAGAGACACAGGCAGAGGAAGAAGCAGGCTCCAGGCACCGGGAGCCCGACGTGGGATTCGATCCCGGGTCTCCAGGATCGCGCCCTGGGCCAAAGGCAGGCGCCAAACCGCTACGCCACCCAGGGATCCCTCTCTCATTTTTCTTAAAACACATGGCCATCTGGATCAATCCTTGAATTTCCCATGTTAGGCTGACATCGATACTTATCCACAGCACATTTGTATTCACATGTATATTTATATGTGTAAAAAGCCACGTGTGATGATAAATGACAGCCCACAGCCAGAGGGTCATGGGGCAATAGGGGTGAGTGGGGACCTTGGCTAATGGAAGGACACAGCCCAGGTCTAAAGTGCCTGCTTTCAAAGGTCGAGACAATGTTAGTCACGCAGACCTGGGAAAGATGGAAATCTGGAATTTTATGTGAAATCTCTAGAGTTTTCAATGTCAACTCACCTTTTATTAAAATGGTAGGTGGGCTAAACCACAGTGTCTGCAAGCTGCCAGTTTGAACCAGGTAACTTAGAGAATGCCAGTAGTATTCCCCAAAAATTGTGGGATTTTGTGGGGATTAAGTGCTGTGTTTTAGCAAGCTCTTAACATGTGTTTGCTGTTATTCCTCCCTGCTGAGCATCCGTGGAAACTTACTGAAGAGCCCACTTCCACTGTCTGGCCCAGACATTGGGGGTCAGGGGATGCTAGCATTCTGAGTCTGCCCATTTTCTGCCTTGTGATTTGGTAGAAAAATCTCCCCTTAAACACCTAATGCTTCCTGGGCTTCTACCATAACCAAGGAGAGGTAACTCACAGCTATGGCATTGGGATATGTTTTCTTGAACAATCTCCAGCTGGATGTTGGTGACGCTGGCTTCTGGTGTCCCATTCTGAGAGATGGTAAGAGGCAGGGGAGTTGCTGGGGGCACCTGTTCTTTCTGGACAATGGGGTCATGACGAGTGAACCAGGTCAGGCGGCTTACCTAAGGAGCAGACATAAATCAGATTAGGGTCCCCTGCTTGACTGTGTTCAGCCTCACGTGTGAGAATGCCCCCAGCCCAGCCCTGTCGCTGAATGTCCGAACAAGTTTCAACTCCCTGCACTCTTCAGAATCAATGCACATCCTCCCCGCCCCACCCACCATTCCCCTGGCTTTCTTTGGCAGCCCTAATTCTTTTTTTTTAATAAATTAATTTTTTTTTAATTTTTTTTAACTTTTATTTTTATTTATGATAGTCACAGAGAGAGAGAGAGAGAGAGGCAGAGACACAGGCAGAGGGAGAAGCAGGCTCCATGCACCGGGAGCCCGACGTGGGATTCGATCCCAGGTCTCCAGGATCGCGCCCTGGGCCAAAGGCAGGCGCCAAACCGCTGTGCCACCCAGGGATCCCAATAAATTAATTTTTTATTGGTGTTCAATTTACCAACATACAGAATAACACCCAGTGCTCATCCCGTCAAGTGTCCCCCTCAGTGCCCGTCACCCATTCACACCCACCCCCCGCCCTCCTCCCCTTCCACCACCCCTAGTTCATTTCTCAGAGTTAGGAGTCTTTATGTTCTGTCTCCCTTTCTGATATTTCCCACACGTTTCTTCTCCCGTCCCTTATATTCCCTTTCACTATTATTCATATTCCCCAAATGAATGAGAACATACACTGTTTGTCCTTCTCCGACTGACTGACTTCACTCGGCATAATACCCTCCAGTTCCATCCACGTTGAAGCAAATGGTGGGTATTTGTCGTTTCTAATGGCAGCCCTAATTCTGTTGGGACCTCACCTTCCCTCATTCGGACCCCCAGAGCTTAACCCTAGCCTGGGACTTTTGGGGGACCCCTTCCCATCAGCCACTCAGCACATGCATTTCTCTGGCCACAGAGAATGAACTGGTTCATGTGTAAGCATGTGTCAAGCTGACTCCATCGACGGGAATCAGGAACTCTGCCGGAAATACTGGGACAAATGTGTTTTCTGCTTTTGCTTGAGGAGTATGAGAAAAGATAACATCCCTGGAAACTGCCAGTGCCACGAGCGTGGTGCCTGAAAATTGAGGCAGAAATGAAGGATGGATTCGGACGGTCTTCTGTCCTGATTCAAGCTGTCCCTATAGCCCAACCCTGGGTGTCCTAGCTTTTTGAACAATCAAACCCTCTTTGTTGAGGCCAGTTTGGGTCAGTTTTGTGTCGCTTGTGGCAAAGGATCTCAGCGGTTATATAGTATCAAACACAAATGTACCATCTCCTTGGAGGGTGGCTCCGTGAACCAGCTCACGGTGGAAACAGTGATCAGTGTCACTGCAGACAGAATCATGGAGAAGTAGAGGTAGTGGATATCCTTCACCACGGAGGGGCGGTCATCCGGCTGGTCACACCGAGGCTGCACATAAACGAAGTCCAGGACCATCCGAATCAAGCCAAGGAGAAGGCCCAAGATCAGACCTGAGAAGGCACCCTGCAAACCAGAGCAAGGCCATCTTAGAGGCTTCCAGGGTTATGGGACGGCCGGCCTGCACCTCTGGAGACCTTGACAAGCCTCGACGAGGCTTCTCAAGAGCTTGCCTTCCTAGGGATACAGGCATCAGTAACTTGAAAAGGATTGGAGCTACTTACCTTTTTATCTTTCACACATAACTAATCATTTATGCAAAATTTACTCATTCCTTGTTAATTTAGCTTCCCTGTTTCATGACACCATGCATTGAAACAGAACGCCCATGGTTGCTTTCCAAAGGCCAGGTAGCCCCCTTTCCACCCCTCCATCCACAAAACTCCTCCGTAAAGCCACCCGTGTCATATGCCAACCTGGGGGGCGGCTCTCATCCAGAGCTACCTTTTCATTGGTCCGCTTCCAAAAACATCCCATGATGAAGACCACAGCCACTGGTGGCTGCAGATAGGAGCTGATGGACTGGATATAAATGAAGAGCTGGCCCCCCTGGCTGGCCTGGACCACGGGGATCCAGGCGATGGAGACCAGCACCAGCAGCAACACGAAGGCCCTGGTGCCAGGTGGAGAGAGACCCCTCATTAGTATGTCTCCCCCAGACACTGCTCTCTCTCTTTCTCAATATCTTTATTGGGGTAGAGTATACATATCACGACTCGCCCATTTTCAGTGTACATCTCTGGGCAACGCAATCAAGTTTCAGAACATCCATTACTCCAAACAAGTTCCTTCGTGCCCATTTACAATGTATTCCTTATCTGCTTCTGTTTCTACAAGTTTGCCTTTTCTAGAAATTTCATATAAATAGGATTAAACAATATGTGGCCTGTTGCAGAGGTTCATCCATGCATCATGCATTATCATGTCATTCATTCTTATTGTCAAAAAATATTCCATGTAATGGATTTACCATTACACACCACTGTTTATCCTACAGTGGTCAGCAGACACTTGAGTTGTTTCTATTTTTCCACTCTTGTAAACAAAAGGTTCTGTGAACATTTGTGTCCGACTCTTTATGTAAACGTATGTTTTTATTTCTGAGAATGCAACTGCTCGGTCATATGAGAAGTTTTATGTTTAAATTTTTTTTTTAACTACCAAACTGTTTTGAACAGTTGAACCATTTACATTCTCACCCATAGTGTTAGGAAAACTCCAATTTCTCTATCTCTTTGTCTGTCTTTTTGATTATAGCCATTCTAGTGGGCACCTCATGGTTTCTCCGTCTTCTAGAGATATGATCTCATTTCATAGATCATTCTAGATCACAAATCCTTTGTCAGCTACATGGCTTGCAAATAGCTTCTCCATATTTGTGGCTTGTCTTCTCATTTCCTTAATGATGTCTTTTGAAGTGAAAAGGTTTTAACTTTTGATGAAATCTAATGTATTTTTTTTTTCTTTTATGGCTTATGTTTGTGGTGTCAGACTTAAGAACTCTTTCCCTAACCCAAGCCTGAGACAGCCCTCAGGCCCCCAAGGTGCTTATTAGACAGTCATCCTGTCTCCTGGCTCTCTTATGTATTTTACATAAGATTTGCCTACCATCCCTTTCAGTCCCTACTGTTCCGCCACCCGTTAGACTTCGGACCTTGCAGACTTTGGAAGAGAAACTCCCCCCACCCAGTATCCAAAATCCCTTCCGCCCTTTGACCTGGCTAATTCCTATTCATGCCTCAGGTCCCACCCAGTCCAGGCTGGGAACTCCTCTAAATCCCCACATCTCCTTGCTCCTCCTCATAGCGCTCATTGGGGTTATAATTTCTTTTTAAATTCTCCTTTCTTATTAATTATCTTGTCTTTAGTTTTGTGAAGGCAGAAACTGAATCTTTGCTTTTCCCTGCTCTGCACCCAGCCACCTGGCACAAAGTAGATGCTCAGTGAACATCTCTTGAATGTGTGATTTACTCATACACAGATGATGACCCTCATCTTTGCCATCAGAGGAGGCTGAGCCTCCAGGATGGTAGGGCTTTGCCTGTGGGTGGGCCCAGCTTTCTCCTCCCTGGGTATCTAAACTTTTCACCCTCCTTCCTCAATCCCACTCAGTGCTGTCTTACCTGCCTACAATCATGAGCTCCTTTTCTGATGCTCGAGGCCGGATGTAATTCCAGAGGTCCATGGTGAAGATGGTGCTGGCACTGTTAAAGATGGAGGTGAGGGAGGACATGAGCGCCGCCACCATCACAGCCATCATGAGCCCGCGGAGCCCTGGAGGCAAAAGGAAGGTCTATGGGCCTCAGGCTTTTCCTGCTAACTGCTGCTGCCTCACTCATGACCCCCATATCCCAGGCCCATGGCGCCAATTGATCCAGCAAGTGCCACTGGAAGGAAGCAGAACTCAGAGGTGAGCCATGAGGAGGGCCTGGGGTTGGGGGGTAGGGGAGCATCGGGCAGAGCGCCCTGGATAGCCAGGGCCTGGGTTTTATTTGAGGGCTCTGGCTCTGGGGCTCAGTCCCTCAGCCCAGAGCACATTCCCTCCTGCTGTCCTCCCATCTCATCCGTCCCTCGGATCAGGCCCCAGCCAAGGTCTTCCTCCTTTCTGGGTGCTCCAGGGGCCTCCATGTAGGGGGCATTACCTGTGGGCAGGAGCTCCAGCACAAGTTTGGGATATGCGATGTCAGAGCAGCCAGAGGGGTTGCTACAGACCTTCAGGCAGGTTTCTGGATCCGCACAAGCCACTTGATCTGTGAAAGAAACGAGGCTCAGAGTGAGCAGACACAGACCCTCTAAGCCCAAGCCCAGCCAAGACACAGCTGGACACGGGCCAGAGCCAGGAGACAGGATGACTGTATATACGGTATATAGCTCTATGAAATAAAAAAGGAACCTAGAAGTTATAAACCATGACCTTCTTACTTAACCTGCCCTATCTGTAAAATTGGGACAATAACATAACTCTACTTCATACGATTATAATGGCTGAGATGCCATAGTAAGCCGATATGTAGGAAGTGATGAATACACTGAGGCTGCTATTACTATAACCCAAATAATGCTGAGCTACCTCAGGACTCCTGGGTGGCTCAGCGACTGAGCATCTGCCTTTGGCTCAGGGCATGATCCTGGGGTCCTGGGATCAAGTCCTGCATCTGGGTCCCTGCAGGGAGCCTGCTTCTCCCTCTGTCTATGTCTCTGCCTCTCTTTCTGTGTCTCTCATGAATAAATAAATAAGATCTCAAAAAAAAAAAAAAAAAAGCTGAGATACCTAGTAGCCATTCTACACAGTATCCTGCAACAGGCTGCATCCCCAGACTCCTCCAAAAGGGGACACAAGCAATTCACATCTTGCCTGCAGTTCCTTGGAGGTGCACAGAACGCCATCACCCGACACAGGGCAAATACTTTCTAAATCCCTCTTCTCCCCATCTCCTCAATAGCTGTTCTCATTTTAGGCTCCTAACAACCCAACTGTGCTGGGTGAATTTCTCTCTCTTCCTCTTCCTGCATTTCTGTGTCTCCTGCTCTCCTAAACAGCATTCTGATTTTCTAGTGTAAATCCACCTAGCCTTCCTGGCCTCCGTAGTTATTCATCTCTTCCTAGTATGACGATGAACACATCCCAAGCACACAAGCTTAGGCCTCTTGCTTGGAGGACAGAGAGTATGGCACAGAGTAGGTGCCCAACAAATTCCTATGGGGCAGAGGCTAGCTATTACAGTGCTCCTGTGTGAGGAAAGAGGACATTACAACAGTTTCACAGATGAAGAATCGGGGTGAGGGACCTGATTACAAACCCCTAACAAGGTCATATTAGGGGCAGAGTTGAAACTCAGGTCTCCTGACTCCCAATTCATTTTTTCAGAGAAGATAGACCAAGATAGTGTATGCTTTTCTATCTTTAATAAGTCTGGCAGTAACCCATCCAGGGCTTAATCCTGACCACTGGGACCTTCAGAACTCTGTATCACCTCGGTGGTTTGGCACCTGTGTCTGCATAATACCTTTCTTGTCACCTTCTGACTTTCTCAGCTCCTGGGATCTGAGCTAACTGATGCTCCTCACCAACTCCCCAGTGCCTACCCAACACCACTCATCCCAACTGGGCCACTTATTACCTCTCAAGTGGATCAAAGTGTAACTCTCATGAACTCCTCCTGAGCCCCCTCTGCTCAATCCCAAGTCTTCAGTCCTAGCTCCTCATTCTGAAGAGTGATAGGCTGTCAGCCCATTCAGAACCTTAGAATACAAGCGAACATGGAGCCATTCACCACTTATGCCAATTTCCTGCCTGGTTCCAGTGCAAATCAACGTCATGATGACCATTTACCAGAGACCTCAAATGTAGATGTTTGACAGCATCTCCAGATGAGGTTGTATGCTAAGCCTCTATATTTTTACCTGCATTAAAACTGCTAATTTAATAAGTGTAACCACTTAAAGGACATCACAATTTTAAAATGCAATATTGTTGTATCTTCATTTTCTTTTTAAGGTAACATAAGACCCAAGAAATGGAGATAGCCCTGGGCCCTTTCATCCACTGGGAAGTCCAAGGGCAAACTGATCTTCATAAAATTTCTCCACACATTGTCATGTATTTTCAAGGCTGAGACTCTACACCCACTAACAGCCACCCATGGGTGCTATGGCCACAATAATAATACAATCACTGTGGAATAGAAGTAGATGCCCCCAAAGCTCTGGTTCAAGCCTCAAACAAAATTAAGACTGTAGTCCAAAAGTGATACTTGATAAGAAGAAACAATCTTGAGAAAAATACTTTTTTTGACAAGTCAAAGCTCTTGGCTTTTTTTTTTTTTTTTTTTTTTTTACTCTTTTGAAAAGTCTTTTAAAAAGATAAGGAAACAGTTTCATTCTCATGCCCAGAACATTGTAAGGAGCCGCTTAGGTCGGGCAAAGGTCTTGTTCACATCCATATCATACAGGCTTTGCCTCTTTTTGTCCAAAAGCACCCCTTCCCTCAAGATTTATTTACTTTATTTTTTTAGAGATTTTATTTATTTATTCATGAGAGACAGAGAGAGAGAGGGAGAGAGAGAGAGAGAGAGAGGCAGAGACACAGGCAGAGGGAGAAACAGGCTCCATGCAGGAAGCCTGATGCAGGACTAGATCCTGGGACTCCAGGATCACACCCTGGGCCAAAGGCAGGCACTAAACCACTGAGTCACCCATGGATCCCATGATTTATTTACTTTAGATAAAGAGAAAACTTGATCTCAGGACCCCAAGACCATTACCTAAACTGAAACCAAGAATCAGTCACCCAACCTACTGAGCCACCCTGACACCCCCAAAAGCTCCTCTCTTCAAGGTTCACTGAGAAGGAGCAAGGCTCTCCCTGGGATACTTAATTAACTACACAATTTAACCTTTGGTTGTTAACCTTAGGTTATTTAACCTTCTAGACCTGCACCTTTCAACCATGAAACATGACAGTTTACAAAGCATGTTTGTGGCAGTTGTCCTTGTCTGTTCAGCTTAAAGAATATATTCATTGAGGGTGCCTAATAAGAATATATTCATTAGTCAGTTAAGTATGTGACTCCTGATGTCAGCTCAGGTCTTGATCTCAAGGTTGTGAGTTCAAGCACCTCACTGGGCTCCATGCTGGGCAAGGAGCTTATTTCAAAAAAAAAAGAACAGGGATCCCTGGGTGGCTCAGCGGTTTAGCGCCTGCCTTTGGCCCAGGGCGCGATCCTGGGGACCCGGGATCGAATCCCACATCGGGCTCCCGGTGCATGGAACCTGTTTCACCCTCTGCCTATGTCTCTGCCTCTCTCTCTCACTGTGTGCCTATCATAAATAAATTTAAAAAAATTAAAAAAAAAAACAAAAAAAAAGAACACATTCATCTTAAGGATATTAGTTGGCTCAGCTAAGCTACAACAGAAACCAACAGTCTTATGAATCACCATTTGGTAACAGTCATCCACGTGTCTTGGGTTAATTAATCAACCATTTCATGTATGGTGTGGGTTCTCTTATCAGACCCTCTGATGCTTGGCATAAAGGGGCCTCTGGCAAGCTCAGATCCAAACACCACTAAATCTCCTACTTCCAAATGCTAACATTCACTGAAGTATCACTATGACACATAAAGACTATACATATATACCTTCCACTGTATTCTTCATAACTCCATTGGTAAGGCGTGGTTATTACACCTATTTTAAAAATAAGTAAATCGAGGCCCAGAAAGGTGACGAGGCTTCCCCAAATCATACAGCTAATAAATATTATGAATAGGTCTCATATCCTTCATGTATTCCAGAGCTCAAGTGGGAAAAATTTGCTTTGTGAATGGATACACTTCTTGACTTGTGTTTTATTGTTTTTAAGGGTGGTTTTTCCTGTCTCTTAATTTCCACTATGGTTCCTTTCAAAGTATGTGCCGTTTCTCAGATGGATTAGTGGAAGAAGGTGTTGCCCAGTCTCATTATAGCTCAGGACTGGAGCATCCTTTTGAATGGTCTCTGGACCCAAATGAAGACTCAGTGGGGTAGCTGGCAGAGCAGAGATGGAGGGAAACATGGAAACAGGAAGGAAGAGTGGCTTAGCCTAGAGCCTGGCTTTTTAGGCAAGAGTTTCTCAATCTCCTGGGGAATTTATTAAAAACAGATTGCTGGGCAGCTCCAGTGGTGCAGTGATTTAGTGCCACCTGCAGCCTGGGGTGTGATCCTGGAGACCTGGGATCGAGTCCCACATCAGGCTCCCTGCGTGGAGCCTGCTTCTCCCTCTGCCTGTGTCTCTGCCTCTCTCTCTGTGTGTCTCTATGAATAAATAAATAAAATCTTTAAAAAAAAAAAACAGATTGCTGGGCCCCAACCTCAAGAGATTCTGATTCAGTAGGTCTTGGACGGAACCCAAAAGTTTACGTTTCTAACAAGTTCCAAGGTGATATCAGTGCTGCTGGACTGGGGACCACACTTTGAGAAGCACTTGTCCAGGCCTTCAAACACACCATGCCCACCTTACCCTCTCCACCCTACCTCGCTCTCAAATTCCTTTCACTTATTGTTAGTTCCATATGCTAGAGTGTTCTAATTTATATCTTATCTTGCTTTTTCATGAGTACCAGACTCATTCATTACATTACGAAGTCCTTAGGGACATAGAACATGGCATTATGTTTCACTTAATCATGATTGCTGATTGGCTACCTGTTAAGAATGATGGTCAAGGTCTCGCGATTGATCTTCCAGACATTGATCCAAAGCTTAACATGTAATTTGCTAAGAGAGACAATAGCATTATTAAGGGGTGGGGTTTGGAGGCCGATGCACCTGGGTTCTATCCCAGCTCACCCAGCACTAGCCAGGTTAACTTCTGGCAAGCCACTTAACCTAGGAAGGGTCTAGATTGCTCTTCCTTAACCCCCATATCCAATCCATTTTGTTGAATGCACTTCAAGATATATTTTGAAACCATCCAGGGTACTTGGGTGGCTCAGTCGGTTAAGCATCCGACTCTTGATTTCAGCTTAGGTCCTGATCTCCGGGTCATGAGATCACATCAGGCTCTGTGCTGGGTATGGAGCTTACTTAAGAGGCTGTCTGTCTGCCTCCCTCCCTCCTTCTGTCCCTACTGCTCCTCCAAAAAAAAAAAAAAAAAAACCCACCCATATGAACCAAATGTTGCCTCTTCTCCTCACAGAGGCCACCCCTGGAAACCTTATCAGAAGAAGCCCCACCCAGCATCCCTGTGACATCTCCCTGTGCCTTTTACTCACAGCTCTCAACACAATCAATGGATATCTCATTTACTTATTTCCTTATCTTTGTGTGTCTCCTCCACCACCAGAATGTGAGCCCCACAATGGCAGGGATACTTTTTGTCTTGTTCATTTATGAATCCCTAAGTTTTCCTAGAATAAAGCCTAGCAGATCACTGACTCTCAGAATGTTTGATGGACACATGGAAGAATAAATGAGTGGATGAGCTTCAATATCTTCATCTGTAGGGGATCCCTGGGTGGCGCAGCGGTTTGGCGCCTGCCTTTGGCTCAGGGCGCAATCCTGGGGACCCGGGATCGAATCCCATATCAGGCTCCCGGTGCATGGAGCCTGCTTCTCCCTCTGCCTGTGTCTCTGCCTCTCTCTCTCTCTCTCTCTCTCTCTGTGACTATCATAAATAAATAAATTTAAAAAAATATCTTCATCTGTAAATGAAAAGAGCCCTAACAGTATCAACTTCATAAGGTTGTTTTGAGGAATAAATGAGATAATATATAAAATGAGAGTAAGCCCTTCTATGGTGCTTACCTTGTGCTGACTGCTTTAAGCCTTATGAAAGATTATCTCATTTTATGAGTGAGGGAACAGAGGCAAGTGATTTTCCAAGGTCATACAGCTAGGAAGCAGCAGAACCAGGATTCTAGCAGCAACATCCAAATCAGAGTCCATATTCAGAACCACCACATGATGAATGTAGGTTGTTTAAAGCTGTGTTCTTTGTTCATATGTCAAGCCTTACCCAAAAGCTGTGTATTTTCCATCAAGTCACCACAAATCCCAAATCCCAGTTCTTACTCTGATATGGGTTTTTCCAAGCCTTGTGTGCCTTCCCTGGAACCAGGACCAGTGACTCTGGGTTCTTCATGCCCTCTGGGCTGGAGGAGTGAGAAACCCAAGATCTTGCACCACGGACAGGTCTCCCACTCTCCTTCTCCAATTCTTTGCTCCTAATGCTTATTGTCCTAAATTATTGTGACAAAAACTTCTGGACCATCCTCCTCTTTCTTTACCGATGCAAAACATTGTATAAGATAAAGCACAGGGGAGGGAGCACTCTACCTTTGAGTTAATAACAGCCTTGGTGGGTATGAAAGGAAAAGCTCACAGATGTGGAAAATGCAAAGCTTTCTTCCATACAGATCAGCAGTTCCTGACATCACAGTGACTCCCAATAACACCCTCCTCCCAATCCTGTTTATCCACACAGTGAAAACCTCATCGCCTTACCACACTAAAAATAATTCTAAGACAAATATTCTAGTGGCTTTGACATCCCTGATTTTTGTTATGTACCCCCAAAGGGGTTCTGTTGAACCAAAATAACCAAACCACTGAGATGAAATACTAAAAGCACAAGAATAACTCTCACATTATGCTTTAGAAAACTGACATCTGGAACCACAAGATCTTAACCTATAATTTGTGGTTTCAAAAAAATACAGTTAAAAAAATACAGTTGAGGCAAGACCCCAGATGGGTCTCCCTGCTACTGGCCTGCGACATCTACTAGACATGCCTGCTGAACCCCTGTGGGGAAACAGTATACAGTCTGATGTCTGAATAGAGATGCCTCAACATCCCCCTGCAGGGACCTCAGTCCCAATCCCTGATGACAATCATATGTTTAGAACACTTCATGGGGTCTGAGATTCAAAGACCGATGACCTTTTATCCCCACTGTCTCCTCACCTGGGAAGAGGACACGACTGACCATTCCAGGAAACACCATAATGAAAAGGGGCAGCACTTTCAGGTAGGCAGCCATCAGAGAGCCTCCTTTGGCATGGGACATGTTCTTGGCAGCCAGAGACCGCTGAACGATCACCTAGAAGACAGTAGGGTGGTTGTAAGTTGAAGTGATTCTCCCTAAAAGCAAACTAAGTGTGCAGAGCTGCTTTGAAGACATCGTGGACTTAGAACCTTGGTTTGTTTGGCTTCTCTTTGAGGAAACATTGGTTTCCTATTCCCAATCTCTGTGGACCACTTGAGGAAGCCGAGAACCCCATTCCATTCCTTCCTCTTTGTCTTGGAATTGGACCCGACCAATTAGGTTTCTCCATTTCTCTGGCTACCATGATTGGTTAAGTATGAATCCAAGGCAGGCCAATTACAACTTTCCTAGCAGAGGCCTTCATTAGAATTACCATTTATGAAGGTAGCTTAGACTGCCGGCTGCATCTCTGCCATCATACTGCAGAAGATCCCTTAAAATTGAAGTCATCTCAGGGTGCCTAGGTGGCTCAGTCAGCTAAACATCTCCCTTCAGCTCAGGTCATGGTAGAGCCCAACATCAGGCTCCCTGCTCAGCGGGGAGGCTGCTTCCCCTTCCCCCCCACCCCGCCCACTCCTGCTCATGCTCTGTCTCAAATAAATAAAATCTTAAAAAAAAAAAAGTATCAGATCAAAAAAAAAAAAAAAAAACATATCTACTCAAAAGGAACAACTTCTTCCAGAGTTTTTTCTGAATAGGAGACTGGTCCCCAAAATCCTCCTCCAGCCTTCAGATTGAATCTACATGAGCCCAGAACTTTCTCTCCTATTTCCTTAGGTTTTGGGTCTTGAAGCATCTGGAGAAGTTACAGAGGCCTTGGTGAGTTACCAGAGCCTTTACAAGCTGGTTCAGTGACCTATGGACAAAGGGAGTGAAACGCCACATCATTACCACTGCAACACTGTGACGAGAAGGACAAAGTTGGGATTCTTCCCCCTTTTTTTTTTTTTAATAGCAGACAGTAATGGGATAGTCTTCCTAGAGTGTCCTGCTCCTTTTTTTGAAACCCATACCTTGTCCACAGGGCTACACTATCATCTTGGGCACAGCTGCCTAATCCAGGGCTAGGCACCTGACCCATGCTAGACCCTTATGCAGGATTCTTGGACTGGGACTTAGGGACTTGTCACCTTTCCTGTTGGTCTGCAGAGGAGGCAATGAAGTCCTAGATGAGAAAGATGGATGATGGAGAGGGAAACCAGAATATGTTCCAGCAGTTTCTGAAATCTTGTTTGACTTCCTACTGTTTGTATTCCACAAGCTAATACATCCTCCACCCCTTCCCTGAGGTAGTTTTTTTTCCAGATTTTATTTTCTTATTTGAGAGAGAAAGCATGAGCAGGGAGGAGGGGGAGAGAGAGAGGGAGAAGCAGGCTCCCCACTGAGCAGGAAGCCCGATGCAGGGCTCTACCCCAGGACCCTAAGCAGAAGGCAGATGCATAACGACTGAGTCCTCCAGGTGCCCCTCCCTGAGGTGGTTTAAGTTTGATTTTTTTTTTTTTGTCACTTGCAACCAAGTGTATCCTGACAGGCACAAATTACATTTGTTTAGATGCCATAAATGAAAGACTCTAAAATGTAGGATTGGTTTATGTGAGGAAAGGGTAGGGGCCATGGAGGCCCTCATCCAGAGCTGGGAAGTTAGTGGTCCTTGTTTAGAAGTTGGTTTAACAAAAAAAGAAATTGGTTTAACTGGGGCACCTGGGTGGCTCAGTCAGTTGAGCCTCCAACTCTTGGTTTCAATTCAGGTTGTGATCTCAGGGTCGTGAGATTGAACCCTGAGTCACACTCCATGCTCAGTGTGGAGTCTGCTTAGAATTTCTCTCTTCCTCTCCCTTTGCCCCTCCCCACCCCATGCTCATTCTCTCTCTCTTTCCCTCTCTCTCTTAAATAAGTAAATAAATCTTTTTTTTTTAAGTGTATAGAGGGGGCACCTGGGTGGATCAGTCAGTTAAGCATCTGCCTTCGGCTCGGGGTGTGATCCCCAGGTCCCGAGATTGAGTCCCACATTGGGCTCCCTACAGTGAGCCTGCTTCTCCCTTTGCCTGTGTCTCTGCCTCTCTCTGTGTCTCTCATTAATAAATTAAAATCTTTTTTAAAAAAAGAAAATGAATTATTTCGTGTCGGATGAATTAATTATTGCTGGCTATGACACAGCATCAGTAAATGTTTAAGTGCCTTTAGGATTGTCCACTGTTACTTATCTTTTTAGTCTGTGAATCAGGAATGTTGCTTTGCCCTTCTCCTGTTCTTTTTTTTTTAATTTTTATTTATTTATGATAGTCACACACACACACAGAGAAGAGAGAGAGAGGCAGAAACATAGGCAGAGGGAGAAGCAGGCTCCATGCACCGGGAACCCGATGTGGGATTTGATCCCGGGTCTCCAGGATCAAGCCCTGGGCCAAAGGCAGGCATTAAACCGCTGCGCCACCCAGGGATCCCGCCTTCTCCTGTTCTAAAATAAGCCTAGGAGGTCTGGGGTGGCTCAGTCGGTTGAACCTCCCAACTCTTGATTTTGGTTCAGGCCATGATCTCAGGGTCGTAAGATCAAGCCCTGCGTTAGGCTCCAAGCTCAGTGAAAGTTTGCTTGAGATTCTCTCCCTCTCCCCCTCACGCTGCACACACATGCACTCTCTCTCTCATGAATAAATAAAATCTTAAAATTAGCTTAGGTATAGGACTAGCAAAGCTGTGCATTCCCTAAGGCAACACCAGCACAGTGAACCCGCAGAGTCTCAAGATTCTATAGAACCCAGGTCAGTGGCTACACCATGTGGTCAAGACCAAAGTCTTGACCAAAGACTACCACGTGGTCAAGAAGGGCTTGGATTTCTAGGCCTTCTTGCCCTGCCCAACATTTGGAAGGAGACTGAGTCTTCTGTGGCTAAGTCCCCAGGCTCCTGAACAATGTGGGGTAGGTTGGAGGTGGCTTTCAAGGGATGCAACGTTGGAATCCCAGCTAAGAAGGACTTGAGGGATCTCAAGGAAATATTTGTGCAAATTCTTAAGTGTCAGCTGATGGTGAGCTGCATCAAGAACAGTAACATAAACCATAGCAAAATGTAAATGTTTTTTTTTAAATGTAAATGTTTTTAATGTTTATTAACCATCCCTGGGACAAAAAGACTATGGTCAAATTCCTCATGCCTCCCTTTTCTGTAACCATTAGTAACTGCACTGTTAGTAAGGAAATAAGGAAACAAAATGTTAGCATGCCCCACCTATGAAATTTAAAGTCCATACTGTTAGCCTTGATCTGTACTGTGTCCCAAAGCCTCTTCTTCCTGAGATTTGCCAAGGGAGAGAAGATTTGCCAAGGACAGTCTCCCAAAGGGGTGGTACATGTGTATTGTGCTCACCCCTGCCAGAGTGCAGAGGAGTTCTGGCCCAGGGTGCGGACCTGGGCTCTGTTCTCAGCAGTGTCACCTGCATAAATGCCCTTGTCCCACTCCATGATCGTTGCTTGAGTTAAACTTCAATAAGTCCTGACTCTGCACTACAGCCTCCAAAATGGTACCTAGATCTCTGATCCTCAACAGGAAATGCATTTCAACTGGTGATATATTTCCTGGGTTTGAAACCTACCCGGGCATAAACAGGTGCGCCACAAAACAACTCCTTGGCACATGTACACGGTCTCCCTGCCCACGAGTATCCACTTTTCTTAGTCTTACTACATCCACCTGGAGCTCCTTTATACATACATGAGAAATGCAAATATAGATTCTATCTCCCCTCCCCTTAACACCAAAAGGGTTTCTTATAAATGCTGTCCTGCCTCTGTGGTTCTCATTTTTTTTTTTTCACATCAGTTACATATATGCTGTAAGGCCTTTGCTCTGGCTGTTCCCGTGGCAAACTGTTCCCCAACTTTCGCAGGGAGCTCTGCTCTTCTTCGAAGCCTGTGCTTCTAAGGGTCACTTCTCAGTCCTGCCTCCCCTTAATACCCTATTTTACTAACTTATCTTTCAAAACATATGTGTATATATATATAATCTCTACCCCCAACGTGGAGCTTGAACTCACAATCCCAAGATCAAGAGTCGCCTGTTCCATAGACTGAGACTGAGCCAGCCAGGCACCCTGCCACCTAATTTTAAACTGTACTCCTATATTCTCAGCTCCTCTTTCCTACCCTGCTTTTTTTTTTTAAATGGTATTTGTCACCTTGAAATATTCCATATAATTCACTTATTCATTGTCTATCTACTCCCCACTGGAAGAAGGTGAGCTCCAGGAGAGATGCAAGCCCAGTCTGATTTGTTTACTCGTGATCTCCAAGTGCCTGGTACACAGAGGATTCACAGAGTATGTGTTGATCATATGATACACTATAGCAATTTTAACTTCTTTTTTTTAAAAAAAATCTTATTTATTTATTTATTCATTCATTCATTCATTTGAGAGAGGGAGCATGAGCAGGGTAGGAGGTGAGGAGACACAGAGGGAGAGAGAGAAGCAGACTCCCCCCTGAGCAGAAAGCCTGACATCCAGCCCCACATGGGGCTCCCTGCTCAACAGGGACAGAGAGTCTGCTTCTCCCTCTGCCCTTCCCATTGCTTGTGCGTGCATGTATGCACGCACTGTCTCTCTCAAATAAACGGAATCTTAAAAAATAAATAACATTTATTTGACATTAGGAAGATGTATTAAGAGTTCCCCTTTGCAGTGGCTCAGTTGGTTAAGTGATCTACTCTTGAGTTTGGCTCACGTCATGATCTCAGGGTTCTGAGATCAAGCCCCGGGGTCGGACTCCTCCCTCAGCAAATAATCTGCTTGAGATTCTCTCACTCTGCCCTTCCCCAGCTCTCTCTTTCTTTCTCTGTCTCTCAAAATAAATAAATAAAATTTTAAAAACAAATAAAAGAGAGTTCCCCTTTGCAAATATCAGCAGCTCTGGATTTTTCCATTACATGAGCGAGCTCAAGAAGTCAAATAATGTACAGCAGTAGAGAGGAAAGAGCAGTCGAGCTTGAGGGCGAGGGAGAGGAGAATGCAAACAAGAGAAGAGACAGAGTGAAAAAACCCCAGTCCCCAGCCCCCCAGGGAAAGAAGCGTCCTGGGGGATCCCTGGGAGGCTCAGTGGTTGAATGTCTGCCTGCAGCCCAGGGCATGACCCTGGGGTCCTGGGATCAAGTCCCGCATCGGCTCCGCTCCCTGCATGGAGCCTGCTTCTCCCTCTGCCTCTGTCTCTGCCTCTCCCTCTCTCTCTCCCTCTGTGTCTCTCATGAATAAATAAATAAAATTAAAAACTAAAAAAAAAAGGACAGAAGCATCCTGGAGGGCACACACTCATCAGCTGCCCTGTACCTGATCCGTGCACCAGTACCAGAGGGATGGGATAGACATTCCAAATATGATCCCGGGCCATGGGAGATCAGATGTCAGGGGGTCTCGGAAAATATGGAAGGCGTCCTCTCGGGGCAGCCCGCAGCTGCTGTTCTCACTCCGGTTGCTAGCCAGGGCCAAGAAATACTTCTCCTTCAGGCCTTCCATCCCGCCAATTGCAGCAAAGCCTGGAATTCAGAGGAAGCCCAAATTTGCCAGAGACTCAGAACAATCCACAGCGAGTGGTAAGGGGATGGCTGGGTGGGTGGCATCCTATTGAGAGCAGAGCTAACAAAGAAAGTTAGTCACCTTCGAGGCTCTTCGCCTTGTTTTGATGCCTTTGGCAGTGGTCATGTATTGCTTCTCAGAATACTAATAACCAATGCATCATACAAAATGCATAGGATTATAAAGGAAACCAGATATGTTGAAGGCAATCAACAAAACATCAAAACTGTGACTTAGTATGCACAGTTTTGCAGTTAATAATGCAGTTATTTGCTCCATCAAACAGTAAGACCCGGCAGTAGGTCTAATAACTATTTATTTATTTATTTTTAAGTAGTCTCTATGCCCAGCGTGGGGCTCAAACTCATAGTCCTGAGATGAAGTCACACACTCCACGGACTGAGCCAGCCAGGGGACCCTGTAATAACAATTTGGTTTCAAAGTAGCCATGAGCACAAACAGTTCTTCAATACCTCAGCAACAACTGTGAAAACATCTGGATAAAAACATCTGAGGTATCTTTTGGTATGAGAGTCACGGAGTATTAGCAAATATTCCTATGGTTTGTCGCCTACACTTACAATTTTTAAAATGCTACATTTCAATGTTAGGTTTATGAAGATATAGATGGGTGTTTTTTTTTTCCCATCCAAGTTCACATGAGTATTTTTGTAAATTTTGATCATTTTTTTCAAGACTAATTTTTGTAGATGGTTCTTTGGTTCTTTGATGCTGGAAAAAAGTATGTTTGCTGTTACAAGAATACTTGTTCAATTATATAATTTATAACTTTTTTTTTCAATAATATAATTTATAACTTCTAAATCCTGTGTCCTGTGAAGTGTTAAAGTCTTGGTACTATTTTGGTTTCTGTCAATTTCTCCTATTTCTAACAACTTTTGCTTTGTATATGTTGCTGCAGTTTTGGATTCTTTTTTTCTTTTTTCTTTTTTAAAATAATCTGTATACCCAGCATGGGGTTTGAACTTGACCCTGAGATCAAGAGTCAGATGCTTTACTAACTGAGTCAGCCAGGAGCCCCACGGCAATGTTACTTAATTTATAAAGTTTATGTCTTCATCTAAATCTTAGAGAATGCCAAGCAAGATCAATATATTCCCATCTACATTTATCATATTAAAACTGCTGATGGGATCCCTGGGTGGCGCAGCGGTTTGGCGCCTGCCTTTGGCTCGGGGCGCGATCCTGGAGACCCGGGATCGAATCCCACGTCGGGCTCCCGGTGCATGGAGCCTGCTTCTCCCTCTGCCTGTGTCTCTGCCTCTCTCTCTCTCTCTCTCTCTGTGACTATCATAAGTAAATAAAAAAAAAAAAAAACTGCTGAAAATACAGAAAAAAATCTTGACGGCAGGCAATGAGGGCAAGGAGGAACCCACACTACTACAGAGAAAGGAACAAAGAATTACAACAACAAAAAAGAGGGGTGACACCTAGGTGGGTCAGTCGGTTGAGCATCTGACTCTTGGTCTCTTTGTTTTGGCTCAGGTCATGATCTCATGGGTCATGGGAATGAGTCCTACATAGGACTCTGCCCTCAGTGGGGAGACAGCTTGAAGATTGTCTCCTTCTGCTCCTACCCTGCTCTCTCTCTCTCTCTCTGTCTCTCTTTCTCTAAAATAGATAAATAAGGGCCCCTGGAAAAAAAAAAAAAGGGAGGGCCCCTGGGTGGCTCAGATGGTTAAGCATCTTGCCTTTAGCTCAGGTCATAATCTCCAGGTCCTGGAATTGAGCCCCACATTGGGCTCACTGCTCGGCAGGGAGTCTGCTTCTTCCTCTCTTTCTGCCTCTCCCCGTTCTTGTGCTCTGTCTCACAAATGAATAAATAAAAAATATTTTAAAGAATATATAAATAAGGGGCACCTGGGTGGCTCAATGGTTGAGCATCTGCCCAGTCTTGGGAGAAGCCTGCTTCTCCCTCTGCCTGTGTCTCTGCCTCTCTCTCTCTCTCTGTGACTATCATAAATTAAATAAATAAATAAATAAATAAATAAATAAATAAATAAATAAATAAAATAAAGGCTTTTTACATTTTTCTTAAGGTTTTTAAAAAAGTTATCTCAACACCCAGTGTGGGGCTTAAACTCACAACCCCAAGATCAAGAGTCACATACTCTTCCAACTGAGCCAGCCAGGCACCCTAAAAGCCTTTTTTTTTTTTAAGATTTTTTTTTCTTCTTTTTAATCACTCTAAAAGATAATCGACTATCTAAAGCAAAACTTGTAGCAGTATATTGGGGTTTAGAGCATATGTAAATGTATGTCTTGAGAAAGAAAAAGTGGGAGGCATCACACTTCCTGATTTCCAACATATTATAAAGCTGTAGAAATCGAACACGATTTTATGCCTACGGTGTTGGCACAAAAAGGCTCCTAGATGAATGGGACTGAATTGAGGGCACAGAAGTAAACCCACATATGTAGGGTCAATTAATTTTCAACATGTGGAAAGTTGCAGATATCTTGGGAGAATATCTAATAGATACAGCAGATTGAGGACGATTCCTGGAGGCTGATCTGTACCTTCTTTCCTGCCCGACTTAATGAATTAAGTAATGGAACTTCCCCATCAAGAACCCATACTTTCATGGAGAAAGATCTAGAGATTTAGCTAAGAATAACAGACCTTGGGCAGATCTGTTTTGGTTCTCTCTTGCCTCAGAAAACCTGTTTTAAGTAGCTCATAGAGCCCTGGGACATTCAAAGCGTTAGTATCTATGACAACGACATGTTTCTAGTGAGGCTGGACATTTGTCCTTCACATACATGTTACTCGTCTGTATTTCCTCTTTACGTGTAGGATACCAGTGAAGTTTTTCATCTGATAAGGGCCCAACACATTTCCTTTTAAAGTTAATAGTAAGCTTTTTTTGTCTGGGTTGTGAAATGTTTATCCATGATTACTTCTTTGAAGTTTTGTTTGAAAGACGAGAAAGTAACACAAAATGGAAACCACACAGAAAAACACAATGTTAAGGGAAAACTCTTGTTTATACCCCTGGACCCCTGTTCCTAGACTATTCCTGAGTCTTTTCTTATGTTTCATGCCTTTGACACTTTCAGGAAACGTGTTAGGTTATTTTGTAAAATGTCTCTCAATCAAGACCTCTGATAGGTTATTCTTGATTAAGTGGAGGTTACATCTTGTTGACAAGTATGACACACAAGATGATGTGGTGTCCTCCCCAAATCAGAAGCTACATGATGTCAATGTCTTATTTCCGGTGATACTAACCGTGATCACTTAGCTACAGTGGTGTGTGCCATGTTGCGCCCCTGAAAAATGACTGTTTTCCCATTGGTAATTAACACGTTTGGGACACAACAACTAAGACCACACAAAGATCCTATTTCTTCATGAACTTTTACCCACTAATGCTCATTTATCCTAAGATCTTGCCTGCAGATCATTGTGATGTCCTCATGGTGATTCTCTAGCTCTCTCTTCATCTATGTTTATTCATTGGAATTCTTCTATAAGGAAGAGTTGTCCCTTTGCCCCTTTTATTTATTAATCATTTATCTATATCAATATTGGAAGAACTATTCATTTTTACTTAAAAAGAAACTAAGTTTTGGGGCGCCTGGGTGGTTCAGTAGGTTAAGAGTCTGACTCTTGATTTTGGCTCAGGTCATGAAGTTAGGGGTTGTGGGACTGAGCCCCACGTTGAGCTCTTCATTCAGTGGGAGGTCTGCTGGAGATTTTCTCTCCCTCTGTGTCCCCCACCCCCGCTGTCTCTCTCTCTCCCTCCAAAATAAATAAATCTTAAAAAAAAAAAAGTAAGCCTCCATAAGCCCAGTTCTCTTCCAGCTAAAATAACCACATCTCAAGCAAATCACCCATGACAGGAATGCCCCAGTTGTAGGCTTTTGTCACTGGGTTTGCTGATCACAGTGATGAAAGCAGATGTCACTGAGAGAAGAGTTGTCACCCACCCAAGTGATCCTGGGGTCCCTACTTACTGTAGCCCATCAGGATGAGCGCTCCTATAAGCATGATCAGAGTCTGCAGGGCATCTGTATAGATCACAGCAGCCAGGCCACCTGGGGTTGAGGGTGGAGAAAAGCACTGAGGTGAGTGTCGGGTACCCTGATGGAGAGGAGTTACCTTGAGAAGCAGACAGAACCTGGAAGTTCAAGACCTGCCTGAGCAGATTTCTTAGTGTTGTTTGCAAAGATAGCCACAGGCTCTCCTTGCCGGGTGCATGCCCACTTTGTACTGTGGCTTTCCCGCTCCTTCCATGTAGAGGTAAAGCTGATATCTCTACTTCTGAAATATGAGTTTGGCCAAATGTCTTGATACGGTGAGAGCGATACTGTACAGCTTCAAGCCTAGGCCTCAAGGACCCAGAAGCTTCTGCCCTTGCTCTCATGTTGCCCTGAGACCATCATGCTTCTTTAAGAAGCCCACTTGCACCTCCTGGGGGTGATGGCTCACACAGAGGAAAAGCTCAGCTAACCTCCAGCCACATGAGTGAGGCTCTCTTGCTCCAGCCAGCTGTTCCAGATGTCATCTGCCTCCCATCCTCCATCGAGCCAGGTGAGACCAGCTAACCATAACCCTAATGGCAAATCTATCAGCATCTGGATAGCATGATCTTTCCAGTCTCTGCCCTGTACTATACCTTTCTCTCCCTTCTTATCAAAGGGGAAAGAGAGGGCAGCCCGGGTTGCTCAGTGGTTTGGCGCTGCCTTCAGCCCAGGGCATGATCCTGGGGACCCAGGATCGAGTCCCACGTCGGGCTCCCTGCGTGGAGCCTGCTTCTCCCTCTGCCTGTGTCTCTGCCTCACTCTCTCTCTGTCTCTCATGAATAAATAAATAAAATCTTAAAAAAAAAAAGAAAAAAAAGGGGGAAAGAGATCCTTATCTGATAGCACATTTACAAGTGGGCAAAGTCAGTGTGCAATAAAAAACCTGCACAGAAGTGTGGTGTTCTACTTGATTCCACTTCCCTTGCCAGCAGGAATCAGGACCCTATCATAAACGCAGAGAAACCTTTGATACTGGCCCTAATGTTCTGCTGCAATTAGTTGGCAAGACTCCAGTGATATTTTGCCACTAAAAGCCCATATCATTTCTATACTGGTGATTATTGAATATTTATCATGTGCTAGGTGAATGTTGAGTGTTTTATTCAGTCATTCAGCAAATCTCTGGTGAGCACCCTACCTAGAGGCAAACCAAATAGCATGTCCTGTCCTCAGAGAAATTAATGTAAGAGGGACACAGACCCCCAAACAAGAAAACACAAGTATAAACTGCCTATTGCCACTAGCAATTTTGCCATTTGCTCACTCAGCGTCAGCCACTTTGACTGCCCTTTTTTCCCCCAAACAAGCAAAGCATGTTCTCATCTTAAGAGTATTTACATGCTCCCATCCCTCTGCCTGGACTTCTCTTCCTCTGCACTTCTCTCTAGTGCTTCCTTCATATCATTTAAATGAGGTTCAAATATCACCTTAGAAAGGCCTTCCCTGAACATTCTCTATGGAAAAAAACACCTCCTTACCCCATCACTCCCCGTCTCTCCCTGCTCAAACTTCCTTCAGAGCACTTATCAGACTATAACAATATATCCTGATATTATTTCTTGGCTTCCTTGTTCATTGTCTATCTTCTCATCCCTGTTAGGATATAAGGTCCTTTGGAGTAAAGCTTTTGTCTGTTTTGTTTACTGCTGCACCCCGCTTCCTAGCACGATGTCAAGCACATGCTAAGTAATATACAGATATATTTGCAGAATGAATTACATTACACGAAGGCAGAGAAACTAGAGCAGAATATGAAGATAAAAAGGCAAATATTCAAAACCAGATACCCCTCCAGGCCCTACCAGTCTCTCTCCTACGATGTAGCTCTGACGGGGATAAAGGAGGCTGCCTGACTTCAGATTCCAGAATTAGAGACACTTACCATCTAGCTTTACAGAATGCATGTAAATAAACATGCTCAGCACTGACAGTAGTCAATAAATAGTTCTTCAATCAATAAATGGAAAATAAAATAAAAATAAATAAATAAATAAATAAATGGAAAATAGCTTGATGCAGTTGTGGTGCATCTTTAAATCCTTCCTCTCTGATTGGGAAACCCTCTTCCTTTGAACAAGGGCTTAGAGAAATTACCTTATCTGGGGTCATGGAATGAGGTGTAATGAATGAATGGTTTCAACACATTGGACCACCAGAAGATAGGCCAGGAAAAGATCAGGGGGTGCCACAGCCTCTCGAGCATCACCCCTCATTCAGACACACCTGCAATAGTGTACAGAGCCGTGATGGCCAGCAGCCCAACTATGGCCATGTAGAGATCCAGGTGCAGAGACTGCTGGATAAAGATGGCGCCTGCATACATGTCCACCTGGAGAGACATGAAGTTGACAGATGAAAGAATAGACGGACATTTTCAGCACAGGTTCCCCTAAGCCTGGATTCTGGCAAACACAGAAGAGTCCTATACTGCCCTTTCTTAAGCCACCTCTTCCTAGATCGGGGGTCTCAAACTGGAGCCCTGTGGGCCATTACATATGACCCCCATTCACTGGGCTAATCCAACAATCTCTTCAGTGGTCTTCCTGCTTCTACTCTTGGTCTTTTACCCTCCATCCTTGACACGGCAACCTTCATCAAATCTGTAATGATCATATCATCCTTCTCCTGCCCATTAAAATTCTTCAGTGCTCCCTGCCCACTGGCCCCAAGATAACATCTACGTAGATATGTTAGAATTGCATGCCAGGCTTCATGGTCTGCTCACCCTTTTGGCCTCATCTTCTTTATTGCTTTTACATTCCCTGCTTCCCCAACAAGCCATGTTCACCCATCTGAAATGCCAGTCCCTCTTCCCTTAGTTGGTGATCCTCCCCGTTCATAATTTCCCTTGTGAAGGCTTCCCCACATCTGTAGCTTCCCACCAGACCGAGAGGCAGAGTTCTGAAAGGATGTTGTCATCCAGCGTCTTTCAAGCCTGCAGCTGGCATAGAGTCAATTATTGTTGTTTGGATTGAATGGAATTCCTCTGCACTCCCCCCCTCCCCCCCCCCCTCACTTGGGACAAGCTCTCCCCAGCCCCAGCTGGAAGCAGAGGCAGCAGCAGCATGACTCAGGCTGGCTGAGCACATGCAAGCCAAATACATCTGCTTTTGGCCTCTTTCTGGAGATCTGCCCATCCAACCAAAGGTCAGAATGGGACAAGCAAAGAACCCAGGAGTTCTGTTTAAAAAAAAAAAAAGAAAAGAAAAGAAAGAAAAGAAAAGAAAAGAAAAGAAAAAAAAGAAAAGAAAAGAAAAAAGAATGGGACAAGCTCAAAGGGCCTCAGCACATCTGATGAATAGCAAATGACTGCCCGATCCCAGAAGGAAGATAGCAGCCCCCACCAGGGATTGGTAGAGCTCTGGGAGTCCCATTCTGTGACCTGCACCATCCTGGCATGTTTCCAAAGAAACTTTGGCAGGAGAGGACGGAGGCGTCCTTCACCCCACATTTTCTCCCACCTTCCTCTGCCCATGCTTATCCTTTCCCCCCACTCCTCCCATCCTCTAACCTCCCTGAAGCCTGCCCCACAGGACAAAATGCACATGCACGGGCAGGACACACTCCCAATGGGTATAATCGATCTTCTCCCCATGCTTTAGGGATTTGACCAAGCTATGTCCCCTCCTTACCGAGATCTTGGTGAAGATATAGATAAACAGGTAGAGCACAGCCAAGATGATGGGGATCCTGTTGCCACCAAAGCGTTTCCTTAGGTATTCTGGCATCGTGGTGACCTGGGGGACAGAGCTGTGCTGTCACCACCCACCTGATTTGGGACACAAGGCCTCAGGGCACTGGCCCCTCCCTTCCCCTCTCTCCTTTCTCTAACTCAGCAGCACTGATGATCTTCTTATCATAGACTTAAGAAAGGAAGAGAAAATGGGGGGAGAGGGAGAGGGGTGGTTTAGTCGGTTAAGAATATGCCTTCAGTTCCAGTCATGATTCCAGGGTCCTGGGATTGTGTCCTGTGTCAGGCTCCCTGCTCAGCAGGGAGTTTGTTTCTCCCTCTCCCTCTCCCCTCTGCCTCTCTCTCTGTGTCTCTCATGAATAGGTAAGTAAAATCTTTTTAAAATAATACATTGGGGGTGTAGTCATGTAGCAAAGAAAATTAACACACCAGCTACATTCAATGAATAGTTTATCCTGATTCCATTCATAGATTTTTTTTCAAAAGTAAAATGTCACCATACCGTTTAGTTACACATAATGAAATCTGGAAAGCAAAGCAAGGAAGAGAGTACAACGAACACCCAGGAGAAAGCAAGGCATAGTCACGTGCAAAAGGCACAGGGGGGAGGTTATGATTTATGTGTCAATCTGGGTGTTCACTTTACAACAGTTGGTTAAGCCACACATTTGTGTTTTATGTTTGTTTGGTTTTTTTGCATATTTATTTCCCAATAAAAATGGAGTGGGCAGTTTTTTATCTTTTCCCAGCATTGGCTTTTCTCATGCGCTGAATCTCTCCTTTGAATACTTGTATGATGCTGCCCCAAGGGCGTCTAGAACCTGAGAATTTTGTATTGAACAGCATAGCTTGGAGATCCTTTTCCAGCCATCTAACTGACTTCATCCGTTTGCCCGGCAGGATATCCCATAGTGTGGTTATCCTGCTCCCCTATTGATGGACATTGTGGTTGCTCCCACATTTTCCTATTATAAATAACCACAGCTGTCAATTCAAGTCTTCTCCTCCTGCTTCTTCTCAACGTCCAGGCCCATGAATTCCTCCCTCACTCACAGCAGATAGTATTACCTTTTCCTTGCCAGAGAAAGTGGCTGAGAACATCCGGCTGCCCTACCTAGGAAATAACCTACATCTCCACTGATCTTTACTCCTTTCCATAGAAGGCGCTAATGCATACTTATTGATGCTTTGGCCCCAGAGACCATGGATCCCAGTCCAGTGTTGTTACACCCCAGATATTTTGTCTATAAGGGAACTAGTCACAGGTGGAGGTGGGAAGACCCAGGCCAGCCACTTACAAAGGTCTTCTTTTATTTAGATTCCTTATTATCTCCAAGGTTACTTAACCATGGACCCCTGCCCTTTATACAGGATCACACTACATCTGGTACAAAGTGAGTTTTAAAATGATTCCTTTAGCAGCCTTCCTACTTTGTGTATTTTTTTTAATATTGCATTTTTAAATATTGTCATAATAAAGAGTTAAAATCAGTTCTTGCTTTATGAATAATGTGATGGGACAGTATGATCTTGCCCTGTGTGGTAGAACCTCTGAAACAGAATGATGTCTAGGCACTAAGAGTGACGTGAAGCTGTCAGATCAGAGGTGATTTTTTATTTTTTTAAATGTTTTATTTATTTCCTTGGTGTTGGTAGTGATCTCTCTTTTCTCATTATGTCAATGTTTCCCAGGGCAATTTACACGTGTAATGCAATCCCTATCAAAATACCATGGACTTTCTTCAGAGAGTTAGAACAAATTATTTTAAAATTTGTGTGGAATCAGAAAAGACCCCGAATAGCCAGGGGAATTTTAAAAAAGAAAACCATATCTGGGGGCATCACAATGCCAGATTTCAGGTTCTACTACAAAGCTGTGGTCATCAAGACAGTGTGGTACTGGCACAAAAACAGACACATAGATCAATGGAACAGAATAGAGAACCCAGAAGTGGACCCTGAACTTTATGGTCAACTAATATTCGATAAAGGAGGAAAGACGATCCACTGGAAGAAAGACAGTCTCTTCAATAAATGGTGCTGGGAAACTTGGACATCCACATGCAGAAGAATGAAACTAGACCACTCTCTTGCACCATACACAAAGATAAACTCAAAATGGATGAAAGATCTAAATGTGAGACAAGATTCCATCAAAATCCTAGAGGAGAACACAGGCAACACCCTTTTTGAACTTGGCCACAGTAACTTCTTGCAAGATACATCCACGAAGTCAAAAGAAACAAAAGCAAAAATGAACCATTGGGACTTTATCAAGATAAGAAGCTTTTGCACAGCAAAGGATACAGTCAACAAAACTCAAAGACAACCTACAGAATGGGAGAAGATATTTGCAAATGACCTATCAGATAAAGGGCTAGTTTCCAAGATCTATAAAGAACTTAGTAAACTCAACACCAAAGAAACAAACAATCCAATCATGAAATGGGCAAAAGACATGAAGAGAAATCTCACAGAGGAAGACATAGACATGGCCAACAAGCACATGAGAAAATGCTCTGCAGCACTTGCCATCAGGGAAATACAATCAAAACCACAATGAGATACCACCTCACACCAGTGAGAATGGGGAAAATTAACAAGGCAGGAAACCACAAATGTTGGAGAGGATGCGGAGAAAAGGGAACCCTCTTGCACTGTTGGTGGGAATGTGAACTGGTGCAGCCACTCTGGAAAACTGTGTGGAGGTTCCTCAAAGAGTTAAAAATAGACCTGCCCTACGACCCAGCAATTGCACTGTTAGGGATTTACCCCAAAGATTCAGATGCAATGAAACGCCAGGACACCTGCACCCCGATGTTTCTAGCAGCCATGTCCACAATAGCCAAACTGTGGAAGGAGCCTCGGTGCCCATCGAAAGATGAATGGATAAAGAAGATGTGGTTTATGTATACAATGGAATATTACTCAGCCATTAGAAACGACAAATACCCACCATTTGCTTCAACGTGGATGGAACTGGAGGGTATTATGCTGAGTGAAGTAAGTCAATCGGAGAAAGACAAACATTGTATGTTCTCATTCATTTGGGGAATATGAATAATAGTGAAAGGGAATATAAGGGAAGGGAGAAGAAATGTGTGGGAAATATCAGAAAGGGAGACAGAACATGAAGACTCCTAACTCTGGGAAATGAACTAGGGGTGGTGGAAGGGGAGGTGGGCGGGGGGTGGGGGTGAGTGGGTGACGGGCACTGAGGGGGACACTTGACAGGATGAGCACTGGGTGTTATTCTGTATGTTGGTAAATTGAACACCAATAAAAAATTAATTTATTAAAAATAATAATAAAGAATAAAATAAAATATTATTTATTTTTAAAAAAATATTTTATTTAGGGCAGCCCCGGTGGCTTAGCGGTTTAGCACCGCCTTCAGTCCAAGGTGTGATCCTGGAGTCCCACGACAGGCTCCCTGCATGGAGCCTGCTTCTCCCTCTGCCTGTGTCTCTGCTTCTCTCTCTGTGTGTGTCTCTCTCATGAATAAATAAATAAAACCTTTAAAATGTTTTATTTATTTATGCATGAGAGGGGGACACAGAGACACAGGCAGAGGGAGAAGCAGGCCCCCTGCGGGGAGCCCAATGCAGACTCTATCTGGGATTCTAGGATCACGCCCGGGGCCGAAGGCAGACGTTCAACCGCTGAGCCACCCACATGGCCCAGAAGTGATTTTTTTAAACTGCTTTTTCAAGGAGTCTAAAACAAGTGCCATTCAGAAACAAAAGTGCTGACCTTTCACATCCGCCAGACATAGCTTCATTTTTACAGTTTTTTTGTGCAAAGGAAGAAAAGTAGTCACATGTTATGACTTAAACATCTAAAAGATACTGTAAGAGTCCCCTGGGTGGCTCAGCAGTTGAGCATCTGTCTGCCTTTGGCTCAGGTCATGATCCTGGGGTCCTGGGATCAGGTCCCGCATCAGGTTTCCTGCGGGAAGCCTGCTTCTCCCTCTGCCTAAGTCTCTGCCTCTCTCTGTATGTCTCTTATGAATGGATAAGTGAAGTCTTTAAAATAAATAAATAAATAAATAAATAAATAAATAAATAAATAACACTGTGAGTCTCATGTCTATGTCTTGGCATTGAAAAAAAATTTGTTTTTGAGCTCCCGTTTCTTACCAAGTGTGAGGTGTTCAGAAGGGGGCTCCCCAGGTCTCGTCTTTCCAGTGTCCCTCACCCTGCGGGCATCCCCCCACCCCCAGGAACCGGCTAATGGATGTCCTCAGGTGGGAGGGAGGGAACATGAGGGGGACCCTCCCAAGGGGTTTCCCCATCCCATAGCACCCCGACTCCCTCAGACTCACCTGACCAGCAATATAGATGGGAAGGAAGATCCAGGCCAACATGAGCACGAGAAACAAGCCCTGCCCAAGAAAACAGAGTCAGGACTCGCCTCCCACCCACAGCCAAGTGCTGATTTGGGTTTCCCTCTGCACCTGGAGGGACCTGGCCTGGCTCCTCCTTGGGTTCAGGACCTCCTCGTATTTCCATGGTGAAATGGGACAAGGGGATGAAGGAGGAAGGAATGGAAATACGTGAACCCCGTTATGCGGTAATGTGCATAGTGAACTTAAGCCTGCAGCACAGAATAAGCATTTTTAAAATATTAGTCATGGGGCACCTGGGTGGCTCAGTGGGTCACACATCTGCTTTCAGCTCAAATGTGATCTTGGGGTCCTGGGATGGAGCTCTGCACTGGGTTCCCTGCTCAGCAAAGGGGTCTGCTTCTCCCTCTCTCTCTAGCCCTAAACCCCCAACCTTTAACCCCTGCTTGTGCGTGCTCTCTCTCTCTTGCTGCCTCTCTCTCTCAAATAAATAATAAAAGCTTTTTAAGAAAAATAAAAATAAAACTGTTAATCAGTATGAAGGTGAAAATCCCTACTGATTGTGCATGCCCACCTCTCAGTGAAAATCATACTTTGCATGAGCCCCGCTACACAGAACAGTGTGTCCTAACTCTTGGGGATCTGTAGGGTGGCATAAAAGTCAAGAACCACTGAACCGCAGAACTACATTTTTGTGACGGCCGACTGGTATTTAATACACAGAAATACCTTCGGGTCCCAGGACACTTTCTATCATCTGCATCCACAAGGGAGAGGTTCTGAGCCTTCCTCTTCCACACATTGGCTTGTTGGGGTCCAGCTTTCTGGACCCACCTCAAGCAAACCCAGGTGAGACAGAAGCCTGAAGACTAGCGGTGCCATTGGTGCTTCCTGCTTGTTTTCTCATGAAGTAAAATTCTATTTTTAAAAAAGTATATGGCAGGGGCACCTGGTGGCTCAGTCAGTTAAGCATCCAACTCTTGGTTTTGGCTCAGGTCATGATCTCGGGGTTGGGAGATCAGGTCTGCCTTGGGCTCCGCACTCAGCAACAGAGAATACTTGGTTTTCTCTCCCTCTGCCCCTCCCCTCACTCCAGCGTGCATGTGTGCAGTCTCTCTCTCTCTCTCTCAAATAAATAAATGAATGAACGAATGAATGAATGAATAAATAAATAAATAAATAAATAAATAAATAAAATCTTAAAAAAAAAGTTACACGGCACTCACACTGTCCCCCAGGATCCATTAGAGCTGTATCCACCCTGGTAAAATACTTACACTCAACTCATAAGCAGTGACAGAAATGCCTGTAGCAGCTCCCGACCCTGCCAGGCCAACAAAATGTCCACTTCCAACGTTGCTGGCAAACAAGGATGCCCCCACCTGTGGGAAGATGAACAAGTCAGATCTGGGAGCCAAGGTTTATGGTACCTTCTCCCCACCCCTAGTTCTTCCCATGCTCCAGAAACACCAAGACAGAAGAAGTGGAGAAGGCAAAGCCATCCCTAGCCTATCTGGCACATTTTCTTCAAACTAAAAAAAGAATCTTCTCCCCCGAGACTCTTTTATTTCCACCTTTCAGAAATTGGCATAATAAATATGCATATTTATGATGGCTAAAATGTGAATTGTGCCCTATAGGATTGTGCAGTGCACAATATGAACAACTGAATGCAGCTTCCCTGGGGGAAAGGATGACGGGTATTGTGGAAGGTGCTTTATGATGAAAATCAGGAAGCCTGTGTTATATCCCAGTTCTGCTTCTAACTCAGCAAAGTAGATAGCCCTCCTTCTGGTAGAACACTAAGTGGCCAATGCATATACTCATTGTATCCAATCCCTGCCTGGTCTCAACTGATTAGCCCAGACAGCCTTGGGCACCTGGCCCAAGCTGGGTCAATTACATTTTCTCTCCTGAGAATCTGGAACTGGGACATCATCTCTGTTACTAAATCCTAGCTAGTTTCTCTCGCTGAAGCCTGTATTCTCTCGGTTCAATATAGAGATTAGCCTGTGATGGAAAGTTGATAAAGATTTATTAGTAAAAAAAAAAAATAAGGAAATAAAAATAAATAAAAAGATTTATTAGTACCAAGCTGTGACTTTTTCTTTTATGTAATCAGGAGGATTGACAGAGGGTAGGAAAAGGATTATGTTCACTACTATGTAATTTGATGATATTTAATGCTGTGTCAGCTTGCAATGGAGAAATCTTTGGGCATACTTCAGGAAACACTAGACTATAAGATCCTTTGGGATTAATGCTCATCCAGAAGAAAAGAAGTTGCTATGGGCAGATGGAAGGAAGGAAAAAAGAAAGGAAGGGAGGGAGGGAGGGAAATCATGTCCTAGTGACATCACTTGAGCCTCTGCCCTCAGCCATACCTGAAACCAACCTAACTAGATTTTTCCCTTAGGTGAGCTGATGAATTCTTTTTGTTCCAATTTGCATTGGAGCTAAGCCTTCTCTAGCCTTGACTTCCACACAGCACGCAACCAGAATTCTGAGAGACCAAAAGCTAAACAGAACATTAGCACTTGAAGAATCTTTGAGAAGTGACTTTAATTGAACCAAAGATCACTTACTGGCCACCACACCATGTCTGCTCCAGCAAGGAAGTAGCCTTTCACTGTGTCTCTCTTGGTCTTCACTGTTGACTGAAACAAAGAAGAGGGGTGGATAAAAATCACAGGCATCCCAGAGTGCCTGGACCCTGGATTACCAACTGGGAGTCCAGCAGGCCAGACCTGGACATCAAATATAGTTTGGGTGTTTGTTTGTTTGTTTTTTTACCCACAGTTAATTACCCACAGTTAATTTCGGGATCCCTGGGTGGCTCAGCAGTTTAGCACCTGCTTTTGGCTCAGGGTCCCACATCAGACTCCCTGCATGGAGCCTGCTTCTCCCCTGCCTGTGTCTCTACCTGTCTCTCTCTCTCTCTCTCTCTCTCTCTCTCTCTCTCTCTCTCAGTGTCTCTCTCATGAATAAATAAATAAAATCTTTTAAAAATATTTTTTTTAATTTCAATGCTTTAGAGAAGATATAAATTCTTCAGTTCAATTCAACCCCTTCCACTCCTTGCTTCACATACTTATGGCTCACCTATGTATTTGAGTTTTCAACCCATGGCTCATCTAAGAGAGCTCATGATGGGCACCACTTATTGGGTGTTAGTGCTGCATCGCACCATAGTAGCACAGCTGTCTGACACCACACTATGCATCTTACAGCATCATCTCATGTTAATCCCTACCAACCTCCATGAAGTTGCTGTCATTAGACCAATCTAACTGATGAATTAATGGAGGCTCAAAAGCAAAGTTACTTATCTTGTGCCACATTTCTAGAAGGGCCAGGAATTCAGACCCAGGTTTGATTTGGGAACCCATGTTCTTAGCTGTTCTCCAAAACCATCTTTAGAAGGAATGAGCTTCCAGGCATTAAGGGTGTTTGAATAGAGACATGTTGGCTACTGAGTAGCTTGTTGGATCTTGGTTAAGTTGTTGAACTCTGAGCTTGGGCGTGAATGTTGGTAAGGGGATTCTTACTGGATAGGAGATGGCATGAAATGGTATCTTATCATCCCTGCAAATATTCTTGCTATAGAAGTAACAGAAGCTGTGGTTCATTCCAGCTGAATCCTGACACAGCAAGTTTTTGTTTTTGTTTTTTTAAATAAAGAACTCCTTGGGGCACCTGGGTGGCTCGGTGGCTGAGCGTCTGCCTTCAGCTCAGGTCGTGATCCTGGGATCCTGGGATTGAGTCCCACATGGGGCTTCCCATAGGGAGTCGGCTTCTCCCTCTGCCTATGTCTCTGCCTCTCTCTGTGTGTCTCTCATAAATAAATAAATAAATAAATAAAATCTTAAGAAAAAAAAAAAGAACTCTTTGAACAGTCATCTAAATCCAAGGCTTCCCAAACCAGTAGTACATCAGTCTCCCAGTTTTCTTATGAAAATATAGATTCCTGGTGACTCCAACCTCACCCTCCCCTAATCCTGACCCCAAGTCTGTCTGACTTGAAAGCTCTTACTTTTAACATCTCATCCGTCTCAGTATGTTCTGCTAAGGGGTAGGGGGCAGAGAAAGGCCAGATGTAGGGTCTTTGGGATTTCCAACACTTTTATCCCCTTCTTGACCTGGAAGGGGGAACTCTAAGGAGTAAGAGTAGAAAAATTATAAACAGTTGGATTGAGGTACACTTTGTTTTTTAAGGCAATACAGACACATGTCTCAAAAATAAAAGCAACTTAAAATGACATACAGTGAGAGGCACCTGGGTGGCTCAGTGGTTGAGCATCTGCCCTCAGCTCAGGGCGTGATTCTAGAGTTCCGAGATCTAGTCCCACATCAGGCTTCCTGCAGGGAGCCTGCTTCTCCGTCTGCCTATGTCTCTGCTTCTCTCTCTGTGTCTCTCATGAATAAATGAATAAAATCTTAAAAAAAAAAAAACAGTTGGATTTAAGTGGGAATACCTCGGGCTTCAGTTTTCAAGACCTTGTACCAAATGACCTGAAAACCAGATAGCAGTTCCTCCTCTGCACCATCTTTATCCCAAAGTTACTCATCTCCTTAATATGTAAAGAGTTCCTAGAAATTGATAAGAAAAAGAATAAGAACCTAATGAAAATGAGAAAAAGATCTGAAACCGTGTTTTACATAAAGGAAATAAGTGGTCCTTAAAGATGAGGGTGCCCAGCCTCATTTATTATAAGATAAATGCATATTAACCATACATTGAGATATTCTATTTCCTGTGTCAGGTTGGCAAAAATGAAAAAGTTTGATAAACAGTAAAGGGTAAAACACACACACACACACACACACACACACACACACACACACAAAACCAATGTTGGCGAGGATGTGATAGAACCGACTTTCTCCCATGCATTGATGATGGGTGTGCAGATTGGTGCTACACCTAAGGAGGGCAATTTGACAGAAACTACCATGATTAGGGATTCTTTTTGTTTTTTAAGATTTTATTTATTTATTCATGAGAGATACAGAGAGAGGTGGAGACACAGGCAGTGGGAAGAGAAGCAGGCTCCATGCAGGGAGCCTGATGTGGGACCCGATCCCAGGACTCTAGGATCACGCCCTGGGCTGACGGCAGGTGCTTAACTGCTGAGCCACCCAGGTGTCCCTGATTATGGATTCTTACATGCTTCCATCTGACAATCTCATACATTGTAGGCATTTATCCTACATTATGGTTGCATACATCCCAAATAATGAGTGTACCAAGGTTTGCTTATTGCAACATAGTTTATAACAATAAGAGATAGGAAGCAATCCAAATGACCCTCAGCAAAAGATAGGCTAAATAAATCAGAGTACAATCATCTCGTGGAATCTTGTGCAACTTTTAAGAAGACAAGGAAGCATCTAGTACTGATATGAAAAGATATCCAAGAGACCATGTTAGGTGGAAATTAGCAAGGTAAAAAAACATATGTAATAAGTTGCTTCCTGTTTAAGAAAGAGGTAAATACACAGAATAATATTTGCTTGGATTTCTATAAGGAAACTCAAACTAAGGTACGAACAAGTTAACAATAGTAGTTGCCTGTGGAGGGTACGGTAGTAGTGAGACTTTTCACTGTATGTCACTTTTTTCTTTTTTTTTTTTTTTAAGATTCTATCCATTTGTTCATGAGAGACACACAGAGAGAGGCAGGGACATAGGCAGAGGGAGAAGTAGGCTCCCTGCAGGGAGTCTGATGCAGGACTCGATCCTGGGACCCCAGGATCACACCCTGAGCCAAAGGCAGATGCTCAACCACTAAGCCACCCAGGTGCCTCTCACTGTATGTCATTTTAAGTTGCTTTTATTTTTGAGACATGTGTCTGTATTGCCTTAAAAAACAAACAAAAAAGCCAAAACAAAAACCAAACCTTCCTTTAAAGAGTTTTTATTTATTTATTTATTAGAGACACAGAGAGAGAGAGAGATTTAGAGAGAGAGAGGCAGAAACACAGGCAGAGGGAGAAGCAGGCTCCATGCAGGGAGCCTGACGTGGGACTTGATCCCGGGTCTCCAGGATCACACATGGGCTGAAGGCAGCGCTATACCGCTGAGCCACCAGGGCTGCCCCAAACCTTCCTTTAAAAAAGAAAATAGAACACGGCCTTCAAAGTGAAGGAGATATGGATTCAAACTCCAGCTCTGCTTACTAATATATAAGGACCTTACATTTCTGAGCCTCAGTTTCCTCACCTGTAAAATGGGTACAGTGATAGTGTCTTCTTTGTAGATGTCTGTGCAAAGTACCTGGGGTAACATAAATGTAAATGCCTAAGACGGCGCCTGACACATGGTCAACACTCAGTACATTTTTACAAGTGTAAAGTTCCGACTACTTTATGAGCTTGAGTTAGTTTCTTCCCGTGTCTCCCCTGGCCTGGCTTACCCAGAGTCCCACAGCCAGGACAAAGATGAAGTACAGAACCAGCACGGCGATGTCACCCGGCTCCAGGCTCCTCTGGGGAAAAGCTTCCAGGGGATCTGACTGGGGGGTCTGAGGGCTGCTGGAGCTGCTCTCCATGGTCCTGAGCAAACTCTCCAACCTGCGGGAAGTGCAAATGTGTCAGGGGCCAGAACCAGAGGCGCATCGCCCACACTCTCTGGGGCTGCCTCCTCGGAGCACCCAAATGAGAGGACACCCACGGAGGGATGTGTGGTAGGGACACGTCACCCGGGAAGTCAGAGCCACCCACCCATCTGTCTGTCCATCCGTTCACTCATTCATTCAGCAAATACAATAAAGTCAACAGGTAATTTTTAGCAATTCAGCCATCACTTGGCAAAATATTAAGAATAAACAGCATGAATAGTACAAATGGTTTCATCATCCAAGAGTGTGAGTCAAACAAGACACTGGAGTTGCTCCCCATTTCTGAGGAACCTCTGAGCTAGGTGACGGTCAAGCTGACAATTTTGTTGACGGATCAGCTAAACACCATGATCTTGTTCTAATGCTGGATAGGCCCATAAAATTCCACATATTTAGTGATATATATATATATATATATATATATATTACCTCCGACATGCCAGGCATCATCCTAAGTGTTTACTATTCATGAGCTGTCATTCCCATTTTACAGATGGGAAAATTGAGGCACAGCGACTTTAAGTAACTTGCCCGAGGTAATAAAGCTCAAGTGGTAGAGCTGGGATTTGAAGGCAAATGATCTTGCTCCAGAATGCATATTTTGAACCACTAACTAAGCTGTTTCTCAGTGTCCTGCACTTGTGTGGGCAATTTAAGGGATTTCTAAGGTGAGCAGATAAATGTTCCCTTCAAGGATGTTTACATTCTAATCCCCAGAACCTGTGAATATAATAGGTTATATGGCCAGAAAACAAATTTACAGATTTTTCCTGGATTATCTGAATGAGCCTGTTGCAACCACAAGGGTCCTTAAAAGTGAAGAGGGAATCAGAAGAGAGAACCAGAGATGACAGCGAGAGAAGGATTTGGCCCAGTGTTGTTGGCTTTGAAGATGAAGAAATAGGGATCGCAAGCCAAGGAATGCAGGCAGCTTCTAGAAGCTGGAAACAAGTTAATGCGTTCCACCCTAGAGCCTCTGAAAGGAACTCAGCCCTGCTGCCACCTTGAGGTTAGCCCAGTGAGACTCACTCGAACTTCTGACTTCCAGAACCGTAAGATAATAACCCTGTGTTGTTTCAAGCTGCTGCGTTGTTGGTAATTGGAAACTAATAAAATTCCCAAGGGTGATTTTCGACCGTAAGTGATTTGGGCATTGACTTATTCCTGTGTTAATGTGTGACTCCACTCTGGGGTTTAGGGAATGAAAAGACTCAGTCCCTGACCTCTACGCTGTGTAGCCCAATACTGGGAAATTCACTCATCAGATAACAACACAAAGATGTTCCATATAAAGGAGGGGCTTAGAGGCAGATGTGTTAAGGATTCAAGCTTAGAAGCATAGATCAGGGGCTCCTGGGGGGGTTGAGTCAGTTAAGCAGCTGCCTTCGGCTCAGGTCATAATCCTGGAGTCCTGGGATGGAGCCCCACCCCCCCACTGGGCTCTCTGCTCAGCCGAGAACCTGCTTCTCCCTCTTCCTCTGCCACTCCCCCTCCTTGTCTTCATGCTCTCTCAGTCAAGTAAATATAATCTTTAAAAAAAAAATCAATAGGACTTGATTTGCTGACAAGGTAATAAGAACTAAGGAGTAATTTCGTGCTTCTGCTCAGAGTTGCCCACAGACAGAGCAGCCTGATTACCTGGGCAGGATGATCCTTGTTTCTAGAGTAGGTTTCTTCGACTTCAAAATCCCTGACATTTTGGGCAGGATAATTCTTTGTTATGGGGTGAGAAGGCTATCCTGTGTATTGGAGGATTTTAACAGCCTCACCAGGAGCTCCCTACCAAATGTCTTACTGCCCTGAAAGAGGCAGCTGGATGTTCACTTGGAGAAGGTGCCTCAGGGGGGCGCTCCAGGATCTTAAGTTCCCTTCCCACATCAAGGATAGCTTTGGACTTAACCCCAGGGGCTGCACCTTGCTTTGTTCTGTAGGCCAGGTGGTCACAGCTGTTCAGACCTTGGACAAGGTGTGGCCCCCTCCCGGGAAGGGAGAACCGCAGCAACCAAGGATCCACTGCATTTATGGAGAAGAAGGAAGGAAGAGAGAGGAGAGAAGGAGAGGGGGGGAAACAGCTGGTACTGGGAACATCCAGCTCACTTACTCTGTCCTAATGCAGGAAGAAGGAAGTAGCAGAAGCCGGGATGCCCTTCAGTCTAGATTTTATGATCATCGTCCTCCATGAAATTGGATAATAACCTGCTTGGAACTAACCTCACTGATCCACGCACTTGCAAAGCCTTCATGCAAGAACATGGGAAGGAGACTGCCATTTCTAGGGTGGGGGCAGAGGCTCATAAAGGGGCACCTGGGTGCCTAGGTCAGTTGAGTGTCTGACTCAAGCTTTCATCTCAGATCATGATTTCCGGATCAGGAGATCCAGCCCGGGGATCCCTGGGTGGCGCAGCGGTTTGGCGCCTGCCTTTGGCCCAGGGCGCGATCCTGGAGACCCGGGATCGAATCCCATATCGGGCTCCCGGTGCATGGAGCCTGCTTCTCCCTCTGCCTGTGTCTCTGCCTCTCTCTCTCTCTCTGACTGTGTGCCTATCATGAATAAAAAAAATTAAAAAAAAATTAAAAAAAATTAAAAAAAATTATTAAAAAAAATTAAAAAAAAAAAAAAAAAAGGAGATCCAGCCCGGGTGATGGGCTCGGGCCCCACACTCAGGGCAGGATCTGCTTAAGATTCTCTCGCCTTCTGCCCCTCCCCCACTCACGCTTTCTAAAATATTAAAAAAAATAAAGGACGGAAAGGCACATTCTGGGGGTTTGGGGAGGAGAGGCTTAGACGGTCCCTCGAATTATCTCAGGGGTGAAATCCCTATTAGGTAGGGAGTGCTATTGTCCATCACAGGTGAGGCAAGGAACCTGTGGCTCTGGGAGGTTTAGCATCATGTCCAAAGCCAGGGCGCGAACCCACATCTGTATGGTTTCACAGCCTGTGTTTTTAAACACTTCAACCTGCTGCTTGAAGGGCTTTGGGGAAGGATGAGGGCTAGGAGCTCAGGATGCAGTCCAAGGTGGAGATTGATGCTGAACTGGGGAGTAGGGTGGTTTGTTCTAGAACCCAGCAGGTCTGGAAGGGAGGCAGGAGGGGCAGTGGGCGAAGGAGCAGGCCAGCCCCTCCCCCAGCTGCCCCTTGCAGGCCTCTGCCCGCCAGGCACCGAGGGCGAGGGCGGCCGGAGCCCATAAACAACTTATTCATCCCGGCCCTGGGCAGGCTGGCACGGACTCCAGGCTCTTCCTGGGCCCAGGGAGGTGGGGGCCCTGCAGGGGCTGGGAGGGACTGGCCGTCTGCACGGCAGGAACAGGCGCGGGGACCCCAGTGCTGAAGGGCCCAGCCTGGCTCTCACTCCACCGTGGCCCTCTGACCGCGTCTGCTCAGCCCTGGGAGGCAGACGCTGTCCCCAGTCCCCTCCACAGGTGGGAAAGGGAGGCGTGAAGACGGTGCGGGTGCTAGCCACTTGCTTCAAGGTCACAGTAAATGCCAGAGGTGGGATTCAAACCCAGGTCCTCGACTGCAGGAGCTCGCATTGTCCACTACTGGCTGCTCTGTCTTTACTGCCTCCCTTCCTCCTGCCCTTCCTTCCTGTCTGCCCCCTCCTTCACTCCTTCCCTCCCTCCTTCTGTTTCCACACACACACACACACACACACACACACAAATATTTATTAGGCACCAGCTGTGTGCCAGGCTCTGTGCTGGGCCCTGGGGACTCAATGGGACAAACATTAGGCACCAGCTGTGTGCCAGGCTCTGTGCTAGACACAGAGGACAAAGTGAACAGACACAGTCCGTCCCCATTCTGGTGGGTTCCTCCACCAGCCCCTCGCAGCACTGTGCACAAGAGCCCCTTGCACTGCTCCTTGCACAGTGCTCTTGCCCAGCTCCAGGACTTCCACGCTGAGGGTGGGCTCCGGCTTCACCTCCTGCAAGGGACCCTCTGTGACTGCGGGCAGGGTTAACGGGAGTCTGGACAAAGCCGGCGTTGTAACAATGGCTTTGTTTGCCAGAACACCCTGGCCTCGCGGTCACCAATGGGCTGGAGAACAAAGAAGCTCAGCACCCAGGGACGCTGCTCACCCTTTTCCTTTGAGCCAGTTACATAATTTGCCACGCCTCGGTGCGAGGAAAAGACCAGAAACATGGCCACAGGTGGGGCGGGGGCATCTGGTTCCTTAGCTGGCTCCCCCATGTGCGTCCGTCCACTGCAGGAGGTGGTGCAGGAGAATGGGGGTGAACATTATATTTTAAAACTTTTGTGTGTCTTGAAACATTTCATAACAAAAGAAAAAAACAACAAGACTTACAGGATAAACCCATCTGCGTATATTAAATACATTCCAAGACATGAAATAGCTCGATGTATTTTAAATAGCTCGATGCAGGCCTATCTATCGAGGAATGTCAAACGCATTAGTGGGGGGGGGGGCAGAGAACGAGAGAAAGAGGCAGGGAGAGGGGGAGGGGCCCTGCATAGACCAGAGACGAAGACAATTTTACTACAAGTTTTAATTATAGACGAAAGCTCTCTGGAAAAGAGATGTACTCTGACAAAGGGTGGAGATATTAGAGCTGCATTGCCCAGTTCAAATCCCAGCTCTACATCTTTTTTTTTTTTAAGATTTTATTTATTTATTCATGAGAGACACAGAGACAGGCAGAAACACAGGCAGAGGGAGAAGCAGGCCCCATGCAGGGAGCCCAATGGGGGACTCTATCCTGGGACTCTGGGATCACGCCCTGGGCTGAAGGCAGCACTAAGCTGCTGAGCCACCTGGGTGTCCCCCAGCTCTGCTTCTTACTAGCTTCGTGACCTTAGGTCAAGAAACTCTGAGGGTCAGTTTTCTCATCTGTAAAATGGAGATAGGTCGGTTAAGCTCAGGTCTGGACCTGGAGGTCATGAGTTCAAGCCCTGGATTGCACTCCATGCTGGGCATGGAATCTACTTAAAAAAAAATTGCAGATAGTAATCAGACCTGTCGCAGGTTTGTTAAGAGCATTACCGGAGTTCATTATATAGTACGATTAAGTCTAGAATACTTGAGTCTGTCTCTGCCCTTGTTATAAAAAAGGGTGGGGGGCACCTGGGTGGCTCAGAGGGTTGAGTGTCTGCCTTGGGCTCTGGTGATGATCTCCAGGTCCTGGGATCAAGTCCCATGTAGAGCTCTCGGCTCAGCTGGGAGCCTGCTTCTTCCTCTGCCTCTCCCCCTGCTCGTGCTCTCCCTGTCTCTCTTTCAAATGAATAAATAAAATCTTTAAAAAAGGAAAAATAGAGCCTAGACTTTGTGCTGACCACCTGCATGTGTGAATCTCATTTTAAATGCACAGCCCCCCAAGAGGTCAGGTCTTGGATCAACCCCATTGAACAGGTCAGGAAAACAGAGCAGAGGGCCCTGGGTCCAAGGTCACGCCACTGGTAAATGACTGAAACCAGGTCCAGCCTGGGCTTTAAGCCCTGAGCTGGTAACCATTGCCTGGTACTGAACCCTTGGCAGGGAGAACTCCAGGGGTGATGACCTTTGGTAATGAGCTTATCTCATAATTTCCTAAAGAATAGAGCATCCAAATGCCAAGGAGGCATCACAAGGGGGTCACATCCCATTTGGAGACCAGGCTGTTCAACCCCAGTCCCTGCCCCACCCCATGCGATGGCCACTGCGCCCACCCTGATGCTGTACCAGACATTAGAGAGCCTTAGGTCATGCGTTCAATCACTCACTCACCCACCAGTGGTCCTCGAGTGCCCGTGATGTGTGGGGCACCGCGCCCAAGCCCGGCCAGAGGCTGCCACGGCATGCAAGCACACCATCGAAGCATTCAGGGGGTCTTTTTCGGCTCCCAGGATCTAATGCTCCCTAATTCATTCCAGTCTACTTCCTGAGCATGGCTAAATCCACCCATTTTTCCCTCTCCTTTACTTCCAGTGCTTGCACCCAAGCCAGCCGCACTTCGTCTAGACCAGCACAAGGACCTCCCTTCTCTCCTCCTTCCATTCCGCCCCTCAGATGGAAGCCAGAGGGATCTCTGGCCAGGTGTGGTCAACCGCAGAATCGTGCTGCCACTAATGTGCCCTGCGATGGCCCGCCCTCACCTCAGCCCGGCCCTCTTCCTATTCCTGGTGGTAGGGTCTTTGCCGTTCTGTTCCCTCTGCCTGGAATGCTCTTCCCTATGGCCTCGGCTTGACCAGCTCCTACCCATCCTTCAGATGTCACCCTATCGTCACAGCCCCAGAGGAGCTCCCTCTCAGCCTCAATCTAAATCGAGTCCTTGGAACGCCTGGGTGGCTCAGTGGTTGAGAATCTGCCTTTGGCTCAGGGCATGATCCCAGGGTCCTGGGATCAAGTCCTGTATCGGGCTCCCCACAGGGAGTCTGCTTCTCCCTCTGCCTCTCTCTCTCTCTCTGTGCTTCTCATGAATAAATAAATAAAATCTTTTAAAAAGCAATCAAGTCCTTGATTTGCTGACCAAGCAAACATGACCTCTCATCACTGTTGAATCACACATCTGATTTGTATGAATGTTTCAAGGCTGGCCATCCCCGCTACGCCATAAGCTCCTTGCAGGCAGGGACCGTGTCTGTCCTACTCACATGGTGTCCCCAAAGCTGGCACTCAACAAACATCTGTGCAACAAATACGGAATTTTCAGAGCTTTTGCCATATACCCTTGTACATTGTCACACACACACACACACACCCCACCTCCCACCCCCCACCCCACAGAAAGTCCTATCCCCAGGACCCAGGGAGGGCACCTGTCCCATCGGCTTCCCTAGAATCATTTAGCAGAAAACTGGATATTGTGGGTAAGCTCCCGGTTGTGCTGGTTGAGGCTCGACTTTGCACACTTGTGCACACTTGGACGTGTTTCTAGTGGCTCTCAGTCTCTGTGAATTAGGGTGGCTCTGTCCTCGGGGCTGACCGTCCAGTGAGACCAGGCCCAGGATGTGACGCCCTCTGCACGTGCCCAGCACGTTCCAGCAAAACTCATATTTGCCTGACAAGTAGCAGCTGGCCGCGGTGACAGCAAGCATAGACATTGCCACCTGCATTTCACTTTGGGTCCTTGAGAGACGCCAGGCCTGTAGCCTGGGCTGAAGTTTACACTCCCCTTTAACAGATAAGAATCCGAGGCTCAGTGAACTAAGTCTCTGACCGTGGGAAGGGGAAGGACAGGGACCTGCACCTGGTGCCACTGGCTGTACCCACTCCCCCAAATGTACTCCACTCCTCCGGTATGTGAGCACCCCAACCCCGGGCTCACAGCTGGAGTCCTCTCAGCCACCACCACCTCCAGTCCTCCCACCAGCCTCCCCAGTTTGCAGAATAGCTGTTAGGCTGGGCGGGGTGCAGGTAAGGAATCTTACCTTCTTCTGGGTGCTGGGCTTGCCTGCCCTGGGTGGGTCCGTGGCTTCTGAGGCAGGAGGACTGTGCTAGGAGGGGAACACCTGGGCCCCTCTGCTCTCACGGCCAGTGCTTAAGAGGACGGTGGCTGCCCTCTCCTGCACCGCCTACAGCTGGGAGTCTCCTTGCAGGTCAAACTCCAAATTCCAGGCTGGGCTGCAGCAGGGATCAGAGGAAGAGAATGATCTCCCCAGGCCAAGCAGAGGCTGGGCCTAGTCCTGAACCCTTGAACTTGAACTCGGAGCAGGCTTCTGTGGAGAGGTTGGCCTGCCCTTAGCTCCGCCCACACAGCCTCCACTGAGGGCCTCACCTGGAGGGGGGCCCATGGCAGGGAGGGGTAGGGGAGCACAGGAGCCCCGCACTGTCCTGCTGCACTCACCCACTCTTCCAGGCCCGCCTCCACGCTGGGGACAGGCGGGCTTGGGACGGGCTGGGGGAGGAGGGAGGAGAGATGCTGGCGGGGGAGGCAGGGGACAGCGGAAAAATCCCAGGAGGGCACTCACAGCCCAGGCCCCACCGCAGCAGCAGCAGAGACAGTGAGACACCACGCTTTGTTCAGCCCCTTTTCCCGGGTGTGCTCCAGACCAAGGCTGGGCAAAAAGACAGGCATCTGGAACCCAGGGGAGACATCGGGAGGGCCCATGACACCAGGACCGGCAGTGCAGGACGGCAGAAGGCTTTCACTGGATGCTCTGAGCATTCCAAAACATTTTTAAATAGATACCAGCATTTACAAACCAGGAGACTTGAAACAAGACTCTGACTTCTCACTTTCATAGAACATTCTGAAGATCTGGCCACACCAGGCCCACATGGCCACGGGGCAGCTGCTGGCCAGAGCAGAGGTGTGGCCACCCTGTCATCACAGACCCCACCTCCAGCCCCCCTCTCTCCCTCAGTAGCCCCAGGGGGGCTCTGGGTGTGCAGCCCTGCCCCCCAGGCCCCTGCCCCCACGCAGGGTAATTCAGAAAGACCAGAGTAGTGACTACGCCCCAGGCTTTGTTCCAAGGGCTTTCTTTCCACATTTTGCTCACTTGATCTTTCCATCAACCCTCTAAGGCAGATTCTATGATTATCTGGCTTTCACCGAGGAGGAAGGAGAGGTAAAGGCAGTAATGAAAGAGAGTGCGAGGAAAGGCAGGCAGGGAAAGGGACCCCACCACCACCCCCATCCTAAGAGGAAACTCCCCTTAAAAGGAAAAAGACCCCAACCTATTCTAAGCTTTACAGGAAGGAAGGGAATGGCCTTGGGTGTCCTAACCCAGGCCCCCAGGCCAGCTCAACTGGCCCGTGGGATATTTCAACAAAGAGCTTGATCTGGTGGCCTGAGGCTGGCTGGCATGCCCTAGGGTCAGGGGCGGCCACCGCCCTCTTCATCCTCCAGGCTACAAAACAGCACAGTGGAAGGTTGGTGTTTCCACGGGAACAACTACTTGAGAGGCAGATGAGCATGGGGACAAAGAACTGGTTGGGTGACAGGTACCTGGAGGGTGAATCAGATTAAAGAGCTGACAAAAAATAAATAGATAAAATTTAAAAATTAAAAAAAAAAAAAATAGCTGGCCCACAATCTCTTAAAAAGCCGGAGACTGAGAAACTGAAGGTAACCCTCTCAGGTACCCCCGTCCTCACCCTTGGGAGCTTTGTGATATTTGCTCGGTCAACTTTGCTTTGCTGCCCACCCCTCCTAATCTGGTCTACCCCTTCACTCTTCAAAGACGTGTGACCAAGAACCCCGGGCACCAAAAGAAAAGGAATCCTGAAACAGCAGGCCAAGAACAGGGCGCCTGAATGACTCGGTTGGTTACGTGTCTGCCTTCGGCTCAGGTCATGATCATGGGGTCATGGGATCGAGTCTCGGGTGGGGCTCCCTGCTCAGAAGTGGAGCCCGCTGCTCCCTCTTGCTCTGGTGTTCTCTGTTTCTTTCTCTCAAATAAATAAATAAAATCTTAAAAAATAAAAATAATAAAGAAGCTGAGCCAGACATGAAGGAACACACACCTTTTGATTCTGGAGCTGGGGCTCAGGGGTCCTGAACAGACCAGGTCTGGGCCGCTGGACAAAAGCCCAAAGGAGGAGATGCTTAAGAGAAAGTGCTGCAAGCACTTCCAGGTCTACATAAGAAAAATGTGGGATGAAAGTGGGCAGTGAAGGTCAGGTCATCCATGTCTTAGGGTCAATCACGGGCAGGGTCTTGGTGGCTTAGGTGGTCCTTCCTGCTTGAGGGGCTGGATTTAGTAGGTTGGACACAGGACGCTTTCCCCGCTCAGTCTTTTAGAAAGTTTGAGGTCAAAGTGGAAGTCTTTTGGATGCCTGGGTGGCTCAGTGGCTGAGTGTCTGCCTTTGGCTCAGGGCGTGATTCTGGAGTCTCGGGATCAAGTCCCATATCGGGCCCCCACAGGGAGCCTACTTCTTCCTCTGCCTGTGTCTCTGCCTCTCTCTCTCCGTGTCTCTCATGAATAAATAAATAAAATCTTTTTTTAAAAATGGAGGTTGTTGAGGTCCTTTCCATTCCTTTTCTATGAAGTTCAACAGGAAAGATGAATATGGAGAGTCAGGAAATGACTGGAAGGGAGTACTTCCTTGAGTGACGAAAATCTCTATATTTTCACTGGGGCACCTAGCCCATTGGGCAGAATGATCACGATCTGAGCATTTGAGGAATAGAGTCAACATACCCTGCTCATGTTGTGTGGGAGCACAGCATAAGGTATAAACCAGTCCAATCACTATGTTGTGCTCCTGAAACGAATGTAACATTGTGTATCAACTGCATTCAAATATAACAGAGTATTTCAGAATTCTTTTTTTTAAGATTCTATGTGTTTATTCATGAGACACACAGAGAGAGAGAGAGAGAGAGAGGCAGAGATGTAGGCAGAGGGAGAAGCCGACTCCGTGGAGGGAGCCCAGTGTGGGACTCGATCCTGGAACTCCGGGATCACGCCCTGAGCCGAAGGCAGATGCTCAACAGCTGAGCCACTCAGGTGTCCCAGAATATTTCAGAATATTAAAAAAAAAAAAAAAAAAAAAAACAAACTAATACAACAGAATCATTCATCAGTGACACACAGAAAAAAGAACCAAATAAAAATAGTGCAGTTTAAATAACAGTTAAATAACAGAGATAACAGAGAGGTATATAAATATCGTAATAAATAGGACACTTTACTTGGGGGGGGGCAATCTGTGCGATTGATTGGATGCAAATTATACCTCAACAAAACAAAACAAAACAGGAGAGAATGTACCAACAAGAAGTTGTGCAAAAGCAGTCCATGCTTCTCTGGAGGTGGAGGTTGTGGTCCTTGCCCAAATATTACCTCCCAGGAGCTAAGTCCCAGCTTCCTGCCACCACTGGAGAGAATGCAGGCCCAATGTTGCCAAAGTGCCTGATTTTTAAAGAGAAATCCCAAAGTCTGGGTGTTCCATGAACCCTCCTGATTTATAATTTGGGCAAGTAATTTGGTATTAACAAAAAACCTTAAAACATGGTTGTTTGTAACACTGCGTGATACTGATGTTGCGATTTATAATAACATATTTGGTCTTCATCTCCATTTCTGGCAAGGAGCTCCTAAGACCCTCAGAATGTTTTGAGCAGAAGACAGAGATCAAGGTGACTTCTGTTATGCTAATGAGGGGACCTTTGGACTCACCCAGAAGGGAGGTTGCTGGTTACCAGGAGAAACACCCTTGTGCTTAAAGGGTTGGAATCTTCTGTCCCAAGCCATCCTCTCAGGGGATAGGAGAGTGGATTGGAGGTTGAGTAAATTGCCAGTGGCAATGATGTAATCAATCATGCCTATGTATAAAGCCTTCATAAAAAAGCAAAAAGGACAGGGTTTGGAGAGCTTTTGGGTTGTTGAACAGGTGGGGACTCGGGAAGAGTGGTGCCCCTGGAGAGAGAGGGCGTGGAAGCGCCACATGCTTTCCCCCTGCCTGGCCCTATGCATCACATCCTTTCTTGAGAAACAGGTAATCTAGTAAGTAAAATGTTTCTGAGTTCCATGAGGCCCTGGAGCAAGTCCGTCAAACCAGAGGAAGGGGCTGTTAGAAACTTCCATCTATACTTGGTGGGTCAGAAGGCACAAGTGACAACCAGGACTGCCAAAGTGGGGAAGGGGGCAGTCTGGTGGGGGCAGAGACTGTCTCCAAATAGATCAGTGTCAAAATTGAGCTGAATTGTAGGACACCAGCTGGTGCCACAGAATTAACTGCACGGTGTGGGGCCACAATCTTACTGGCACCCCCACATCACAACTGCCTCTACTCTGGAATCCAGGCTGACCTCTACTCCAGGTTGGGATTCCTTCAGGAGTTTTCCACAGCCTTTTAGAAACGCCCACACCCATCCACAAATTTAGCTGCCAATGTTGCTGTTTATTGTAACAACTGAAAGGAGGCAAACCCTAAACCCTGAGATAGGCAAACTTTTCTAGCCCAGGGCTAGGGTGGTTCAGAGGAAAGCCAGTAAATCCAGGAAAACCCAAGTAAATAAGTAAAAGCAAGATTAAAACAGACACAATTTTGGATTTAGTAACTGTGAGACCTGGAGCAAGTCTCTGGGCCCTCAAGAGCCGTCAGTTCCTCCCACTGCAAAGGGATGTTCTTTTTTTGGGGTTGGGTTTTTTTTTTTAAGATTTATTTATTCATGAGAGACACAGAGAGAGAGGCAGAGACACAGGCAGAGGGAGAAGCAGACTCCGTGCAGGGAACTGGATGCAGGACTCGATCCCAGGACTCCAGGATCACGACCCGGGCCAATGGCAGACACTCAACCACTGAGCCACCCAGGGATCCCACAAAGGGATCTTCTTAATACTCACTTTGCAGGGGAATAAATGAAGATTAAGCAAGATCCCTGGAGAAACATCTCACCTGGGAAGGTGCTCCGTCCACGTTGGCTCCTCCGCCCCCCCCACCCCCCCACCCCCACATAACCCCAGAGTTAACGCTGAGCTGGCTGCCTTGCATTTAGTTGTCACTGAGAATCTCAAGCCTTGGGGAGCCTGGGTGGCTCAGTCAGTTGGCTCAGGTCATGATCCCGGGGTCCTGGGATCGAGTCCCATGTCAGGCTCCCTGTAGGCAGCCTGCTTCTCCCTCTGCCTATGTCTCTGCCTCTCTGTGTCTCTCATGAATAAATAAAAATTTTTTAATAAAAAAAATAAACCCAAAGCTGTAAAAGGTGTGAGAAGG